AAATCGCTAAATTGAATTTCACTAAAAAGTAAAATCCATCAAACATGAAATAGCAGAATTAAATGATACCTAAGAAGGGTTGGTCTCTATCAATTTACAAGTTAGATTGGACCTTTTAGAAAAAACATAAAGAGCAGGAATCCAAATCAAAAGTCCTAATTTTGAAGGAATTTAGAATGTCTATAATAATGTTTGTCATACTTAAAAATAATAAATAATAAAAGGCAATAATAGAATTCTATTTTAACTCTATAAATTAGTTTAAAAAGAAGTAGATGAGTGATTAATTGTTAATTAATTTTCAATTAATATTAATGTCAAATGATTTTTTATCTTTTTCTCTTAAATCTTATTAATTTATTCTTTCTTCCTTATTCTCCCAATTGTAAGCTTATTCTTTCAGTATTGTATCTTATATTTCACTTGTATAAATTTGATGTACTGATACTCCTGACTTATTATATTGAATAGATATTAAGGGAATAAACTAGACAAAATTTGGATAAATTTTATATTCTTTAATTTCCAGAATAAATAAAAAGATTATTTTTATAACTAAGTTTATATGTATTCACTTAAGTTCAAAGTCTATAAACAGTTAAATTTATTAATTCTAATGATGATATAATAAAAATCTCTAGATATTGTCAAAGATTGTGTGATATTGCTTTATAAATAAAGCCAAAGGCTTGCAATATGGCTACTTTTTCTAATGTAATTTGAATATTAATATAAAATATTCATTTTGGTTGAAGAATCCAATAATTGTAAATATTTGCTTAAGAAACAAACATTTTTAGAAATATTTTTAAATTATAAAAATATGGGTTGTCATTAATCCAAGAAAGTTCTGAAAGAATCTTCACTATAAATAAAGGAAGAAGTTGCATAGTAATATGATCCAAATAGTATAATATTATAATATTGGTAGAAAAAGAAACATAATATTTAGTTATTATAAATGGAATACTGTTTGACGCCCTTAATCCGGATGAGTGATACTTTTTTTTACTTGTTTGAAAACCTAAATGATAATTATTATCGATTCAAACCACATTTAAAAACTAAAAAAATTTATAGTCTTTTCTATCCCACTTCAATATATTTTTCAACAAATTAACAATAGTTTCTATTCGAATTCTTTTGTTGGTTTGATTATATACTTTACTTTCATTATATTTTTATTTCTTTAAGCGGAAGCCTGTTTTTATGAAGCTAAAAGAAACCAGTATGTTTGAAAGATAAAATTAATTTGAGAATGAAAAGAATAAGTATCACTCTAAAAGTATACTACAGAGACCATCTTGAAGGAAATTTTAGCAGAACTGTTGAAATAACATTAATAAATATATATTCTTTTTTTGGGCCATCTGATAAATTAATTAATATTCTTTACTTTAAAATACAATTGCCTTGCAAATTGACAATTAAATAATGGTGTCAAATAAAACAAAGAAATAAGGACATATTTTTGTTTCAGAAGAAGATGAAACATTTTTGTATATTTAGTGCTATAAGATTGTAATTATAATTAGATTAGATAATACTCTTTGTAATACTTAATGAGTTAAGAAATAGTATTTTAAGATTACAACTGTTTTTGAAAGGAACAGAAATAATTTCTAAATTAATGATTATAATCTGAATTTTTTAAAATTAACATTAAATCAAATAAGAAAATTTATTTAATTAATAATTATTACAAAAATAATGAATATGAATTAAACGAAATTGGATTGCTACAATAAAACTTAAGCTGCAAGTAGCGGAGCCAAAGGAGCAAATTCATTTGTTTCTGGAACTTTGATGTCCAATTGGCATGAGGAAGCTCAATTAAAAGAGGACACAGGCTTTGGAAGAGCCCCTGTTCCTTAACATATTAAAAAGAAACATACAGATTTAATGCTCAAACCTCCTGAAGAGATTCCGCTCTATAAGGAACCAATAAATTAGCTAGATACAACAACTAGGTTATTTGGTAAAATTCAACCAGACATTCCAAAACCAGCTTCACAAAAGTAATTGATCTATATATAATTAGCGTTGGGGGCAATGTCAATAGAGCTGATTTAATACCTAAAGTTGGAAAGAAAGCCCAATTAATTGAATAATAATATCTATAATAAATTCAGTCAGAATTAGACTCTCGAGAAGCAGACAGTTTCAGTTAAACATAATAGCGATATTTTGAAACTACATGCAAATAAGAATTCACTTAGGTAATGCCAAATATTTACTTTATTAGAAACCAATAGAAAATAATACTATTGGAAGAAGAGTAATGAGGACACAAAATGGATCTGCAATAGATGCAGACAAAAAGGATGTTGATCTATTGAGTGACATGGGATTTTATTAAAAGTATGACTACAAACTTACTCTATTTTAGACCTTAATTATCATCTGATCAACAATTAGCATCAGTATTGCCATAAGAATCATATCTAACAGCAAAACCTATTACATTTTATTCTGAGAAATAGGGCTAAGGAATTATATACTAATCTAAGCCAGTCAATGAAGTTAGACCATTTCATAAAACTGATGGGTTTGTTAAAACATTTCATCACTTCACTCATGTAAAGAATTGAGATCGAATTAAATAGCTAATTATGCAAAATCATCATTATAATTTAGTATCACTATTATAAATCAATTGAAATCCTCCAACTTTCTTTTTTGTCTTGTTCTGATTATCTATAACTACTTTCATAATATCCTCTAACATTTTAGGTATTATTTAAGCAGTAACTGGAGTTGTTGTATCACTAGAAGGTGACATATTAACTTCAATCAACCAAGTATTAAATTGTTCATCAATCATGAAGTCATAACCATATACTTCAAATGATCTTCTCCTATTTTTCATCTAATCACAACAGCATTTTAAACTGTTTATAACAATTTCTTTAAGTTTAGGTTGTATTTTTTCTGCAAAGACATCCCAACCAAATTCTTCAAGTAAGTATTGTTGAAATTCCTCCTATGTCCACATATTACCTTTAATGTCTGATTCATAAAACTTTTAAGAATGTTTTGCAATAGCATTATTAGTAAGATGAGCAAACTTGTTTTGAAATTAATCTATGTCAAAATCTTCAGCCGAAAATCTGATGTAACACTCATTATAAAAATATATTTTGAGCGGAATCAACTCAGTCACCAAAACCCATTAACGAATATCGAACTTTCTATTCTTAATTATTAAAGGGTTTTCTATGTACTTCATAGCCACATAATTCATGGTTTCTTTATTTACAGTGTCCAGAATCTAATTTAGATCATCAAAACATTTAATGCCTCTTCCTCTGGATGAATATTCAGGCTTTACTATCCAAATATTTCTTGTGCCTTGCAATGAATTCTAAGGGTTATTGTTTAATTATTTTAACAAGTCTCTTATTTAAGATCCATATTTCTATATGAATTTATCTCCCTCCTAGTCTTCGTATCCATTGGCTTTCAAAATCATTTCAATTTATTCTTTAATCTATGCATCTTTAGCATTTTCAGGATCCCTCATTAATTGCAACCATTCACCAGGATGAACAAATGGAAATTCATCTTTAAGTATATTTTTGACCATACTACTTAAAGAACAAACCACTCTATTTAAAATCATTAGACACAAGCGAATTTTGAATCTTTCTCTAACATTCACTATGAATATCTAAGGTTTCTCTTCTATTGTTCTTATAGTTATATTTTTAAAATCCTTTAATCTTAATGTATTTTTATATTCAGACTCTTCATAAGGTTCCGAAACTACTTTTTTATTCTAATTATTGTTAGATTAATTCTAAACAAATTCCATTAATATACTATGGATTTTAGAAATTTTGAAATCTTCTATAAAGTCAGAGAAATCAACTAAGTCACCTAAATCATAGCATCTTGGAAAAAATGATTCCCAATTAGGGATACATCTCATATTCCTTGCCAAACCAAATTTGGAACAAAGACATTGATTGGAATCAAAATGATTGATTTATTAAAAATGCATCAAATTTAAAAAGTCGTCACTTCTTAATCCACAAGTCCATTTAAGGTCAAAAAATGGACTATAAGCATCCTCATTCTCTGCCCAATTTCTCTCTAATAAAGAATCTCTTAATGCATGATACCCATTTGTTATAATAAACACTTTTTGATTTTCTGCAACATTATTCTTTTTCTTCCAATTAGAAAAGTCTTAGTAACCTCTTGCACTTATTTTTTTCTTTTTAGAAGTGTCATCATCTTCATCAATCTCGTAATCTTTTTGACTATTTTTAATAGTCATTGATTTTTTCTTTGGGACATACTTCAAAAGATCTAATTAAATTTAGACTTGATAAAATATTTAATTTTATACATTGCATTTTAAAACTAGTTCTATACTTATAACGAACTTTATTGCTTAAAAATTTTTTAATTTTTTAAATGTGCTCATCCACACTCTCCTTTGATCGATAAGTTACTCTTATTAATTTGAAATCATCTTTAGCTAACTTATCAAAATAATGTTCCTTTTTTCCCATCAATACAAGTAATTGCATTAGGTTATATCTCATTGGGTTTATCTCCTATTGTCTTTATTCTTGTTCCTCAATTATACGAGTCGATCTCTTTTAAGTTGTTAGAGCTCTTTATTGCATCTAAGGTTCATCAATGACATCTTCAAATCTTTTTAATGTTTTCAGTTATCCTCGAATTGGTTCTTTCGATTTTGATTTTGCTTATAATAATTTTGCATTTAGTGATTGAAACAGTTTAATATTCTACTTAAAGCTAGCTTTATTTCCTTAAACATCAAAATAAGTAATACGATGATCAAACATTTATAGGTAATTTTTATATAAATAATATAAATTAACTTATCATATGGTCATACGTTATTAGTACAATATAGATCAAATCAGAATCACTCTTTATTAACATAGTTCTGCAGATGTAACTTTTATATTTTTGAGTAATTTCTATTTCAATTTAATTATTTTATGTCTTAATAAAAATACATGCCAATACTCAATCATATGTAATCCTTTTTGTATTATAGCAATTAATCCGTCATTCTTACATGTAGCATATATAACTCATAAAATCTTCCTAAGCTTTCAATTATTACATTCTTAAATTCATTTCCCTCTAATTCATTTTTCTTTTCCTAATAAAATTCAGCAAATGTTTTTCCATCAAATTCTTTTATTTAATAAGAGAATCCGAGAAGATCACTTAAAATTTCCTTAGGGGAACCTGTAATATATAGGCACTCTTACACATACCTTTGAGTTGGCAAATCAATTCATCTTTGAATGCCTTAACCGAGAAATCGACTAGGATTACTAACTCGTGTTCTTGGCCATTCTACTGGTGGAATAAGTTGATCATTTACACTATTGGTTTGCAATCAAAATATTAATAAAAGTCCCAAGGATCTATATGAATCTTCAACTATTGCTTTTATAAATATTCTGATTGTTTTTCGTTGTATTATGCAAGAATATTGTATAACTCTTAGGCTAAATGATAATACAAAGGACTTTGAATTTACAAACTGAATGGACTTGGCTTAGATAAGCATTGTGTAGGAGTGTGAGATTACAAGGATTCTAACTAAAGGTTGCAATACATTTAAATTATACTTCTTTTTCCAATTCATCATTTAATAGATCATCTTTTGAATCTCTTTGCAAAACAGCGACAGTAAGATTGCTATGTCCTGGTCTGTATCCACATGATTCTGAGAGCTCTTTCAATAGATTAGACAAGTACACAGTTTTTGTTGTTCGTTCATAAACATATGATTGAATTGTTTCTTATAATTGTTAATGCGCAACATAGTGATCATATATTTGATCCATCACTAACAAAGTTTTAAGAGATTTCGCTTTTTCTTTTGCGTATTGTAATGCATATTTTGGTAAGTAGTAATTTGAACCTTAATTGTCTGCATATTTAAACCAAGTTGCTTATTTGATTGGAGATTTACCATAATAAATAATCTGATCAAAAGTTTACAACTTATTCAAAAGTTCCTTATCTTTAATGATTAACATTTGACCATAAGTTATTGGGTGAAAGAGATCGATATACACATTATGTGTGAAAATTTAACTCTTTGGAAGGACTCTTTTTGGTAACTTTTTGCTTTCAGCAGCATCTTCATTTGATTCCTTAATGTCTGTAATCGTACAAATATCATTTTGTGGATATGGCATCAAAGAATTAACAGGCTAGATAGGCTCTAATATCTCAGATTGCTACAACAATAATGCTAATTGATTTCTCTCAAAAATTGACATGACTACTCCTAATGAATTTCCGAACTTTAATGTCTCACCTAATTTAATTGGATTGTCATGAGCAAAAAGAACCATGTCATCTGATTTCTTAAGAATTAATGAAGACATCTTGCTTATTACTTTCATCATAAATATTTATATTAATTTTTTCTAAACATAAATAAAATAATTCTAGTTTTAATGATATAATTATAAAAAATATTCTTATAAAATTTTTGATAATTTTTTAATTACAGCATTTCAAAAGTATTAGAAAATAAATACAAAAAAATGATTGATTTCTTTTCAAATGATATAATTTAAATTAAAACCCTAGTTTGAAAACTGATGAAATTATTATATGAACAATTTAATAATTTTAAACTTGAAACTATAAGAGAAAAAAAGATTCTTATCTTCTCAAAATTTAGGTGCATTTATAAAGAGAAAACAAAATGTCAATTTTCTGTTACCTAAATAGTTCAATATTAAATGATATGAATATTTCTAATTTTATAAGTCAATTTAGTTCATAGTTTTCATTTACATTAATTATCCACAATTAAGAAATAATCAAAAAATTAGAAAGTTTAATACTTCAAATACTAATAATATAATTGCATCATTTTTAAAAAATTAATTAATGATTTTCTTCATTTTACTTTGGATAAGCTAAATATCATTGAGCTAATTACAAAATGATATAACTTGTTATTATGAATATGATGACTCAATTTTAGAATAAAAATAATAAAAACCTTAAATAAAATAGATTGAAATATAAGCTGATGCAATCTCTGGTGATTCACGAGGGTTTGGGTTTTGGTCGAAATACATTGCTAATTTAGTTAATTCAGAGGAAGAATACTTGTACAAACCTTTTGATGATCCTAATTGTTTATTTTAAGTATGTCAATTTAATGGATTCTACTTTTTAAAACTGCTTGATGATGATCAATTTAATTTTGCAGCAATAATATTAAACATGAATGATAATCCAATTAGTTTAACTCATGATTTTTATTTGTTTAAATAAAATTCAGATATTATTTAGCAAGCATCAGTTAAATTTTAAGCAAGTTTATACGAAAATATTTGGTTCTATACTTCAATCCTATATTCATCAGTCGACCATCTCATTAGATTTTACACAAACTTCAATGATTAGTTGTTTACTCTTGAATATTTGTTATTGTCAGAAAAAATTACCATTATTTTAGGCGGATATACTACGGATCTTTCCTAAAACATTATAAATAACTGGAGTCCTTTATTACATTTTAAAGGAAAACTCTCTACCATCTAAGAATACAATCCTTTTTTTTATGATGACGATTTCTTTTATAATTTATTCTAAAAATGCCCATATTAGGCTTAAAAAACTACTAAAATTAAATATGATGTATTTAGGACATTAGATCCAAATATTGTTCAGGATGATTTATAAATAAATCTATTGTAAATTTCTACACCAAACTTAAGATATACTATAAGAGGCTGGATCAAGTAAAATTATATGTAGGTATGAACTTATTAAGTTGTTAGGCCTTCTCATATTATTTGTAATATTTTGGTGAGCCATTTTATCAAATAGATCAACCAATTTTTTATTTTTAATACCCATTTTATGTATACAATAGAAAACAAGGAGATTTAATGATTGAGTTTTATTATAAGGTATTTGTATATGAAAGGAAAGGTTGACTTTGAAAACAATAATGAAACAGAAATTCATATTGAAGTTGAGTTTTATAAGATCCCTCTAGGAGTTCCGCTATATTAAGATGAAGAATTGAGAAAATTTGATAGTTTGACAATAAAGAAAGATAATTTCTATGAGAAAACCTAGGAATGGCATTATTTTGTAATTGATTAAGGAAGAACTCCTAAAGACGGATCTGCTATGCAAATAAGATTTTATTTTAGAAATGAAGAGCCATATATTTATAATTTAGGAACATATGATTATAACACATAATATTCAGGATATATGGTCACGATGATCATGTTATTTAGAAGTTAAGGTTTGTAAATAAGAAGCAGCGCCAATTTAAATTAGCTTTTTATTATTGTTGGACAATAAGAAGATGACAATGATGGATATTGTAATTATAATTTTAAGTCTGTTTAGTATGTGATTCAAGTTGTAGGGATTGTATTGGTCCAACTAAAAATGATTGTGTATCCTGCTATACAGAATTAAACTATTTTTTGACATAATTTAATTCTTGTGAATGTTTATATCTAAATGAATATAATTAGAAAAGTGGAATATGCGAACCCATTGAAAGATCCTAAAGTTTAAGCATTACAAAAGAAGAGGACACTGAATAGTTTTGTTAATTTGGATATTTTTAAGTTTAATTTAACAATGAATATTTCTGCATAAAATGGTATTTAAGACTACTTAATATTTTAGTCCTTCAGGTTAAGAAATGAATTTCTTATGTGGGGATTGCCTTCATTAATCAACTACATGGTATTTGAAACCTATTTGCACATTTGATTATATTTAAGAATAGAGTACATATGCATATATCAAGCGCTTGAGATCAAATATTCAAATAGATGTTTATTACATCAATAATGATATGAACCTATAATTGCAAGAAGGAGCTAGTGAATTTTGTGAAGCAACTTAACTTGGATGTCAAAACAGTAATGAATTTCATTTAGGTGTCTAAATAAGAATGAAATGTAAAACTAATAGGTATTACAATAACTTTTAATGTTTAAATTGTATTGAATCATGCATTTTATGTCAATCTAAAGATGTCTGTTTAACTTGCATTGAAAATTATTTCTTCAATTTCAAAGAAAAGGTGTGTTCACCATGCCCAAAGGAATGCAAAACATGTTAAAATGCCCCTAGTAGTATTTTAGGATACCAATGTCTTTCATGTCAATCGTATTAATCAATTGATTATATAGATAATATACTGTAAATCATTTTGGATAATGCTAGCAATGTGGAATCTATTGCGAATTTTGCATAGAAGATTTTAATGCTCAAACTTAAGAATATTTTGTAAGATGCTTAACATGTGTTGATAACAACAAAATGACTATTAGATTCAATGGAGTGGACTGCATAATACTAGATATTCCTAATTGTTAAAATGTTGTTTTAATGTCCAAGACCTCACCTGTATACAATGCTCTTATTTATAATTTCTAACCTTCTAATGACTTATCAGATGAGAAACCAATTTGTGGCTTATGCTAGCAGAGTTTTGCATACAATTATGAGTTAGATATGTGTGATTCTTTAGATTTAGATGCTTCTACTTGTTCAATTGCATATATTGTGAGATTAATTGTTTTAGGAGTTGATTATGGCCTTTAATAAATTTGTTTAAAGTCACCATCTTAAGGTGGCTTAAGTATTGAAGGAGATTTTTGTAATACTTAATTATAGAATTGTCTTTGGTGCTATACTAAAAAACAGAAGACTAATGCATACTGCTTGAAATGTCAATAAGGATATTATTCTTAGCGATTAACTGGTTAATGTTAACTATGTCCAGAAAATCTGCATTGCAAAACATGTTATCATACAACCATCGGATATAATGATGAATGGAAGAACAATCTAATACTATTTATTGAGTTTCTCAAAGCTTAACATGACATTTCATATTTTGTAAAATCAATAAATTATTATTTAATAGTATTGGAGCTATGATTAAAGTTAAAATTTAGATGATTATGAAATTATCTGCACATCTTGCTACACAGGTTATATTTTAAGAGATAACAAATGTATTAAGTATTGTGAAGACAGTTGTTAAAGTTGTATTTATTTAGATGGTCAATATATATGCTAAACTTGTGGTCAGAATATCTATCATAATCTATTAAGTTTAGTATAAAATTAATGTACTGTTTGTCCTAGTTACTGTGAATTTTGCAGGGAAAGAACATATGATGAAATTCAAAGCATAAATTCTCTTTTCATTAAAACTGATATCAATACTATTTACACTTATTAATGTTTAAAACCGTATTAAAACGATGAAACGTTGATTTATGATAGTATCCTAGGATAATTTATATCATGTTAGAATTCTGAGCAATGCGAAAATGTTTTAACTTTTGAGTTTAATTTATTTTGTAATGATGAAGATTACCATGCTAAATTAGAATTAATCTAAGACTCTGAATTAAAAAACAAATTTAAGAAAGAAAATGTAATGTTTTCACAAATACTATAATCTAATGTTTAGGGAAACAGCTTTTAAATAGTAATATTATATTATATCCACATAGTTTGACATTGATGCTATTTATGACATTATGGGCAAAAAGACTATTAAGAAAGTCAAATTAATTCTTGTATCCAATAGTGAATAAGTTTGTTAGGTTCCTTAATTGAGTTACATAACTTAAGCTTTCTCTAAAAATGTGTTTCAAGCTATGTATTTATTTAACTATAAATAGTGATGTTCAATTAACAATCAAGTCTAATATTGAAAAAGAATTGTAAATAGTTATTTTTGAAGAAATACACTTTACTGATTTCACTTTATTACGTTTTGAAAATGTACAATTTATGATATAGTCAAACATTTATAATAAGAATATCAACGCATATGGGTTTAAATCCATAGAATTGTAATTGTACAAGATAGTAATATCTACTACTTCCCTAACAACCTCTACTTTTTTTACCTTTTAGTGTACTCAATTGAATTAAATAGTCTTTAGTTAGGTGATCCTTAGAGATATGAATATTCAAAATAAAAACCAAAAAAGTTTTTTTTCATTTCTTTATGATACCATCTCAAAAACCTCTTCTATTTAAATTGAGAATTTTTCCATTGAACATAGCATTTTTGAGAATACTAATATTTTAGAATTCAAATCTACTGATATCTAGTCTATTAATTTTAATCATATAAACATTAACTCTGTATTCATGAATAGTTCATTGTTGAACACATAAAATGATGAAATTTTGAAATCCATAATTATAGCCAATTTTATTATATAAGGAAAGATAGAAAACTCAGAACCATTTTTTTTATTAAATTATGCTTAATCAACAAACATTTAAAATGTTGATTTAATAGATTTAGTAATAATTGATTCAACATTTTTATAACTTGAAAGATCAGGCTCTATCAGTGAATTACTAATATCTGATTGCCACTCTTTTGGATCAGTCTCATTTATTCGTAATAATGTTGAAAGTTAAATATCAAAATAAATTGGATTTATCTATTCAATCGACAATCTAAAAGTTACAAATTTGATTTCCAGTTATGAAACTGAAATTTTATACTTCTAAGCTTTCGATTCAATCACATCTGAAATCATAATCAAAAATATCATTTTAGAATAGGTTATTATAGACGAGCAATAATAATCAGCATATAACTAATTGCAATCATATTTAATTTATATTCAATTAAAATAGGCCTTAGTGTAATCATGTAAAATTGTTAGAGGATTAGGCATATAGGAATTTATATTTACTAATTTATAATCCCTTATATTTACAGATCTTATAGCTACCTAATCTCAAATACTATTATTGCATTAGTATTATGATTGTTCAAGTATAATTAAAGCCAACAATAAATACCCTAGTATAATTTAGCTTTTTGATGTTAGAAATACTAAATTGGAGAATTTTGTGATAACTAGAATGAACTTTATTAATTCAGGTTTTCTCTTATTCACAACTCAATCCAAAACTTCATCTTCAGATTAAGATGCTCTTTCAATCAATAATTTAATAATAAAAGATAACTTATTAATTACATCATAAAAAGATGCAAGCGCTTCTTTAATGTAAATCACATCTAATTAAAAGATTATTGTAAATATCGAAGTTGTTGAAATCAAGTAAAATCAGTTGCACAACTATTAAAAAAATTTACTAAAAGCCTCGTCTGTTGCTATGCTAATCTATTGTCCTTCAGGAATAATTAATTTTAGAAATAGCTAAATTTATGATAATTTCGCAACAAATACTACTGATAGTGTCATAAATATTATCTCAGAATAAATTCTGTTTGATTAAATTTAATTTGTTAATAATTCCTATCAAAATATCGAGATCCTTGTAAATAATATTGATTGGCAATATCCTCTAAGTTAGATTATCTACAAGAATGACTTAAAATCCATATTTGATTTTTAAAATGCATACGGAAATTCCTATCTTGAAGCAGATGTTGTAGTTGTATAAAATAGTCAAGTTGAGAACTCATAAGGATTGAATGGAATCGGATTATACATTAGTGGATAAATTGTTAAATTATTCAATATACAATTCAAGAATTTAACTACATTCTTCAAATACAATGAAGAAAATGGAGGATGCATTTTTATTAAGATCCCCATTAGTGGATGTAAAGTAGAACTCTCAGGGATTGTGGCCTAAAATATCTTAGCAAAAGATTATGGAAGCTTTTTATTTGTCTCATCTAATTAAGATCAATTACACTTGTCAATTAATAACTTAACCCTATCAGAATGTATATCTAGAAAAGGCTCAGTTATTCATGCAGCTTTCTAAAAAAATTCATTATAAAATGTGATATAGCTTTAAAAGATAATTATTAAAAATCAAAAAAGTGCTCTTTTTAATTACATGAAATAGTAAATCAATAACTAGAAGGCATTGTTGGATATCAATAATCTTGTGTCTATTTATGTTGAAAATACAGTGTTAATCTTAAAGGACATTTTTATTGACAACATCTTTAGGGAATCGATTTTGGAAGGTGTAGATTAAGGGGATGTAATATTGAATAAAATAACAATTCTAGGAGGCACTGCTCCTTAAAATAATATTATTCTAATATAGCCAAGGGAAGGTATATATATAATAATTAATTGAATTAGATCTGTCTACTGTTATTTTAATCAAAATTATCTCTATCAATAATGTCAAGTAGGTTGAAAAATAAAATGAATAATGTGAAATTGTTTAGAATACAATATCTTAAAAAATTATATACATGTAGTGCAATTCAAAAGCTACTTCAGAAATTCCAATTTTTCTAAAGGAGGATGATAAGGATAAATTTCAGGAAAATGAGTGCTTAAACTAAAAATTGCAATTTTCAAATACTGCTATTTAATTATCAGCTATTTCTATTTCCAAAATTAAAAGCAATGATCTGATATCAATGTTTGACATAAGTCTCTCCAATAATTATTATTCAAACTCATTAAGTGGTTTAGTTAATCTTTATATTAATAAATAAAATCTTGATGCATATTCCATTGTGATTAAAGATTTGATAATTTTGAAAAACTGTTGTGGCTAAGCAGGTTGCTTGTATATAAATTATGATGTATTTGATGTAACAGCTGTAATGTACACATAAAACAGGTTGCTTGCATCTAATAGTGAAAAGATTTTGTAGTTAGTTAATCATGACATAATAATTAACAATTATAAGTGTTAAGAAAATGTTGCAGATTTTGGAACTTGCTTATTATCTAATCAAACAAATATAATAGTATTTAATTCCATTTTCATTAAAAATAAAGCCTTAGTTGCTGGAGGAGCAATTTATTTTAGTGGAAAGCAATCATTTTTATTTTTAGTTGATAGTCAGATAATTAACAACAATGCAAGTATAGCTGGAGCTATATATTTTGATAACAGTGTTAGGTAAGACATGAAACAATATAATACAATTGTGTTTGATAATCAGGCATCTTATTATGGTCAAAATGAGGTTTAAGCTCCAACTCATTTATCAATTACTTTAAATAACTATCATTACATTTATAACACTATCATTGAACAAAATACAAGAAATAGTTTAATAGAATCTATTGATAATTAATTAGAATCTGATTAGAATGTTATTTATTTGCCAAGTGGAACTCCAATAAAAGAATACTAAAAGTTTAATTAGATTTCAGAGTAATTAGAACCCATGAATTTTACATTCAGAATAGTAGCTTTAGATGATTATTATTCAAAATTAAATAATTTAACTAATTCAAATTGCACCCTTGAGACATTTGTTTTTGATATAGAAAAGAATATAGCGCAGGAAACCTCTAATTAAATATTAATTAATAAAAAAAGTGTTTTATTTGATTCTAATACAAATGATTATAATTTAGATGATTTGGTCATTTATTTTGATAGTGATAATACCAATAAAACATATTTATAGTTAGTAATCTCCTGCTCTTGCATATAAATACCTTAATATGATGAAAACAAAGTAATAATTTAATCATTTCACAATAATTATAAATTATTCGTGAATATTAACACTTTCAAATGTCGTGTAGGTTAGATAAAGTCTATTTAGGATAATTCATGCCATGAATGTGATCCAAATCTAGATTAATATTCAAATTAGCTTAACTTGAATAAATGTTATATCAGAGATGAATAATCCACAATTAATGTAACATCTTTTGGATTAAATTTACGCTCTGTAATCATTTATTATAAATTCTTAATAGGGTTATTGGAGACCTTACTTTGAAAACAATATTGTAGAAGAATGTTTAAATTTAAGAGAGAACTGTTTGGGAGGATGGAATTCTGGAGATATTTCTTGTTATAAAGGTCACATAGGGGCATTATGTGAACAATGCGATATCTGGAATATTAGAGGAGGTGGGTCCTTTTCTACATCTTAATAATACTCTTGTGGGTCATGTGACAATGTTAGTTACAATTTAGTTTAAATCATAGGATTCAGTATTTGGTAGTCTATAATAATTATTTAGGTCTTTAATTACAATTGTTCTTAGTGTTAAAGGAGCTAACTCTGTTTAGAGCTACTAACTTGAATCACCTTATTTGATCAAGATTCTTACAAATTACTTATAAATAATTAGTTCTTTAACATCTTTCAAATTAAGGTTACCAGTTGATGTGTTTTACTTTTTAAATGGAATTGGTAATCCAATCCAAAGAATCTCTTATTCTTTGGACTGCTATTTAAGTATTCAAAATATTCAATATTATATTAGTTGAGATGTCAACTTTAGAAATTCACTACTTAAGGTTGATCTGGCAATTATTAATCCCTTGTTTTTATTTTAGTATTCTATCAATAGTTTATTCGATCTTAATTTCGACCAAGCAACTTATTTATAGAGGACCTATTGTAATGACAGCAATCATTTATATGTACATATATTTTCAGCCAAGCATCATTGGATCACTTATTGCACTGATTTCAACAAGAACAATCTCCAATGTTCCTTTGATTCAAGCCAATGTTGCATTTAAATTTGATACACCAACACATTTAAAATGGGTTCTTACTTTTTGTATACCCTTTTTGTCATTATTTGGTATTTTGATACCTTTGGGTTTGCTTTTGAGTTTGTGTAAAATCAGAAACAAGCTTATATACAAAAGAGGTAAGAGTCTCCTTGGTTATTTATACTATGAGTATAAACCTAATGCATATTTTTGGGAAATCATCAAAATCGTTGACAAAGAATTGCTAATATTAGTTTTAATATATTATGAGGATTCAATCATATTAAAAGGATCTTTAATCTACTTTATTCTTTTTAGCTATTGGTCTTTGAATCTAAAATATCAACCATTTAAATCTGCTAGATTAAATCAACTAGATTATTAGTCAACAATTATTTGCGAAATTTCTATTATCATTGGAATTGGTTTAAATATGGGCTAATAATCTCAATTCTACAATATTTCAGTTATATTCTTTTTCACATTAATAATCATTAATATCTTTTTCTTAATCAAGATCTTGTTGTACATTTTCAATGCGTACATGAATGAAATGGAAAAAACTTTTGATTTAGTTAAATCAACTATTCATAAAAATTTGCCTAATAGGTTTAGAATGAGTAAGTAGTGCTTAAGACTACTAAAAACAAATGCTGAAAGCAGAGAAAGAGCCAAATTAAATTTTTAGAAGTTAAAAACAGCTTACAAAAAACTTTAAGCATCAAAAAGATAATCTATGAATATTGTTTTATACAATGCAATGAATTCATAATAAATAACTACAAGATTAAAGTAATTATATAAAATTTACACTTAGCACTTTTTCAATTAGAGAAAATTTACCTAATCTCCCATTAGTTTAAATTAGTTCGAAATAGTGAAAAATAAAAGAATTGATGTTGATTAATAAATTTTTTTAGAAATTATATTAATTTCTAAATACATTGATTTCTTTGACGTGAATAAGATTATTATTCTTTAGATAATATAAAATTTACATATAAGTTTGGTTAGTTTAATTAATATCGTTAATTCAAATGATTTTTCCTTCCTGTTTTCAAATAAATAATTATGCTTTTTCAACATATTTAATCAATTTTCAATATAGAATTTAATAATTATTTCAATAAATAAAACATGATTCTAGGTTTAAATGGATAAAATAAGGGTAAATCAAATCCTAAGCACAGGGATATTATAAAAAAGGCTATTGTTAATTTAGATGGTAAATAGGAAAAGGGAGAATAATAATCAGTTCGAAAGGATAATAATAATGTAGAACCAAAAAAAACAGAAAAAAAGCAGAAAAAGACTACACAAACCAAAAAGAAGAGTTAAAAAAAATCAGAATTACCAAAGTCTAAGAAAATTAGAAAATAATGAAGTTATTTTTTAGCAAACAAATAAAATATTTCATATAGCTTCTTTGCTCTTCTTATCCTTGGATTCATAAAATTAGATATATTATGTCACCATTTCATTTACTTATGCCTTACTACTCTCTTTAAATTCTTTCTGGATTAATCTAGTATAAACACAAAATAGAAGCATAAAAAATATGATCATGACGAATATGATAATACCTATAGTCAAATAAAGATTTGATGATGAATCTTGTTACTAAATTTATCCATCAATATAATTGGCACAAGATGCAGGCGGTATTAAAAAGCTATAACAAATATCAAGAAAAACATTAGCTCCAGTGACTTATCCTTAATAATCCTATTGATTAATTATGATTCCTGGCAGATATTATACACCAGCAGTGTTCCATAATGTTAATTGATTCTCCAAAAGATTGTGGTGCTTGTAATAATTGGTTTCATTCTTTATTAAAAATGAATGACTTTCTGATTAATCTCTTATACATTTTTCTACCTTTTAATAATTGATTCCGACTTCTTCTTAGATTCCAGGCGAACAACTTTCATATTATTATGCTGATGTGCAGTTATCTCTGAAGGATATCTAAATTTTGATTACTATGTACCATATAAGCCAACCATTTGTCAAAACCTTGTTAAAAGATACATAGTTATCTAAGTGCCTCTTCCACTACCATCCTGCCTGTTGCTATTCCTGATCCATCAGGATCTCGTGCACAGTACTTACCATAAGATATGCAATTTTAATACTCAATTGGTTTATCTGGAGTTTTAATTATCTGATACAATGGGTACAATATAATGTATGAAACTAATAAAACAATATTACCAGAAACAATTACCTTTTTCATCTTTCAATTTTTGATAATAAGGTTAATACTCTCTCAAAAATTTATATGTTTCTTCAGATGTTATATTCAAGGCAAACAAAGTAGTTACGTTATCTCTTTAACGAACATCAAATTTAATGAGTAATTGAATTTATTCTGTCTCAAAGTTTGTTTTTGGCATCCTCAAATATTTTGTTAGAAGCTCTCCATCTGATTTCGATATAAAAATGCTGGGGATTTATAACTATATTTTATTGTAACAAATACTCCATATCCTGTCCCGTCATCAAACATAGTTACGGTACCATTTATTTCATCCTTATTGTTCTCTACTATTGCTAATTAATATCCTGCATTTTATGCATGTCTAACTTTTTTCACGAAAGAGCAATCTCCTCTTTTTATTAGTACAAAGTGGCTCTTCACAGTCTAATTAATTTCTGTGCAAGCATCTAAAGGATCTGCAATCTCAAGAGTCCCACTTAATCTACGACCCCAAGGTATATTTCTATATTGTTCTGTATATTTAACACTTACCCAAAGTTAGCTATGGTGTATTTTATATCTCCACTCCTTTGATCCAATTCTTATTTTAATTCTTGTGGACCTATAACCACCAGTTTTCCTAAAGTTAGTTCAACTGAGATGAGGATTATTCCAAATATTAACATTTCAATTATTAATTTATTATCTTCAAAAATATTGTTGTACAAAAGTAATCTACCATCTGAAATACACGTTACATAATCTTAATTAAATATTTAATAATTCCAAAACCTTAAAAAATTGAGGATAGAAAATAGTATGGATAATTAAAATACTATTTGATGCTTGTATAATACTCAATTAGTATTAATAATTTATATAATAATTTTATTAATATTCCGTTTTATATGAGATTAGTTGTTTGCATTTTACTCCTTTGTTCAACAGTTATTGCTATTCCAAAAAAGTAAATATAACTTAGAACAAAATCCAATTAACCAATTAATGCATAAGAAATTAAATTAAGCGATGTAGATTTAGCCCTTTATCAAACTGATGTTCAATAGGATGGGNTTATCTCTGAAGGATATCTAAATTTTGATTACTATGTACCATATAAGCCAACCATTTGTCAAAACCTTGTTAAAAGATACATAGTTATCTAAGTGCCTCTTCCACTACCATCCTGCCTGTTGCTATTCCTGATCCATCAGGATCTCGTGCACAGTACTTACCATAAGATATGCAATTTTAATACTCAATTGGTTTATCTGGAGTTTTAATTATCTGATACAATGGGTACAATATAATGTATGAAACTAATAAAACAATATTACCAGAAACAATTACCTTTTTCATCTTTCAATTTTTGATAATAAGGTTAATACTCTCTCAAAAATTTATATGTTTCTTCAGATGTTATATTCAAGGCAAACAAAGTAGTTACGTTATCTCTTTAACGAACATCAAATTTAATGAGTAATTGAATTTATTCTGTCTCAAAGTTTGTTTTTGGCATCCTCAAATATTTTGTTAGAAGCTCTCCATCTGATTTCGATATAAAAATGCTGGGGATTTATAACTATATTTTATTGTAACAAATACTCCATATCCTGTCCCGTCATCAAACATAGTTACGGTACCATTTATTTCATCCTTATTGTTCTCTACTATTGCTAATTAATATCCTGCATTTTATGCATGTCTAACTTTTTTCACGAAAGAGCAATCTCCTCTTTTTATTAGTACAAAGTGGCTCTTCACAGTCTAATTAATTTCTGTGCAAGCATCTAAAGGATCTGCAATCTCAAGAGTCCCACTTAATCTACGACCCCAAGGTATATTTCTATATTGTTCTGTATATTTAACACTTACCCAAAGTTAGCTATGGTGTATTTTATATCTCCACTCCTTTGATCCAATTCTTATTTTAATTCTTGTGGACCTATAACCACCAGTTTTCCTAAAGTTAGTTCAACTGAGATGAGGATTATTCCAAATATTAACATTTCAATTATTAATTTATTATCTTCAAAAATATTGTTGTACAAAAGTAATCTACCATCTGAAATACACGTTACATAATCTTAATTAAATATTTAATAATTCCAAAACCTTAAAAAATTGAGGATAGAAAATAGTATGGATAATTAAAATACTATTTGATGCTTGTATAATACTCAATTAGTATTAATAATTTATATAATAATTTTATTAATATTCCGTTTTATATGAGATTAGTTGTTTGCATTTTACTCCTTTGTTCAACAGTTATTGCTATTCCAAAAAAGTAAATATAACTTAGAACAAAATCCAATTAACCAATTAATGCATAAGAAATTAAATTAAGCGATGTAGATTTAGCCCTTTATCAAACTGATGTTCAATAGGATGGGCAGAAAAACCATCTGAAATCAGAAATAACAAATTGGGCTGCAGCTAAAAGTACTCTAATAGAGCAACTCTCAACCTTTTATAATTACTTCGAAATATTTTTGTCAAAATAACAATAGATTGGAATTTTCTTGGTGTGCTTTATTTGTTTTGCCTTCTACTTGATGGTTAAGTCTGAAGACAGAAACATTAAGAATAGGAAGCAAAACCCAAAGAGGATGATGTAAAAATATTAGGAACCGAATATAGTAATATTAACAGATTCAATCATTGGGAAAGAGCAATCTCCTCAGCCATTGGTATCGACCATTATAGGATCCATAATTTATGAAGAACGAGTGTTTTTATAATTTTAATGCTTTTTAGGAATAAGTCAGCTGATGATTTGAAAAAGCAGGAGCCATCCCATACTTTAAAGAGATCGAATTCATAGCCATTTATTAAACCACAGCATCCAGACTATTCTGCTGAAGAAATACACAATTTATTGAAGGATATCAATTGATGATGAACTTACAATATTATTTCATAGTAATCATAGAAATATTACTATATGAGTCACCTTAATATAGGGATATTGGCTTAACATTCACTAATTATTCTTAAAGTAATTTAAAAAATGATTAAATTTTATTTAAAAAATATTAAATGGTGAACGTACCTAAAAACAGAAAAACATATTGCAGAAAATGTGGAAGCCATTAAAGTTGCAAAGTGTCTCAATACAAAAAGAGCAAGGAAAGCCCATTTGCTTAAGGCAGAAGAAGGTACGACATGAAACAAGCTGGGTATGGTGGATAAACAAAGCCAATTTTCAGAAAGAAAGCAAAGACAACAAAAAAAGTGGCTTTAAAGTAAATATATTTTTGGAAAATAGGCTTGAATGTGTCAAGTGTAAATTAAAGTGGTTGAAGGTTATTAAGAGATGCAAGACTATTGTCTTTGTTGATGCTAATTAGCTCAAAAAATAATAAGAGGCCAAGAAGAATGCTAAATGAGATAATATAGTATTATAATAAGATAAATTATGTTTATTTAGGAACGATGTACTATTATTAGTTTGCATTACTTTCTTTAATCATCTTAATTTAATCTATAAATTTATAATATTCTAATAAATATCGTCATGATTGATAGAGTATTCATATGTATTCTATTGATACAATGAAAGATAATATACAATAATAGATTCTTAAATTAATAATTTTATTGATATGCCTATATATTTGATTATTTAATCAGGCAATTCCCTTCAAATTATTCACTTATTAGTTCGCTAGTAATTTCAATTCAACCGCTTTTCTTGATTTTTTGTATTTCCCCACATAAACCATACAATTAAATTAAAACCTACATTATATAATTTAAAATACCTTAATAATTAGCCTTGTTTAGATGTTTTTAAGATCTCTTTTGTGACTCCAGCTTTTTGTAAATCATCTAAATGAACAAATATATCTGATTTATCTTCATCCATAACAATAAACCCATAATTCTTTTGCTCATCAAAAAATTTAAGTCTTCCAGTATATATAGGGTTGGCTGGTTGTTTTTTTTAATCTGTCATCTGTAATTTACTGTTCAGTGGAGGACAACTAGCAGTTGATACCAAATCCAAAGGAGGAAAGAAATCTAAATCATCAATGTTCGGAACCCCTTCCTCATATCTCTACTAATTAAAAGATAATTATTGATATGAAGGTAATTCAATTTTCTTCTTATCTTCTTAAATTGGAAACGGCTTAAATGAATTTATCTAATCTAATGATGGAAACTGATAATCGTCTTAAAGGAATGACTGCTATTTTGTTTATGAAAAAAACACTAAAATAAATGCATATTGTTACGTGCTTTATCTTGTGGAAGAGATTAAATTTAGGTAATAATTGATTATTCTTTTTATTCCCTCTAGAAATCAAAAATTTAATGTTCTGATAACGATTTCTTGTGTCTTCTAACCAATTTTTACTATTCCTTCTCTGGGGTAATATTTATTGAAGGTATTACATTCTAAAGCATAAACTTAGATTTACATCTTCAAATATCAAATCGAATGTGTAGAATTTATCTTATTGCAATTAGTCTAGCTAGGCCATCATTTCCTCCATGGCGATTAATGTGTTCATTTACACTGTTGAGACCAATGCCAAATATCCTGTCGATTTAGGACTATAACAGAATATATTTAAAGTTCTGGAATATTTGGGAGGAACATAAACATTACAAAATAATTGGTTCTTCTAATTTGTGTAGAATTCTTTAATCTTAGTTTTCATGATTGTTGCATAAAGGGATATGTATTACTAAAAATTAATTTGTGATGAAAAATTACTTTTGCATTAAGTGAATCATTTTCTATTATTGCCAAAGATAATTCATATCTCTACATTATCTTTGGGAGTTCTTAATCTGACTTGTAATTCTATTTGGCAGTTTTATACAAATGTTCCTTGATCTAAGCATCAGGACTATGGAAATTGGCAACAGAGAGTGCATCCAATATATGCATACCTGACAATCTAGAAATGAGTAATTGATTGATACCAATTTCGCCCTTGTATATTATTGTATGCAAATCATTATCATTCAACACCTATCTTTACTATTATATCATAATTTAAATATATATAAATATTTGTAAAGTAATATTATTTTTATAGTTTGCTGTCCACATTCTTCAGCAATCCTACAAAATAGACTTGGGTTTACTTCCGATCAGAATAAGTTGTCTATTTAAATATTGTTTTTATTTATAGAAATAAATTGAACACGACTGAATGCCTCATGATTATTTTGTTTGTAATCTATCAAAAATTGATTCTTTGCCATCCATACGAAGTCTTCCCTCATCTTTGAATCCTCTTCCAGATTAGTACTATCCCAATACGATGACTTTTCCGGATTGTTAATAGTTTGGAACAGCACTCATTTGATATCCTTTTTCTTTATAATTGTTAATAAGTTCTAAGCAAATTAAATCAAACGAAAATACCAATTGCTTGATCAGCAGATTATTAATTCGAAAATGTGATGGTGGCTTATTTAGCATTAATCTAAATTACTAGATTATTATACTTAGACTCCCAATATATTGGCATCGTCATTTATTAATTATTTTAAATCACTCTAAGTGGATCCTTCTCTTATATTTCTAATGAATATTGGAAATGATCCTTTTGATTTTGGATGTTATTATTATTAATCTAAAATACAATGAAGGGTAACAACATACCTTTTCTGCTAATATTCAAAATACCATTCTTCTTTGGTTATTATTGATGCAATTATGTGTTGGCTGAATATTATTGATGACCATGGTTCTGAATTTTAATTACCTATTTCCTGATATCCTTTTTCATTATTTAGGCGGAATACATTTTTCCATTCTCCTCATCTGATTCTTATTTCGATTTTGATGCTGAATGCTAGGAAGGTTTATACTCTTATTAACGATCTCTTATGATGTTAATACTTTTAGAAAATATTTGATTTTTTTTCATATTATATATATATGTATTTAATCCCTGATTGGAATAATAAACAAAATAATAATTAATTATCATTGATTTTCTTCACAAAATTAGTCACTTTGAGATTGAGGCTACTAAGCGTTTAATAGCCTCTGCTATTGAAATGCAATTTTACACGATTTTCAATTTAAACATCTTATTGTTTTAACTACGGACATCATCAAATTGATTCACATAATGGAGGTATTGTTCCAAATGTAATAATTCCTATTGAATAATAAGCCTTATCCTTACTTTGTCGTTCTTGTCATCAAGATATGGTATGATTGGAATCCCATTATCAATTTAAAACGCAAAGGAGTAAGCAGAATTATCCACTAAGACAATATCTTTCATATTCCTATTAAGAATTCGTAGGTCTTTAATGTGACAATTATTTGATATTTGAATACAATCGTCTCGAAACAACCTATAGGATACAAGGTTTTGTTCTGGATCTAGATAGTCAATAATTTTGTTCGCATAGTCTGGATTTGAGGCAGTGAAAACTATGATCTCATAGATCTTAGCCATATTCCTTAAGAATTATTAAGCGTGAGGTCTTATGCTTATGCCAACCTAAAATCGATTTGCGATATACCTAAAAGCTTTTGTCACCGTAGACTAATGGAATGAAAAAATCACTCTTTAAACAACTATATTCATTACAATGTACTAATGTTTCATCTAAATCTATTATCAAAGTCTTCTGTATTTCTTAAATTAATTAAATTATATATACTTTTTTATGGCTAAATTTTGATGGAAAATGAATATTGTTATGGGCACACAATTAATTTTGATTTTTACAGATTACTGTATAATTAGGAGAAATGGTTTATGTACATTTAAGCCATAAAAGAGTCTTTCAAAGATCCCATTAGATAGCCAATTAAATTGTGCATGTAGTATTAAAAATTTGAGGAGGTGAGAACTAAAATAAAGAATGAAACTAATATTTACTTTATTCACTCAAAAGAGCTTCTTATTGTATAATCTTTTCAATTGATGGAATTGAATTTTTTACATCTTTCTCATGTAAATATGATAAAAGCTACCCAGTTGATTTTTCTGGTCTTTTTTAGGTTTGACATTTCCTTTCAATCTATTTTCTACTGATTTATGATTTAAGATTTCTCAGAGGGTGGCTCTTTGGTTTCTTAATTTTCTTGTTTGTTTCAATTGGTATCTTTGGTTCTTTCACTGAAATACTGAAAATTATAATAATCAAATACACTGATGACGTTTATGAAATACAAGTTAAGTTATCGTCCAAAGAAGGACAGATTTGAGTCAACGAAGAGGTTTTATGCATCCATTTTTAGTTTTTTTACTAATGACAATTTGATGATAGATAATCAGTTTTCAATAAAGATTATTCTGAGAACTTCTTATTATTTTCTAAATAGGCTTCTTCATTTTCTTATTAAGATTCTTATGATATCAAAGCAATGTCATACATTTAACAGTCACCTTACAGTGAGATTCGTTATTTGTAGGGACTTGAGTATTATTTTCGATTCTCAAAATGGTTTATAGAACATAATTATCTTGTGATTAGAGATGAGTTGTCTGATTTTGTTAATTAAGCTTTTCCTAGTGTACTACATCAGTTTAAAAATTACACAACAGTAGTTCAACTTTTTCATTTTTTTTCATAATGTATTATTAAATAATTTGCATTATAAGAGATTAAAAAATGAAGTTGAATAGTTGTAAATGCATGGGGGTACTATGATTAAATTATATATATTAACTGCTTTCAATTTCTTAGTTAATTTCTTTCAATATGACATCGCGATTCTAAATCATGGATTTATAAATTTACATTTTATATAAGTTAATTGAACAATAAAAATGATAATAAACTTAGTGAATTTCAATTTCCTTCCTCTTTAGTTGGCAATCCCCCTTTCTTGATCCAGCGTATTCTTTTCCCATCTTACCATTCCCCTTCCTTTTCTACTTTCGAAGAGCCAATGTAGATTCCAATGCCATGTTATTTCCCATTCGCCCATTATCCTTTATACATCTAATGATATAATGAATGCAATTTTACCCTTCCATCAGGCCATTGAAACTCTCCATAACCATGCTTTTTGTCGTCTTTATATTCCCCTTCATATTTTCTACCGTCCAACCAAGTGAACACCTTATCATAATTTAATTGTTTACTCCTTTTCCATCCATTTTATTATTCTTCCATTCTCCTACATACTTTCGGTTGTCCTCCCATTAATACTCTCCTCTGCCATGAATATTGTTTTAATCGAATTCGCCAACATAGACAGATCCATCAGCCCATTTGAACGTTCCCTTGCCATGCTTCTTTCCATTCTTATATTATCCTTCATAACTAGCACCATCTGGCCATATTTCTTTCCCATGTCCATTTTACTTATCTTCTTCCCAATATCCCACATATTAAGCTCCATCCATATGCACATATTTACCCTATAATATTGATTGGTACATTTACAAATCCATGTGCTTTATCGTTTCTCCATTCTCCCTCATATTTGTCTCCATCAGCATGAACCAATCTGCCCTTTCCACAAGCAACGTTCTGGTACCAATACCCTTCATATATTGAGCCATCTTGCCAAATTTGCATTCCTCTACCATGACGAAGTCTAAAATTACTTTCAATTTCAAAGCATACCCATTCTTCCATTATCCTTTATAAACACTACCACCGTCTAATTCATAAGGTTCTAAAAATGGTAATTCTTTAAATTCATCCTTATCCTAATCATACACAAAGGCCTCGATCGAACTTAAAACCTAACCTAAATACTTTAAATACTTATTTAGTTTTAGAAGTTAAATAATCTGGCATTGTGTCTAATTTCCTATATTTTTCGCTTGGAGCATGAATTCTATTTTAATCAGACTAATTTTTATAGTTTTCTTCTTTAGATTCGTGAGCGCTTCTATTATTTTATAGAGTTTGATTATTGTTAATGTTCTTTCCCTTACTTGAACTATTTTACGACTTTTTATTCCCATTTTTGTCCTGTTCCTATATTTTTTTCACTTTCTTTCTAACTAAATGACCTCTACAATGAGCTTTACTTGCATATCAAAAATACCTTGTATTATTATAGCCTTTTTATTAAGTATATCCTAATTAGCGGACTTCTCGGAGATAATTTAAGCTACATCTATCTACACATTTCTTTCCATAACTTATCCTCCACCATTGCAACAATTTCCCATCGCTTTGATATTACCTGAAAATATTTGATTTAATAAAATTAATGAATTGCCATCAAATAATAAAATTATGAAAACTAAGACATAATAATATTCACTAAAAGGATTCTAAAGTTTTTTAATTTAAAATTAAATTAGCCAATAAATATATTAAGAGTATTGTCTACAAACTAATTTTAATCACCTAAATCAATGCGATAGATTCCATTTAGTATAAATCTGAAGAATTTACTAAAATTAAACAAACACAAGTGTAAATTATTTAAGTAAAAAAACTGATCGTTTTTTATATAAAATTTATAAATTCAATACATTAGCCATTTTCTAATACAAAATCCAATGTTTATACTATTAGAATTTACAGAAGAATTTTGTTATTTAGTTATAGAATTCTTCAGAAAGTGGATAATAAAATAATAAATTATTCGGAAACAACAATTTTAAATATGTTATAGATTTGATTTATTGTATATTATATAATCTATAAAATTCATAAACATTTGTATCATTGCTAAATTTCCTATTTGTACTAGTTAATACAATTTTGATATAAGGTTTTGATCTCTTTTATCTAAAATAGATCATCTGTTTATAGTTTAAAAGGTTCATATTGTTATTAATGAGGATTGATAGAAATTGTGGGACCTAACTTATATTAAATATCTAACCTCCTCCGTAAATTTCTTATAAGATATGCCATATAGGAGCAGTGATCATGTGAAAATGCTAGCCTTCCTTTTTTTATTAGATGATCTATTAATCTTTATCTAACAATAAGTAATTAGTTATTTCCCCTGGAGGAGGATAACCAAATAAATTATTTCTTTGTAAAATCTATTTTGAATTATAAAGATAGGTTTGCCATTTCTTTAACCATTCTTCATGAACAACAAATATTCTGTCATACCCTTGAAGACTTTCATATTTAATTATTAATTGTCTTTCTAATTTCCTTCTTCTACTCATTTATTATGCATATTCTATACAAGAACTACAAGTTTTGATATTCTTCTCAATGATTGGACCTCCACCATATTTTTCAATTAAAAATTCGCAAACGGCTTTTGGGATAATGATTGATGTGAGTTATAGTTATTTTTAGGCAGAACTTTCCTAGATGTAAGCAGGCGAATTAGAGTTTTAAACCTCTCCTATAGTAATGAAACTTGTATTAGTATCTAATTGAGAGTTGTACTAAGCTGATTTAGCATTCTTATATAAATAAACAATCTTACTTCGTATTCTATTCTGAAATCCCAATAATCTGGTTTTAAGAGGTTATGAGGGCAAATTAAATGAGATGTTATAATTGAAGGTGGTTTTGCAAGATGCAAAAATTACTCAAACCAGAAATGCGGTAAATAGCATAGTTCTTCATCTTTCAATAATAATTCTTGATTGGCTATCATATTATGCTAATTTTGAAGGTTTTTTCGAAGACTTGTTTTAAATAGATCGACCTAATTATCTACCTTCTCATAAAATAATAATAAAGCTTCACATTCTTCTACATATTTTTGTGATACTATTTCAATAATTTCATCTTTGATGCTAAGAAATTGTGAATTTTGATATTTCAATATGGTTTCAAAATGATCGCCTCCTTAATCGTGTAAATGTACAATAATACCGAAAAGTCGATAATTTTATTCACTATCCAACTATTATTTATAAATGAAATGATACGTTAAAGTATTCTTAAAAGTTATGATCCTTAATTGGAAATGATACATGTTTGGTGTCTTTTTAGTTTTTATTCAGAAACCTTTGTAAATGAATGCATAACAAATTGGATTATTATTAAAAACTATATTGTCTCTTACCTGATCTTGCTCCACAACTGCAAAGGGTTAATGAATCGATCACTGGTTCATAAAAATAATCGAGACACTCTTATAACGAAATAGATTGTTTCTGATTATTGACCAATTATTTAAAGAAACCTTACTGCTTTATCTCTGGGAGCTCTAGGGATAACGCTGAAAATTATTCAACAGACTTTGTAATTTTCTTGCAATTCAAGCATTGTAGGTTAGAAATAAGCTCTCCAGAGAATATACTTTGAATAAAGGAATATTCCATATATAAACTAGGATCAGCACTAACTACTTTTTAGAGTGTACATTATGTTCCAATCATGTCCTAGAGCTTGTTTTGTGTAGATCAAGTTACTTTTAAAGTATCCTTTCAAATTTGAAAATTTGAATTCTTCATTTAAAAAGTTGATAACTGTCTTGAAAGCATCCTACTTGTATATAAATGTTGAAATACATAAGCATCTTTTCTGGAATATCCTATAATTTTGGAGTCGATCTGGGCAAGGTTCTTAATAACTTTGGAGGGATTTATGATTCTATACTGATGTTACGAATAGATTGAGGCCATGGCACTTAATTCTCTAAGAATCTATTTCCGATTAGATTTCAAACTATATTCATTTATTTCATATTCAGAGTTAATTTTTTGAAGTATCTATTAAATGACAGGATAGTTTAGTAATATTTATAAAACACAGTTCAAATGGCTATTATTACAGATGTTTAACATCCCTGCATGTTGAACATTTTATTGATTTTTAAATTATATATTTTAGGCTTCTTACTTATAAAAGAACTTGTGATATTCCATTCGTATTTTTTAAGGATTAATGATTTCTTCAATAAATTGATCTTCTTCAGTTTATAAGGTTTGCTCAAAATCATAAATTTCTATTTTACACATCAGACATGCAATTAAATTTGAGTGGATATTAATTATCACACAATGTTCTGGACTATTTACTAATAATATAATCAAATATTTTTACATCTTAAATGCTCTGCAGAACATATTTTTTCTATGTCACACAATGGCTTTTCACATTTCAAACAAATATTCAAATAATCTTGTTTTCTTTGACAGACATCACATTTAACTTACTTATTCTTGAATAACACCTAAATTTGATAAATAAGAAATACCAACAATTTGGAGAGAGATTTATGAACTTGAGGAATGCTTCTTTAAAGTAAAATCCTTTGAAAATGAGGACAAGTAGATTGAAGTTTCTACTACTACATGCAAAACTTAAAAATAATAATATTTTTAAATCAATTATGTTTAAATGAAGATTGATAATTAGAGTATCCAATAATTAAGCAATAGTCTCTCTTATTATTTATACTTTAAATCTTCCTTTGTCTTTAATTAAGACTCCCTCCATGCCACCCACACTCAGAAATAGCATTTGGATTCCATGATACTAAAAAGAATTAATAAATAGTTTTATTTAATGTTATAATCTCATTCTGCTTACTTTGAATGTGTTCATTCTGGTTACTTTTCACCTTCTTATTGTTACTCCTACTCTTGATGTTGCTTATTAGCTTCTTCTTATTGCTATTCAAGTTCTCTTTACTCTTATTCCTATCTAGCCTTTTCCTCAGCAGCCTTTTCCTCAGCCAATCTCTATTCTTCCTATCTTCTTTTTTCTTCCTCTATTTTTCTTTGTTCCTCCTCTTATCTTTCTCGTTCCTACTTTTCTCTTTCCTCTTGTTCTTATTTCAATCTGATTTCTTCATCCTATCTTTGTTTTTGTTCTTTTGCCAATCTCTCCTACTCTTCCCTTTGTTTCATGTATGTCTAGAAAGTTGGTCTTTCCTTGATTTGCCTTGGTTACTCTTATTTTATTTCTTTTTTTGTAGCCCATTTAGTGAGATCTCTTTTATTTTCCATATCATCTAAGAATTGTCTAATTCTTTCTGGTAGCAACTTAGGTTAAGGAAACAGCTAAGAATTTCTCTTTGAAAAAATAATAATCCCTATTAATTTATATAACTGTTTACCTTTATGAGAAATTTCAAAAGCTCCAGTTGAGGGTTTTTTCTTAGCATTATATTGGCAATAGGAATTTGGAATTTATGCATGAATTTCTAGATTTAATTGTGTATTGAATACCTGCCATGCAATCCAAATATAATTAAATGTATTTATTTTCGTCATGATGAGTACACCAAGCATGAGAAGCACAATCCATACAAACCTCAAAATCAATTATGATCGCCCCCTCTGGAGGAGGATCACTTTTAGGGATTACAGGCTTTTATTTTTGTTATGTTTGACTTTATTGTTGTTATTGTTGTTATTATTGTTCATGTTATCCCTCATGTTATCCCTCTTATCCTTCTTATCCTTCCTAACCTTCGAATTCTTACTACTCCTCAGACATTTAATTTTTTATTATTTTATTAATCAAATATCAAATATCTCTTATTTCTTAAATAACACCTTAAACTTTTCAGCAACTTCATTTCTCTTGACTTGAAGTTGATTCACCTTCTCCTCCTCAATCATTATCTTTTCCCTCAACTTTTTCTCCTTTTGCGCACTCAAAGTGGACTACCCGAAAAGCATGCTATTGTACAATTTTGCTTTTTTGCTATCCAACAGTACTTTATGAAGTGACAACTGGAGATCATAAATCTATAGTTTATCCTTCGTTCCCAATCCATATAGTCCCTTGTTCTCAAGCTAAAAAGAATTCACTAAAAGACCTTACTTCCTATTGAATGTGTTCTTCAGTTACATATGGATTTTCACTTAGCATCTACCTAATTAATGCCTATTTTTAATCTTGCAACTCAGGAAGCAATTTAACAAACTCTGCTCGCTTCTATTAGATTTTGTCTTCCCATTTCTAAATCTATAATAATAATATGATGCATTCTTACTTCACTCTGTTTTTCTGAACATAATTAAATAAATTATGAAACTAGTTCTGATTCTGTAATTATATTCCCTTTTTTATTCAATTTTTTCAGGGCATCCTCGAATATCTTCACAAATTATTGGAAATGCACACTTGAGACCTTTTAATTTCTCTATTAATTTTATATAAGGTAGAAATTACCTTTTTATAATAACCGGATTGTCTATAGAATCCGATTCTCTCCTCATCCTTTTAGAACAAATTAAGAGATTCATAAACCTCAAACATTAATTTACGAGACATTCCATATTTCATTTCCGATTCATATTTTAAATATATCTCCTTCAATTACTCTATTGTACTCTGGTTCAGAGTTGTAATTGGCTAGAATTCTACTAAGGATTGCTTTGGTAGATTTTTAACTTTGAAAATCCATCTATCCAATTTACTTTTAAGAGCCTCTCTATATACTAATTTATGGTGCAGATCTGAAAATAATATAAATGCGATTTTACATTAGAATCCTTCATAATAAGTGAACAATCCCAGGCATAGAAGAAAGAAGATAGATTTCTTTTTGTTGTCTACAATTCTCTGAGTCCATTTTGGAATGAATGGAACGAAGTAATTTTATAGCCATTTCTTAGGTTTTCTATTTTCACGATCCAAAGTTTTTCTAATTTTCTAGTTAAATTTAATTATACCATATGTTGACTTAATCTTTGATAATAGAAGTAGCGAGGAATGAAATTTTGCATATTTTGAATATGGATATTTATTCTAAGTTTTGTATATTATTGATAATAAAATGAAATAAAAGAGAGGAAGAATAATTATAAATTAAAAGAAATAAGACAAAAATCGTAACAAAGTTTAAGCATTGCTTTGAAAATGAAGGCTATTGCTAAAAGTGGTTAGGAGACTAGTCATCGGCTCGTTTTCCAGAGACAATAAAGAATCATAGACATCAGATATATCTGATAAAGTGATATTATTCAATAAATCTGGATTACAGAGGGTTGGATTGTTGCTTTTATAAGTATCAGAGAATGATTCCTTAAAATCAATTTTGGAATAAGTTTAATAAAGACTTTTGTTCTTTATATTTAAAGTCATTTTTTGTAGCTTTATTTAAGGTATTTCCTTGCAATCTCATCGGATATAGTATGACTTTTGGGAAAAAGTCCATAGTTCAAACACTAATAATAAATAGAGAAACTTTTAAAATAGTTGCAACCATTCAAATTTCTTCATTTACACTTTGTAATTGGGCTTTAATGAATTTACTATTGTTGTAATTTCTAGACATGCATGTTTCTATTGTATACACAAAGAAATTATTCATGATTTTCTAATTTAATTATCCTTTCATATTTAATTTTTCAAAAATTTCTTAATAGATTACCTAATTGCATATTCCCTTTTTAATGTGAAATTTAGTTTTTGAGATTAAATCAAGAAGTATATTACTTATATTCTATTAGATTTTAGAAATAAAGATAAATATGATATCACAACAAAATCTGTTACTCAATTATTTAATTAACTTTCTGCCCTAGGAAAGAATAGTAAGTTAAAATGAATCAATAAGTATGATATAGGGGGTGATCCAATTCAACTAGATAAAGTAAGTGAGAGGAGATCTTGGCTTTTTGGAAGAGTAGTACGAACTAAACTAAATGAATTATAAAAATAATTAATTATGTAATTAGAAAAAGAAAGCAAGCAGTCTTTTCTCTACTAATTACCATTACAAAAGACATGGGTATTATGGTTGGCACTTGCTTTAGCTTGTTTTCTATTATTTGGAGATGCTTATGCCTTCGATAATCCAATGGCTTTGCAATCAACGATCTAAACAGAGATGAACCTAAACAATGTTTAATTCAATATGCTTTATTCGATATATTCTGCACCAAATATCATCTTACCATTTTTTGGAGGAATCCTTATTGACAAGATAGGAGTGAGAGTGAGTATATTGATATTCTCAACTATCCTTATTTTGGGTTAGACTATTGTGGTTATTGGTGGATACACTTTTTCCTATGGCACAATGTTGGCTGGCAGATGCATTTTTGGCATTGGCTCTGAAAGTCTGAATGCAGCATAAGCAGCCATAATGTCGTAATGGTTTTAAGGAGGGTAAGTCAGTTTGGCTTTGGGTTTGTGTTTATCGATACCCAAATTAGGAAGTGCTTTAAATAGTGTAGTTAGTCCTCAGATTTAAGCGAATCATGGGGAATTGGGATTCACATTCTTAGTAGGACTTTTTATAGTAATATTTTCTTGGGGATGTGGATTGGTTTTAATCTATTTAGACAAGAAAAACGAGGAGTTAATGATAATTTGGAGAGAGCTCAATCCAGAGGAAGGAAATCCTGAGCATAAAGAAGCAAAGCCTTCTGCTTAAGAGATGAGTTTATAGATTAGAAAAAGCGAATCAACGGAAAGTGATCGTTCAGTATCATTATTAGAAGAGGAGGATGACGATGATGAAGATGAAGAAAAGGAAGAAGGGGGAGCTCATGAAGCAAAGGAAGAGATTAAGTTATCAGATTTGAAACATTTGGATGGATCATATTGGATTTTATCATGCATTATTATGTTGAGTGAAGCACTTTTTGTACCATTTTTGGATAATGGAAATGCATTTTTTTAAGTCAAATTTGGGTTTAGTTAATAATCAGCAGGTGTTTTACTCACAATTCCCTATGTATTTGCAGCATGTGTAACTCCTTTTGTTGGTATATACAGTGACAAGATTCGCTAACGTTCCTTATTGATAGTACTTACTACCGTTATCTTTATTATCACCCATTTATGTCTTCTCCTCATTTATTGCGATGTAAATCTATAGGATATATTCTAAATTAGACTGCCTGTGGAGTGTCAGCTCTACCATTATTGTCATTGGGAATTTGCTACTCTTTTTACTCTGCCATTTTAATCCCATCCATCCCTTTGGTTGTTAAATCACAGATGATAGGTACTCATAAAAATATAATAATAGGGACTGCCTTTGGTTTGTTGGGAGTTATGTAAAACACAGCTCTGGCCTTGTTTCCTCTTATTACTGGAAGTTTATATAATAGCCATTTAATCAATGAAGAAGGGCAAGTCGATCCATTTCAAGGGTAAGACATTGAAATCAATATTATTTAGGTATGTTTATCAATCTTATTTCTTTGTTGGTGTAAGTTGCTTTAATTTTGTGATTGCCATAAGTTTATACGTTTTTGATAAAAATGGGAGCAAGAAATTAAGTAGATTAAAGGGGAAGAGTAAATGAAGTGTTTATAGTTTGTTATTTTCATTAATATTTATTATATGAGTAAAAGAAATAAAAGCTTGGTAGAGAGAAAGAAATCTAAAAGTAAATTAAAGACAGCGATCTCGTAAAGAAAAAATTCGGATTCAGAAGATAATAATTTCTATTAGGAATTCTAAATTTTCTACTCTCAAGCTTAGAACACTACTTTTTCTAAATTTGAATACATGAAAGAATTTTTCAATTTAGGACTCACATAATTTCCAACTGACGAAGAAATTAATTAAATATAACTGGACATTCTGACTACTAGTGGTTGGAATTCAAATCTCAAGAAAAATTGGACACTCAATGAAAAGAAAGTGCTAATTTGGCTTATAGGGAAGTTGAGTTAAATAAGAAATGAAGACTTGAGGGATTTATCAACTGAACTTTTCGAAGAAGTTTCAAAGATGATATGTCGTAGAGATAAAGAATAATGTAAATAAAAATGGGCTCAAATGTAAAAGGTTGCATTACAATAACAACCATTTAGACAAGAAGAGGATTAGAAATTGTATGACATCATTATGAAATATTAATCTGCTGATCAGGGTCAAAAGTGGAGTCTGATTTCATAAGAATTAAATCAAAATTCTTCGGTCTATAGATCTAGTAAATAATGTAGAGAAAGATGGTTAAATCACCTTAATCCAAAAATATCAAAGTATCATTTATTTTGCATTTTATGTAGAGAACCTTGGACAGATGATGAAGATATCAAGTTATTGTAGACAGTTAAAGAAATTGGTAGAAGATGGTCAGAAATATCAAAAATTATGGATGGAAGAAGAAGTGAAAATAATCTAAAAAATCGATTTAATAGTTTGATTAAAAGAGAAAAGGAATTGCCTTATCTGTATCATATATATTTTATATTCTATTTTACAGCTAAACGTATAATGGATCAGCTACTAACTTGGATGATTTATTGTCAGGTTGCAACGGACCAGAAATTACAGATTTATAAAGACAAGCAATTGATGCTGTTTTGGCTAAGCTCAAGTGGAGAAGTGCAGAAACTCAAAATAAAAGTAATCGCAAATAATCAATCGAAATATCAGAGCAACAACAATCTAAATAGGCATTTAAATAACGAAATTAGCCTACTGTCTCATATACTATCGGAAATATCGAATAAGAGTATAATATTCAAGAATTAATACCTTGCTTGGTGAATGCTAGTAAAAATATCATTTACTTCTGCAACAATGAGACCCTATTGTAATTTCATGAAATTAATCAATAAAAACAAAATTAATTTAAAGAACAGTTTGATAAAATCAAAAGTGAATTACACATCTTTGATTCTGGATTTCGCAATTTCAAATCTACTTTGAGTATGATAGAAGAATTCGAAGAATCCCAAAGGAGTCACTTGAACTTTTATACCAATGATATGGATGGTTTTTTAAATCTCGAAACACCAGAAACCTTTTCGAAACCTATTTATGCAAATCCAATTGAAATCATCACTCAATCTGCCATGAAATGCTTTCACCGATGGAAGACTGATAGTTAACTTAATGATAGGCGTAGAAATAGTATACCCATACCAAGATCACTCCCGAATTTGATATTAAATTACACATGAATAGACTCCAGTATTTAATTACTTTCATTCTATCTAATAAAGCTAAAACTCTAGACTATAGATCACCTATTATCTCTTTCAATACAAAAACTTAAAAATTTCTTATTTTTAAAATGGTGATCTCCAATTTAATGTCTTTTTAATCTAAAAAGAAGAGCAACGACATATTAATAATAAACAGGTTAAATTAGATATTTTTTAAAATTTCCTTTTTAATGACTATCTTCACACTATCAAAATATTGGTATCCCACATGAAATTCTATCATATCAATATTTATTTTAAATAAGCGAGTCGTTTAATGTTTAGATACTAAATAGAACTGCTTTTAACAATTATGATATCAAATTACGTTAACAACTGATTAAAACTATCATTTAATTCCAAGAAGTCTATTATTATAAATACTATACATTTAATATAACAAAGTCATAATTATAGATTGAAATAAAAAATCATTTAAAAATATATATTTATTGATAATAAGTTTTCAGAACAATGCATTTTGTATATCTGAAGTTGCCTTATGATTAGATTTAAAATAATTGAATTTTTATAAAATATGTAATACTCACTTATTAACTCTTCAATTTACCCAAGAACCAAAATTTGTTTAATATATATTTAATTTTAACTTAAAAAGTAGAAAAAAATAAAAAGTTACCTTTAATGTCAGATTATTAAACAAACCTAAATAAATTCAAATTTTAAATACGGCTGTTAGATAACTCATAAAACTGAAATCTGAAATGAGTTGTTATTAATTTGATTACTGCTTCTAATTCAAGCTGATGTAACAATCAGAACGCTTATATTAAGCTTAATTTTCAATAAAGTTTTTGAATAACTCTTACAAACCAATAATTGAATATCGAAATAATTTTTATTTATATTTAAATTCAATATGTTTTTCTAATCGAGTCTTGTCTTATATGATCTAGGCTCTTGTCTTATGCTTAAAAGAATTATCAAGCCAGTTAAATAAATAATTCTTTTGAGCAATTATTTTATCACTTACGCATTTTTTATTCGCATTAATTAAGTATATTTATAGAAGTTAAAAACGAAATTCAATAAATAAATTTCTAATTATTTGAACGTTCAAAAAAATGTCTCTTCATTCATCATTTGGCTATGACAGTCTTCGATCCGTTATTTTTGCGAGAGCAATAAAAGAATGTGAAAGTAATAATTAATTTTATTCCTACAGAAATTTAAAACGAGCATTATTTATCTGAAAGCGGTTCTGATTTTAAGAGTAGCATCTCTTCTGATTCAGAAAGACATGTGTTTGATAGGTATTTCAGTAAATCTAGCATTAGGGAATCCAGTATGGAAGCTGCTGAATCCTAAATGACACTCAATAACTAGCAATCTCTTTCTTAATTTAATACTCAACAATGATTACAATTATATTTGTATAGCACATACATAATAATATATATTTTGAATGTTATCTCCTTATTCTTCTAGTCATATTAATCTTCTATTGGGTCAAATCCCACTTTGCCTTTATCCATCATTATTCTATTCGATGAATTCCATGACAAAATTAAGATAAGTTGCAAAATTCTATATATCTTATATTTAGGTAATAGAATTCTGAATGTTACTTATTTTGATAAACATCATTTCAATTTAATTAAATTAAATCTTGTTATGAATTAATTTTTTACAATTGCCAATAGAAATTATTGTATAATATTGGATAATGCTTCTCATTATAAGCAATTAATCAATTACAATTTATAATTGCAAAAGGATCACACAGATTAATGATATATATCTAGGTTAAAGTTCATCTATTATTTATTGGTAATTGTATAAAAAATAAATGTTAAACTAAAAATAAAGTTTATTTGAGAATATATCCTTAAGAATATATTGATTCTTACTCTTAGTCTATTAATACTTCATAGAATAAATCAAATTGATGATTGTTGATTAAAAAGGAAACAATGTTCAAATCCTTAATTAAATTTTCTATTACAGGAATCTGTAATCTTTTTTTATATGATTGAAGGGAAAATGCTGAAGCCTATTATATTATTCGTAAATTTTATACCAATAATTAGCCTTCTATACAAAATGTCCCAAAAAAAATTTGATTTTTCAAAGATGTACTTAACGTATAGATAATAAATACATCTATAAAAATAATCTAAATAATTGTCAAATAAGGAACCAAATTAATCTACACTAAATTTACTTTTTCTTGAAAAATTAAAAGTACACCTATTCAATTTTAACTTCCTATTTGTTGAAAACTTTAGATGAAATGCTTTGAAAACTTTTATATCAGAATTGAAAATAATTATGCAATCTTGAATAAGGATTTAATTTAAGAAGAGTTAAACAACTCAATATCTTAATAAGAGTTGTTATACTAAAATATTCAGGCTTTAATTAACTATGGGAATAACAAGAAATGAGATAAAATTTTAAATGAATGATAAGAATTTGCATTAGCCTAGATCAAATAGATATTTTTTAGATTAATTATGTTTTTGTTAGATACTTAAAATACATTTAATTAAAAAAATGATATATAATTATCAAAACAACTTCTTTAAGTTTTTAAATTCTTATTGCAAAATTGAAGTAGAACTATGATCACTTTTTGTATTGGTTGTATTATTAGAATATCTATGACTTGCATGAGAACTTGTTTTTCTATGACAAGATGGTGTTGATAACCCATTTAATTCAGTTTGTAATTTGAGTAATATTTTGATTGATTAAATGAGTTCTCCATCTTGGTCTTTTGTTTGATTTAATTATTTCATTTTTTAGTATAGAGCTTGTGGGTGAACATTTTTGTTTTTAATGATCATTAGAGTATCTTTTTCTAGTTTTTATAGCCCTTTTTGANCTTATATTTAGGTAATAGAATTCTGAATGTTACTTATTTTGATAAACATCATTTCAATTTAATTAAATTAAATCTTGTTATGAATTAATTTTTTACAATTGCCAATAGAAATTATTGTATAATATTGGATAATGCTTCTCATTATAAGCAATTAATCAATTACAATTTATAATTGCAAAAGGATCACACAGATTAATGATATATATCTAGGTTAAAGTTCATCTATTATTTATTGGTAATTGTATAAAAAATAAATGTTAAACTAAAAATAAAGTTTATTTGAGAATATATCCTTAAGAATATATTGATTCTTACTCTTAGTCTATTAATACTTCATAGAATAAATCAAATTGATGATTGTTGATTAAAAAGGAAACAATGTTCAAATCCTTAATTAAATTTTCTATTACAGGAATCTGTAATCTTTTTTTATATGATTGAAGGGAAAATGCTGAAGCCTATTATATTATTCGTAAATTTTATACCAATAATTAGCCTTCTATACAAAATGTCCCAAAAAAAATTTGATTTTTCAAAGATGTACTTAACGTATAGATAATAAATACATCTATAAAAATAATCTAAATAATTGTCAAATAAGGAACCAAATTAATCTACACTAAATTTACTTTTTCTTGAAAAATTAAAAGTACACCTATTCAATTTTAACTTCCTATTTGTTGAAAACTTTAGATGAAATGCTTTGAAAACTTTTATATCAGAATTGAAAATAATTATGCAATCTTGAATAAGGATTTAATTTAAGAAGAGTTAAACAACTCAATATCTTAATAAGAGTTGTTATACTAAAATATTCAGGCTTTAATTAACTATGGGAATAACAAGAAATGAGATAAAATTTTAAATGAATGATAAGAATTTGCATTAGCCTAGATCAAATAGATATTTTTTAGATTAATTATGTTTTTGTTAGATACTTAAAATACATTTAATTAAAAAAATGATATATAATTATCAAAACAACTTCTTTAAGTTTTTAAATTCTTATTGCAAAATTGAAGTAGAACTATGATCACTTTTTGTATTGGTTGTATTATTAGAATATCTATGACTTGCATGAGAACTTGTTTTTCTATGACAAGATGGTGTTGATAACCCATTTAATTCAGTTTGTAATTTGAGTAATATTTTGATTGATTAAATGAGTTCTCCATCTTGGTCTTTTGTTTGATTTAATTATTTCATTTTTTAGTATAGAGCTTGTGGGTGAACATTTTTGTTTTTAATGATCATTAGAGTATCTTTTTCTAGTTTTTATAGCCCTTTTTGAATGATTTAGAAGTATTAAGCAATAATTTATTCTGAACTTTCATTATTGCTATTATTTTGAGGGACATTGCTTATGATTGATATATTATTATTGGTTAACTATTTATTAGGAACTCCAGTAGCACTTCTTTTGTGTCGAGATGGTTCGGTAATTTCTTTCTGTATATCTTTTTGAAATTAATTTTCTTTAACTTCCTAAGTGTATTTTTTATCATCCAAATAATAAGGTTTATCTTTTAAGGGTTAGAATTGAAGTGGATTCTGAGTTTGTTTTTTATTATCGGTATTTTGGAAATTAATATGAAATTGGGATGCAAGTGGAGTTGAATAAGGACTAGCATTAGGAGTGTTATTATTAGGTTTTAAGATATCTTTATTAACTAGTTAGGTTTGTAATTGAAGTTCTTATTATTGTTATTGATATTAGATTAAGGTTTTTTAGATCTGAGATTAAAATTAGGATCCATATGGTTGCTAATTGAGTTGAACTTTGGAACGATCTAATAATTTGAAATAAAAAATACTTTCATCCGGGATGACAGCAACTGTGGCTGATTATTTGTGGATGTGTCCAACTGTTGTATTATTTTGCTTAGGTTTTTCATTCATCAATTTCATAGCGTTGTTAGTTTATGTTAATAATTCTGACATTTTTTATTGAGCTGTATTTTGAGCTTTGTTTGGAATATCAAAATTAGAATACCTCCTGCAATGTTGTGAATCATTTTATAATTAACTCTATATGTAATTAAGTAAATACCTCATTTAGAATCTCTTTGTCCATTTCACTTGAATCTGTAATCAGATTCAGTTCATTATTTTCCATTAAGAGATTATTGATGTCATAGGTATGAGTAACTTTGCGGCATAATGGACACTAAATTCTGAACTTATTCTGTATTTAACTAAAATACAAATTCAAATTTTCTCTTACCTTGTATTTTCCTAAATAGATATATTTTATGCGCATTTGAAACAAAGTGTATGAGAGCAAATTAATGAGATAGGTTTCATGGCTTACATCTTACACAATTAGCAATGAGAGATCGATGTCCTTTAATACATATTTAATTAACTGATTATTTATATAATTAAAAAATCTACTCAGTTACCATAGATATTTACTAATTTATCAACACTGCAGCTATAGATATTCTTGCTCAATTGCCCAAATCTATAATCCATATAATTATTTTAATACCTAATGCCAGTGACAAGGTCTCTATGACTCTCAATTTTACAGAATTCCTACTTTTTCTTAACATCAAAAAAGTGAATAGTCTTGTTACTACCAACAGCCAAAAATTAACCTGATGGATCATATGATAAACCACCTAAATAACTTAGGATCATGAGTTACCAATCTTTACGCCTTGATAAATCTTTGAGAATTAACCAGGACGTCTTAAATCCCATTCATTGACTTCACTACTACTACTTGAAGCTAAATTAGCTCCACTTTCAGAAAATGACAGGTTCGTGACAGCTCCCTACATAGATATAACTTATTCATACATCTTATCCATCCAATTAGGCCAGCAATTAACTTTTTACAATACTCCAAACCTTAATTTAGGAATCTGCCTATCCGATAGCCAATAATAGTCCATCAGGATGAACAGATATTGAAGTAAATTAACATTAACCCTCAAAGTCAGTTACTCTACTTAATTGCAATCCATTTTTTAAATTATAATATGCCAATACTCCATTAGTAGTTACTATAATAGCAATATATCCTAATGGATGGATTGCAACTCCTGCAACACTTTAACCAACATTAATAGTTTAAGTAACTTAACCTTCCTGACTTTGAGAAATAAATTAGTATAATTTGAGATTTCCATCTTATGAAGACGACAAAAATCTAAGATGCTCATCATAAGTAAAGAAATTCACTGAAGTAATAGTCTCTCTATGTTCTTAAGCAGTATAAACTAATTTTTCATGAGAATACAATTAGATTTATCCAGCCTATCCACCTACTAATAGATAATTGTCTTTTGTATCCAAAGTGGTGCCTCCTTATGTTTGTTAGTATTATTATTTTACATCATAATTTGATAGAATCTATGATAATTAGGATCTATTACTTCAGGGCCTGGGAATTAATCGAAGTATGACTATTGCTTTCTTTAGGCTTTTCTTTAATTTGTTAATTTAATGGCATTTTCTTCAATTTCGGCAATGTAATTTGAGGATAATTTCTCAGGGGCATTATTTGTTTCTACTTCGATTTTATGGTTTAATTTGTGCTATAATTATGACAATTCTATTCTAGCTTGGTCTCTTTCTTTAATTAATTTAGCAATCACTCGGCAAGCTGCATCATGCTAATACAATGCATGTGTTAATTCATGTCTAACTTATTCTAAGTGTTATTTTAATTAAAATTATTCCAATAATAATGCATCCCATTCATTTTATAGCAACGACAACAACGATGGTATTGATGTAGCTGTCACTGGTCTTGGTTTCTAAACTCTAGACACTTTCACCTAATGTTCTCATACATTTCATACTTCGATGAGATCTTCGATATTCAATGGTCTTCCAGTTATTGGACATGTCCCTGTGCTCTCTATGTGTTTCTCAATTAATCTCTTTTCATATATGTGTCCGCTCACTTTAGATATGACTGGAGTTTCTATTAACTCTCCAGATAGAGCACAAGTTTACCAGGATTACATATTATGATATTTATTTATTTGAATATTTAATTAAATTATGTTCAAGAAACTAGAGGATCTTGCCAAACCAACTTTACTTTCCAAGACTGGCGTCAAGGAATTAAAGCAATCATTCAATGATTAGTACCCTTTTTTCAAAGAAATAGAGGATGAGGTATTTCCTAAGAAAGCCAATATCTAATCATTTAAATTAAGAAGTGAATACAAAGTCGAAATTGTCTAAGTTGATAAAGATTATATTTGTTTTACCAAAGAAGATTTAGTCATTCCGCATTTGAAATTAGTCCACAAATTCCCAGATCTATTAATCAAATAATAAGTTGACGCTGGAGCAATCAAGCATATTTTAAGTGGTTCTGATGTCTTAGCTCCAGGACTCATTTCTTAAGGAGGACTACTTAATCCAGTAAGTTAATTCAAATATGTTTTAGGCTAAAAAAGGATAGGTTGTAGGCATCTATGGAGAAGGCAAGGAAAATGCAATGGGAATAGGAATAATGACTGCAAATTCTGATGATATTAAAAAAGACCCAAAAGGTCATGCAATCTAATTAATACATCATCTTGGCGATGCCTTATGGTAATTAAGTTTCAAATGAGCTGATTATATGTCTGTCTATATATTGTACATTAAATATATCATTATTATTTTGTAATTTCAGTCTTAAGGTTATCAAAGGAATCGACTGGAACATATTGAGCAAGGGTATAGTACTTACCTTTACCATCATCTTCCTCCTTCTTCTTTCTTTATAATCTGACTCTAATTCTTCTAGGCAAGTTACGAATTCCTCTTGCCCATACTGCCTCATTTAATTGTGGATCTATTCTAACATCCTCAGTTAACATGTTTTTTTAGGCTAAATAGTGCATGATTTAATACCAAATCTGACAATGTGACTGACTGCTCTAGGTGCCTTTCTTTTAAATGTTTCTTTGTGAACTGCCTTATGGAGATTGATGGTGTAATCTCTACTAACTTCACCTAATGGATTAGGCTTTCCTTTTTCCTTCTTTCCCATAAATTAAAAATCTTTAAAAATATTTTTAAAAGTAATTCGATAACACTACAAACTTATCCTTGGTGCCATTTGCCTTAAATAACCAATCCAGTATTAATGAAACTCCAAATGGTCATAATACTTTCCATCAATTATGATGCTATTATAAAGTAACTATCAATTGATCACATTATGATTAATTATATCATTCTTCATTCACATTATTATTAACTTTAAGAATTTTTAGACAAAATTATTATTACTCATTTCAAGATGGACTGTTCAGATGTAAAATCATTTAGTACTATAGTTAAAAATTCTATGTTGAATAATAAAAACTATTATTGAATTGAGCATTAAAATATGCTAATTGTAGTATTACAGGGTATTCAAGATGAGCAATCAATTGATATTATACTTTAGACTCTACCACTAAAATTGAGAGGAGTGGAACTATTTGAATTATCTTTTAAGAATCAATCCCTCAAAATAGTTTAGAGCGAAGATTTTGTTTTGATATTGCCTAGAAATTTAGAATTGACAAGCCTATTTAATTTTTTTCAGAAATCATTTTCTATTAGAGGATAAATTTTTCATTGAACAGGTTCTTATGCTAAATTATAATTAATTTTATGTATCAAAATAGATTCAAATGAGGTACCCAACATTTTATTGTTTCCAATTTTATGAAATTTTTTATAATAAAATATCATGAATGTTGTATGGATATTGAAAATAAATTGTTTCGCGAATTTCAATGCTTTAGGATATGCCTTGTCTTCTGAAAAATAAAGAGAGTAGCTATTATAAGAAGAATGAATTTAATTTGTAATTGATTTGTGAATAATAAAAGATATTAATTTATGGTTTACAAAATCAGAAATAAGTCATTTTTCTGGACAAGAGCAGGTTGGAAGAATAATTGGCATCCTAAAAATTTCAATGCCCCACGTCCTTCAAGCTCAGAATTTACTATTGGTATTAGATGTCGTTACGACCATAATTCATTTTTGAGAGGTTCGAAATCAAATGCATATTGAATAGCTTACCATTCATACAGAAAGATCTCTAGACATTGCAAGTAATATTTCTTTGGCAACAAAGAGTTGGAAGAATTATTTTAGATGGGTTTGAGAACATTTTTCATTGTACCTCACATTGCTGAATGTCAAGTCACTTAAATCAAACATGGTGGTGAAAGAAGAATGGTCGATTAGATTGATAGAGACTTTGAATTGGTATCCTACAATTCACATCCTTATTAATTATTCACCTACAGTGTCTGGAATCAATATTTGGCAAATCAACAAGAAGCTTATGAGTAAAGAAAGAATGGTGGTACAGCTATTGAAGATCAAGTCATTGATCACATCAGGTAAGAAAATGAATGTAAATTTAAGTGAATTGGTGAAGGATGAGAAAGCCAAGTTGGGTGCAGGCAAATAATTGAGTATTGAAAGAACTGCAGAAATAGTGATGAATGTTATGAGATAATTGAGAGCTGCATAATAAAGACCAAATCTTAATAATAGGTAATGAAAGCTATTATATTGTAAGACGTGCAGATGGCGAATTTGATGATTTCTTAGAATAGAGAAGACCATTCACAGCTCCAAACAATTAATCAGCTACTCATTGAGCTGCAATACATTCAAATAATATATAATAGCTATTTAATTAAAGTATATTTCTCTTTGAATCTAATACGGATTCTGTTATGCTTATATTTTAATAATGTTTTAGACTTATATATGAATATACAATTCTTAAATTATTAGTCATCTCTAATATTATGTATATTGATCTAAATTCTCATAAATTTGTAAGAGTTCATTTTAATTCAAGAAAATATACAACATTAAAAGGAAATTAATAATAATATTTTTTTTAAGAAGATTGTAATAGAATAGTATTTATAAAACTTATTGAAGTATAATTTTGGACTCTACACAATTATTTTTTATTTATAATATCAAGAAACTACTTTTCTTTAAATAGATATATATATTCAATTTATATATTCTGATAATCCCATATCAGCAGCTTCCTATAGGGCCTTGCTTAGCATATCCTGAACAAAAGTTTAATCAGATTTTAATGAGAGCGACTTATGATAATAATGAATGGCTTTGCTTAAGCTGTTAGGCAATTCACTTAAATGATAAGAGAATGCCAAACCAAAGAATATCTATGGAGAAACCGAATTCAACTAATTTTAGTAAGATATTATTACTTATATACATTTTTCAAATATCTAAATGGCATTTTTGTAATCCTTCTACTTTCTAAATGTATGTCCTAGGTTCTATAAAGCAGATTCCCTGATTTTATGATTAGAATTTTAACAAAAAACTAATGCATTTAAGAAATACTATTATAATAATATTGATTAACTTACATCTTTGGCTTCATTATATTTCTTTTGTTTATAAGCTATAACTCCTAATTCATTCTAAATCATAGGATCTGTTGGATTGATATCTTTGGCTTGTTATAATGATAAAATAGCAGTTTGCAAATTATTTGTTCTCAAGTATTCCATGCCAATATACACATGTGCTTAATAGCATCCTGGAAATTGCCTTGTTATTGATCTATATATTGACATTGCTTAATCAGACTCATCTTATATTGCATAGGAATGTGCTAATCCAATCCAGCTGTATATTAAGTGCTAGTCTAACTAAATGGATTTTTAAAATTGTTTTCTGGCTACTTCGTACTTTTTGGTAGAAAAATAATACACTCCTACTACAAACCAACTTAAGGCATTCTGAGCATAATTCTCAATTAGATTGTGAGCACAATAATAAAGTTCAGCTATCTACTCCAATTCCAATAAACATGAAACATATGTAGGGATCACTTCAAAATACAAAGGGTCTTACTTAATTGCCTTCAATGACCAATCATAAGCAGATGCTATGTCGTAATTGTAATATGCTTTCTTTGCCTTGACATTTAATATGTCTATATTGTTCTTCTTTTCCAAAGCTACATAAATCAAGTCATTTTGAATTGGAATTTCTTCTTTTCTTATATAAGGACTTCGCACTGGGGAGGGTTTCAATTATTGAGTTTCGACTTTATCAACAATTTGTAATTATTAAACAATTTTCCTTTTCTCCTCTTGCAAATGATCAGCTAATTTTGAATTCACTATGTCATAATTTATTGTTTTGCTTAAATAGTAATCTTTTAGCCAGGCTTCATCAGAAGTTAATTAAATTTGCTGGACTAAATTCTCCTTTTCATCTGAAGAAATCAAATATGAATCAACCAGTTGCTAAAACACTCTAACATTAGTTGGTGTTTTCTATAAGCATTCAAAATAATTAGAAACTGCTAACTATTTATTCTCTAAGGCTTCATAACATTATCCTCTTACCCAATCACTTTATGAGCTAGTCTCTTCTTAAAGAATTTCAATTCCCATCTCATATTGTCTATTTGAATATAGAGCTCTAGCCCCTAATACTGCAAAATCTCCTTAAGTTAATTTATGCTTTAAAAACAGATTATACACTCCTGAGAATTCCTAATTAGCGAAATGGCACTAATTTTATATAATAATTAATACCATTCCAAGCAAAAATACTAAATATGGCAATGCTGTTGAATCTTAGCTTAAACAAAGCAATTTTTCTGCAAAAAAGATCGCTTGTTTGTAATATCCTTGCAAATAACTGCTCATTGCTTACTGATAAATATTCAATAATGAAGGATTATTTAATAATGATGTTGCGAATATTGAGTTTGATTGAGGATTGAAGTATGGTAATTGAACTTCATAATACATATTTTAAAATTTCCCCTGTTCACTCTACTGTTTTGTTCCTTTTGTCACTTTTTTTTGAATTGACATTTTGACTTATTTTATTTAAAATTCAAATTTTATAAATTGCTTCTCTTTTATATTATTCACATTTAGAACAATCAATCATATTTTCCTCATGATTGACTCATCCCTATTTGAGAATTAATATTTCTAACTCAAATTATGAAAAACTTCAAACTTTATTAATATACTCTATATGCATATCACTTTATTCTAGTTCATTGTTAAAAAATTAATTATTTTATAACATATGTCAAAAAAAGACTTATTAAGATGTGAAATCGAAATTAACCCTAGTGAACTCGCAATCACAAAATTATTGAACCCTAAACCAAAGTTTGAGTACTTCTAATCATCTATGTTACAAAAAATCCAGAATTTTTTACCAGAATTTAAAAAAGCAAATGAACAGCTTGAAAATACTGATAATCTAAAACAGTTCTAAATTGACGATTAAAATGCATTAATTAGAAGACATATAGAAGATCTAATACCTGATCCTAAATTAAGAAAGTATTGTAGAAGAACTGGAAGATAGTAAAAAATGATCAATCTGGTAATTATTAATATTTAACTTTATAAGGATTTGTATATGGGAGTTATGGATACTAATAAGGATTTTAAGGAATGATATGTAGTTTTTGTTGTCTTAATTTTTGCAGAATTGCTTATATTAAGTGTAATTTTTTTTATATAAATTTTCTTCCTCTGTTAAATAACCTTGGGTTTAAAAGGGGAATGATATAGTAAATATCGTTGTCGGCCATACTAAGCCTAAAGCACCGGATCCCATTCGAACTCCGAAGTTAAGCGGCTTAAGGCGAGGTTAGTACTAAGGTGGGGGACCGCTTGGGAAGTCCTCGTGTTGACAACCCTTTTTTTATATTCATTTTTTATATAATTATATTTTTTATTAAAAATAAATTATAACTTATGTGTAAAACTCATAATAAACATTTTTTTAAGCATCCACTATTAGTTATTTATTTTCATTCTCTTATAACCTAAAGGATAGTAGTTGCTATAGATTCTTAATTTTTCTCTAAATAAATATTTAATTACTTTAACTAATTCAATTCTAATAGAAGGTTCTTTTAGGATTCTTCAACACAAAATCTTATATTAAAAAAAGCTCATTAAGATAATTAACTAATGCATTTTCGATTATATATTTTCTATGATTCTATTTGATAAAAAATTTTCTATTATAACCTTAAGCAGAAAGATTGATGATATTATGTTTATTTTAGGAGTATTTTAGTGATTTTCCAAATACATATTGCTACAAGATCTTTTAATTAATTTTCAGAAATTTAGAACCAATTGTATCATAAATAGTTATTATTATTATAAGTAGACTGGCATGAATTTATAGAAGTTAGGCAAATTTCTTTCGTTAATTAATTATCTCTCATAAAAGTGAGATTAAAATCTTTTATGAGGGAATACAAAAAATCATTAACATCCTTTCTGCCCAATAATCTCTTATCAGAATAATACACTTTTGTTATTTTTAACCTATGGTCCAATGATAGAAATTACAAACATTACTCACATGTTATTTACGATTTAGAAGATATGAAGTTAAATGATTAATCATGATTATTGGCATTTATTAAATAATAATATTTATATAAGGAATCTATTAAGAATTTCTAAGTAAAAGTAATTAGGATACTTAAATAGTAATAAATTTATCATTTTATTATTTTACTTATAACAAAGTGATGATTATTTTCTAATGATATATATTGGATTCTTAATCAATGAAAATTAGATGCATTTGCACTTTAGGTTTTAGACTTAGTAATTAGATGTTGTGATATTTTGTTGTTCATTTAAGAGAATTAAGCATATTATGAACTTCTAATTTAAGTATAAATGTAAATGATATTGTAATATTTTTTATAGAACTAATTAAATCAATTAATTAAAATTGTTGCTTATCCTGTTACTGCAATTTTCTAATCCATTTTTTCAATAGTAGTATTCAATTTCAAAATTTGTCTTCCTTTTGTATGCTTGATATCTTGTATTAGCACTTAAGCTAATATTTACTCATCAAGAAATATTGGAGCTTTAAAATTTATAGTTTGCTCTAAATAAATGCACCCAGGAAAATTAGTACCCACCAACGTAGAGAAAAGGCTTGCTGATAACATTCCATGAACAACTCGTTCCTTAAAGATGGATTAAGAAGCAGCTTATTTATCAAGATGAATAGGATTGAAATCTTTAATGAGATTGGCGTAATTTCTTACATCTTCCTCTGTAAATATTCTTTCCAATTTGAATAATTTTCCAATATGGTATTAAGAAAACAAATATTGAATTTACCTCAATTTCATATATATATTAATTGAAATAAAATTTGGTTTATAAATTCTTTATNTTTTTTTATATTCATTTTTTATATAATTATATTTTTTATTAAAAATAAATTATAACTTATGTGTAAAACTCATAATAAACATTTTTTTAAGCATCCACTATTAGTTATTTATTTTCATTCTCTTATAACCTAAAGGATAGTAGTTGCTATAGATTCTTAATTTTTCTCTAAATAAATATTTAATTACTTTAACTAATTCAATTCTAATAGAAGGTTCTTTTAGGATTCTTCAACACAAAATCTTATATTAAAAAAAGCTCATTAAGATAATTAACTAATGCATTTTCGATTATATATTTTCTATGATTCTATTTGATAAAAAATTTTCTATTATAACCTTAAGCAGAAAGATTGATGATATTATGTTTATTTTAGGAGTATTTTAGTGATTTTCCAAATACATATTGCTACAAGATCTTTTAATTAATTTTCAGAAATTTAGAACCAATTGTATCATAAATAGTTATTATTATTATAAGTAGACTGGCATGAATTTATAGAAGTTAGGCAAATTTCTTTCGTTAATTAATTATCTCTCATAAAAGTGAGATTAAAATCTTTTATGAGGGAATACAAAAAATCATTAACATCCTTTCTGCCCAATAATCTCTTATCAGAATAATACACTTTTGTTATTTTTAACCTATGGTCCAATGATAGAAATTACAAACATTACTCACATGTTATTTACGATTTAGAAGATATGAAGTTAAATGATTAATCATGATTATTGGCATTTATTAAATAATAATATTTATATAAGGAATCTATTAAGAATTTCTAAGTAAAAGTAATTAGGATACTTAAATAGTAATAAATTTATCATTTTATTATTTTACTTATAACAAAGTGATGATTATTTTCTAATGATATATATTGGATTCTTAATCAATGAAAATTAGATGCATTTGCACTTTAGGTTTTAGACTTAGTAATTAGATGTTGTGATATTTTGTTGTTCATTTAAGAGAATTAAGCATATTATGAACTTCTAATTTAAGTATAAATGTAAATGATATTGTAATATTTTTTATAGAACTAATTAAATCAATTAATTAAAATTGTTGCTTATCCTGTTACTGCAATTTTCTAATCCATTTTTTCAATAGTAGTATTCAATTTCAAAATTTGTCTTCCTTTTGTATGCTTGATATCTTGTATTAGCACTTAAGCTAATATTTACTCATCAAGAAATATTGGAGCTTTAAAATTTATAGTTTGCTCTAAATAAATGCACCCAGGAAAATTAGTACCCACCAACGTAGAGAAAAGGCTTGCTGATAACATTCCATGAACAACTCGTTCCTTAAAGATGGATTAAGAAGCAGCTTATTTATCAAGATGAATAGGATTGAAATCTTTAATGAGATTGGCGTAATTTCTTACATCTTCCTCTGTAAATATTCTTTCCAATTTGAATAATTTTCCAATATGGTATTAAGAAAACAAATATTGAATTTACCTCAATTTCATATATATATTAATTGAAATAAAATTTGGTTTATAAATTCTTTATTCTGATTGAATAACCCTTGGGTTTAAAAGGGGAATGATATAGTAAATATCGTTGTCGGCCATACTAAGCCTAAAGCACCGGATCCCATTCGAACTCCGAAGTTAAGCGGCTTAAGGCGAGGTTAGTACTAAGGTGGGGGACCGCTTGGGAAGTCCTCGTGTTGACAACCCTTTTTTTATATTCATTTTTTATATAGTTGTTAAATTGATTGTGTTTTTAATTCAAATTGACAATGATTTAGAAGGTCATTGCTCATAGAAACTTAGACACCTGTTAATATCTCCTAAGAATTATGCCATTTTGATTTAAAATACGTATTTTCTTAAGTTATTTATCAGACAAAAAATACTTTTTAAATCTATAAATATTATTATCCAAAAATAATTATAATAAGTCTAGCATATGACATCCTTCGTTTAATCAACATTTGCAATATCTGCAAAGCCGAATTTTGAATTTTTGTAGAATTAGATTGAATCTGATTCAGATAATGAAGAATAGAAATAGAGATTATAATAAATACATGAAAATTAGAAAGAACACAAAAAATTCAAGAAATTAATAGATATAGATTTGGTGAAAGAAGAATTGAAAAACAGGCCCAATGTTGAAATGAAATTAAGCTCTATTTAAAAGAAAAAAATTTCTAAGATTAAAAGTGTCCGTTCTCTAAATGATCTTATTATTCCCACATCTCCAATTTTGATTGATCAATTAGGAAACTTGAAGAAAATAAAAGAGATACGTTCGGAAGTGCCTCCAGAGTTGATGGGAAGAATTTACTCAGAACTCAGGTAATTTTTAACAAACAATTATGAGATATGAATTTGTGCCAGCCTTAAATCCAGTGTATCGATAGGGAGATTAGAACAAAAGATTTTACATTATACTAGAAGGGAAGGTAGTAGTGATGAAACCGAAATTAAAGATGGTGGGGTCCAGTAAAATAGAATTTGATGATAATTTGTAATAAAAAAGTCAGGGGAAAAACGATGATGATCCTTTTGGCTTAAAAGTTCTCTTTCCAGACTACATCATTTTAAAAATCCTATTTTAAGGAGAGTAAGCATATTTGCATAAACTTTAGTTCTTTTGGAGAAGCAGCCATAAAATTGGACACTGCAAGATCATCGACTGTGTTTACATTAGAAGATACCCACTTACTCTACTTAAATGAAACTGCTTATCTAGAATATTTAAATCCCTATTTAAGTATTGCTTTAGATAAAAAAATATAATATTTTGGATAGACTCCACTCTTTCAAAATATCGATCCAGAGGATTATATGGGTATAGTATTGGAGAGCAAATTGGTCACCATGAAAGCAGGAGAGGTAGTTTATGAAGAAGGGGAGAAAACTAAATACATATACTTTATAATCAGTGGGGAAATTGAGTTGTTGAAATAAGTAAAAAAGAAGTCAATAATTTTGTCTTCGTATGGGGAATTCCAAAATTTTGGTGAGGTGGAAATCATGATGAAAATTAATAGATACACAAAGGCCAAAGTGATTTCACCAAGAGTTAACTGTTATAGGATCAGAAAAAGAATATTTTTTGATAATTTAGGTAGTTATGGAACTTATGAAAATATGAAAAAACATTCAGGTGTTATTTACANTTTTTTTATATTCATTTTTTATATAGTTGTTAAATTGATTGTGTTTTTAATTCAAATTGACAATGATTTAGAAGGTCATTGCTCATAGAAACTTAGACACCTGTTAATATCTCCTAAGAATTATGCCATTTTGATTTAAAATACGTATTTTCTTAAGTTATTTATCAGACAAAAAATACTTTTTAAATCTATAAATATTATTATCCAAAAATAATTATAATAAGTCTAGCATATGACATCCTTCGTTTAATCAACATTTGCAATATCTGCAAAGCCGAATTTTGAATTTTTGTAGAATTAGATTGAATCTGATTCAGATAATGAAGAATAGAAATAGAGATTATAATAAATACATGAAAATTAGAAAGAACACAAAAAATTCAAGAAATTAATAGATATAGATTTGGTGAAAGAAGAATTGAAAAACAGGCCCAATGTTGAAATGAAATTAAGCTCTATTTAAAAGAAAAAAATTTCTAAGATTAAAAGTGTCCGTTCTCTAAATGATCTTATTATTCCCACATCTCCAATTTTGATTGATCAATTAGGAAACTTGAAGAAAATAAAAGAGATACGTTCGGAAGTGCCTCCAGAGTTGATGGGAAGAATTTACTCAGAACTCAGGTAATTTTTAACAAACAATTATGAGATATGAATTTGTGCCAGCCTTAAATCCAGTGTATCGATAGGGAGATTAGAACAAAAGATTTTACATTATACTAGAAGGGAAGGTAGTAGTGATGAAACCGAAATTAAAGATGGTGGGGTCCAGTAAAATAGAATTTGATGATAATTTGTAATAAAAAAGTCAGGGGAAAAACGATGATGATCCTTTTGGCTTAAAAGTTCTCTTTCCAGACTACATCATTTTAAAAATCCTATTTTAAGGAGAGTAAGCATATTTGCATAAACTTTAGTTCTTTTGGAGAAGCAGCCATAAAATTGGACACTGCAAGATCATCGACTGTGTTTACATTAGAAGATACCCACTTACTCTACTTAAATGAAACTGCTTATCTAGAATATTTAAATCCCTATTTAAGTATTGCTTTAGATAAAAAAATATAATATTTTGGATAGACTCCACTCTTTCAAAATATCGATCCAGAGGATTATATGGGTATAGTATTGGAGAGCAAATTGGTCACCATGAAAGCAGGAGAGGTAGTTTATGAAGAAGGGGAGAAAACTAAATACATATACTTTATAATCAGTGGGGAAATTGAGTTGTTGAAATAAGTAAAAAAGAAGTCAATAATTTTGTCTTCGTATGGGGAATTCCAAAATTTTGGTGAGGTGGAAATCATGATGAAAATTAATAGATACACAAAGGCCAAAGTGATTTCACCAAGAGTTAACTGTTATAGGATCAGAAAAAGAATATTTTTTGATAATTTAGGTAGTTATGGAACTTATGAAAATATGAAAAAACATTCAGGTGTTATTTACAAACATTGGTAATTGATTTGTAATGCTTTTTAAAAATCAATTAATCCAAGAGATGAAGTACAATACAATTAATATTCATTAGGTTTATGAAGCTGCTTAAGATGATAATGCAAATAAACCTAATTTACTTGCAAAATCCATTTTAAATAAGAAGCTGATAGAGTCTCAAGGTTAGAAATTAAGTCAAATCAAAATATTTTAGAATCTGACTGATTCGAATTTAAAGGATTTAAAAAATTCTAATAATGATAGTCATAATCTTCTATAAAGAGTGTATAGTAATACACTCCAACAATATTAAGCTAAATTATTAAAGAAACCTTAAATGGCTATTTGTGATTAGGACTCCTAATGCATAAGAAATCAAAATCAAAATATCTAACCAACAAATACAAGTATTAACTATGACAACAATTCGACTACAAGTCCTTTAAATGAAAATAGTGTTGATCTTAAATTAAGCTCGAATAGATCATCTGTCATTATAAAAAGGGAGAGTTAGTAAAAGATTACTCTTCCATCTCTTCATCCTTCCTTACATCTAGTAGGACCTTAACCTTAATCTCTAAACACAGTTTTAGAATCTATAAGTAAATTGCCTCGAGTTCCAAAGGACAATTTAGTGTTATCATTGATGTATTAATAAGCCTACAAAGCTGAGAATCCAGCTAAAAAGGCTAAAGAAATTTAGCAAGTGATTTAAGCATCGTATAGAAATGTATAAAATCGATTTTAACCTAAATAACATCATTTAACAGAAATTCAACCATCATCAAACGAGCATAGAATAAAAAAGAACTTATAAATATCAGGACTGTTGAGTATGAGATCACAAAAGAAATAGTATTTAAATTTTGTACATCCAAAAAGAATAGTCGGAGGAAATCAAATCAATTGATGATAATTATGAATATAATCAAATTAGTTATCAATAAATTTATAATATAAGAGGTTATTCTCACCTAAATAATAGATAAATCAAATGGCAACCCTTAGTCTTTTAAACGATTTAAAATCGTATTATTTACCACGATTGAATCGATAATGCTATACAGTTTGCTATTAAGGTAATTTTAAGAAGAAGAATTTAAAACTTATTTTGAAGTGTCTATTGATGTTTATTGTAAGAAGTAAATTTGATTAAATTCTAGTTAATTAGGAATAATAGAAAATAAATGTGCAAATTCAATAAAGTTAAAACTAGACTTCAATTTAATCAAAGCAGTAAACCCAAAATGGATATATAAAAAATTTGGTAAAACTCTTCTTATAAAATATTCTAATAGTAATATAATTCGATTAAAATGGTGCTATTTACTGTTGCTTATTCTCCTTAATATGAGAATTCCTTCTATTTAAATTTTAAAAACTTGATAAAAATTACTTATTATTCTAATTGATATCTCTTTATATATTAACAATTTTATTTAATAATGTACATTTATATCTGATATCATTCCATTAAAACCCAAATTACGAAAGAAGAAATTAGAAAGCCTGCTAATGGAGGAGATTATTCACATTTTCTACATTCATTTTCAACCCAATGATAATTGTAATTAGTTTTGATTACACATGTTTCCAAATTTGCAGTTGCTATATCCCAATTTTTACATGATTCTTCTGATTCTTATTCACAAACAGTGTATTCGTAACCATTTATTCTGTTTTTTGCTTTAACACAACCAAAATGCAACTATTCTTTACATGTCATAATGGATGGACAATAATGATTCCCATCAATAAATGTACTATAACAAGCTGGAGATGCTTATTTACACAATGCTTCATTATTGGCAGCATCTTCACAAGTTGTAAATTCTTTGCATATACCCTAAATTTCTATACACTTTCCTTCTTTACCAACATCACAATTTATATGTTAAAGTTCTTAACAAGTGAAACTTGGCTCATGATCTTCGCATGTGTTAAAGGTACTCCAATGACAAGTACTACTTAAATTTTCACAATCTACCGAGGAATCAACCTTATATGAAGAACATTTTGTGAAAGCACTACATTTATCTTAATACCAAGCACAATTTAAATTTGATTTACACGAATTTCTATCTAAATGTCTTTCACAAGGAATGGTTTAACATTTTCCATCATTAGTCCATTCACATTTTCTCATTTTACATTCTGATGCATACAATAATGATTCGCAATCACACTAATATTGAAGATCCAAATTTATAATCACATCTCCAAAAACTTAAACCAAAATAAGATATATGAAGAATATTTTTATCATTAATAATTTGATTTAATTTTAATAATATCTCTTTCAGAAGATTTAATTTAATTTATATACCAAAAAATTTGGAGGCACCAATTGTCAAGAAATCTAAAAGGTAAACTTGTTTTTGCACAAGACTAATTATGTAATCCAAATTTATATAATTTCTTTTTTGAATCAAAATCAAAAAACATTTAAAATTCATTAGCTCTTTTTATTTTCGATAAGATACCTAATTAAGCGTGCATTTAGAAAAAAATGTATTATATTAATTTATAATTGTTTGTGTGTCATACTCATGCCTATAAGTAAATTCCTACATGATATATTTTTTGTGTAAATATGCTTATAGAAAAATTATTTAGTCAATTAAGAACTACCAAGAAACCCTGAAAAGGTTCTAATCTCTTTTTATCGAAAATAATGAAATCAAGAATCAATTAAATTTAAAGAAAATCTATATTTAAATGAGCACAATGAAAAAGAATTTTGAATGAAAATAAGTGAGATTAATACCCTAAAAATTTAGATTTATATTTGTATCCAGAACATTAAAATAAAAATAATGGGATTAGAAATTTAAGTTTTATATATTACTTATAATACATATTAATAGAGTTTGTATCAATTTTGATTCAACAAACACCTTTTTATAATTCTTCTATATATATTCTCAACATTTATGCAGAAAATTCATATTAATTCTTATATCAATTAAAATTTTAAAATAGTTTAAAAGTTAGGCTTATTTCTTTTGAGTATTTCGCTCTGTATAATATATTCATTTAATCTAATATTTTATTCAATATTATATTAAATTATAATTTATTCGTAAAGATTTTTAATTTAAACCTTCAACTTAAATTATCTAAAACCATTCGTTTTTATTTCAAATTATTTTAATCGACATAAGAAACATAAATAACATTATTCTTATTTAAAATATACATCATGAATTTACTACTTCTTCTTTAATTACTTTTTTATAAAAAACATAGCTATTTGGATCCTCTTCATCCCAACCTTACATCTTCTTTCTTATATCATTTTTGTCATCATAAATTTTTCTCTTTTCGTTGAGATATTGAGTGAACTAAAATGTTTATTAAAATGGATACTTGATTTGACATTTCTCTTTTCTTTTGTTCTTTTTCATGTTTGGCTTTATTGAGTATTTTATCATCTTCATTCTCATACTTCTTGGTAAATGACTTAGAGTTATTTTATAGTTCCTATTCTTCTTTATATGGTAAAATGTGGATTGGTTTATTTCTCCAATGAATATCTGAAACCTTAGTGATAGTATCTTTGACTAATTATTCTCCGATAGAACTCCAAATGTTGACACTGTGCCATAAATCACTCATTGTTATAAAGTGCTTAAAAATAAGAAATTTAGATTACAATTCCTGTAGGATCCCATTAAGCATGACTCATATAAAAATGATTTGTAGATTTAGTGATTTCAGTTACTAATTATTCATTCTTCTTAGAAATTTATCCAAATTCAACTTTTCCTTGATCAGGGGAATTTTTGGTTTTATTAACCATGGCAAAGTAATTCTAAGTATATATTATTATTTATTACTCCATTGGATGCCCACAATAATTCGTTTGTGTCTTTTCCTTTCTGTTCTCCAAGTTGACATAATTTGATTCCTTTTTTTGCATCTTCTTGGACTGAATAGAGATGGAAAGTGAATTGTTAGGTTGGTTTTTATTGTTTATCTTTTTCTCTATAGGATAATGCAAATTTTCCAGTATTGAGTTCTGTGAATATATTTTCAACATCGTCATTAATGGTATGTTCATCAATTTCAAATGGATCTGTTTTATTCAAATTACCAACTTGAAGAGTGGTTGCAAACACCTTATTTTTCTACTTCTTTTTAATCAATGTAGCAACCCATTTGCCATATGTATGCACAAATATTTGAATGCTATCAATTTCGAATGCAATATTTCTCCACTTGACAACAATATTCTTAGAATAATCATGCAAGAAGATTTGAGTTTTAATATCTTTACCATAACAAACGACAGCTAAATAGTTGGTCTGTGGAACCCACTCTATTTGTTTAACTCCAGCTACTTTAAGATTTAAGGGGGTTTTTTGATAGAACTCTGGGGCCTCATAAATTTGAATCCCATCTTTTGCTTAAAAGGCCAACAACTTATTATCTTTTCTAAACTTAAAAGAATTGATGGAAGTTTCTTCTTCTACAATCTATCTCAATTATCTCTCTTCTCTAATATTCCAAATAATAAATTGCTTAAAAATAAATAAGTTATTTTACTTATAATCCATCATAACTTATCACATATAGTTCATCTGGACTGAACAACAATTCAGAAACTCTCTTGTGTTCAAATTTGTGTAATAATTCCATATCTTAAGCACCATAGAGACTGAATTCATTTTCAGTGAACAAAACCAAATATTATCCTAGGGGGGACCATTGCAATTTGTCATATGCTGGCAATTTCTTTTCATTGATATTATCCTCTAATTTCTTCTCCAAGGAATTCAACCATTTGAGTGAAAGCTTGGATTTTTCTTAAATGATTGTGACTGCTGCTCTTGGATCTTTATGAAATGCCAATAATTCTTGTCTGGATTTCAAAGTAATTGGAACATACTCTGTTGTTTTATTAATAGTATAAATTGATTTCTAAGTAAAAGCTAACAATTAATGTTTTGCATCAAAATTTTGATTGTTAATTTGTTCTGCTGCCTATTGTGCTTGATCTTCATTATCATATGATAGGACAGCCTGACCAATATTATTTAGATCAATGTCAACAAATTAAATATAATTGTTCTTCTTAAGAAATCCTTTGAGTGCGGTAATAAGTTTTGGTTTCAATTCATTATTGACTTTTGGCAATCCAATGAGAAGAATACTAAGATTGGAATTAAAATTCAATTTAGGTTAGTCAGCCAAGGCATCTTTATTTGCCTTTTCAATTTCTTCACATGCTTTTTTGATATACTCAGACTGCAATTCTTCTTTAGAAAAATCAATTAAGTCTTGTAATTGGCTCATAATCTCAAATTAAATTTTTATTATAGAAATGGGAAAATTAATTCAGATGAATCACCCCTGAAAGTCGTTAGAGTAGTATTCCTTCAATAAATCTTAGTGTTAAAGAATTTGAACTTGGAGAACATTTATGGTCTATTTGGCAGTTTCTAATTCAATGGTTCTAGATATAAACATAAAGTTGTACAATTTCTACAGTTATTCACGTAAATATTGTATCTCCTAGATGAGCTCATCAGATTGATCACATTACTAACTATCCTTCATTCTCTATAGCTTATCAACCAATTGCTATAATTCTTATTTCTCAGTAAAGAGTTTCTAGTAATCATACATGGATTGACAATGAGTCTCCTCCTACGAACAGGAGGACTTCCGCCTGGCTTCCATTACCAAGATTTCCTAGTACAACTGCTTAGTCTCCTGAATTTCCTTGGTCATGATCTCGGAATCAAAATTCATCTCAGACTTGAGTCTAACAATTGCACTTTCCTTCAAATACTCATAATGCTATCTTTTATTTAATCTGACAGATTACTTACTTGACTTATTCCAATTATTATTAATGATACTTTTCTTACTCATCCAATTAAGTATGTAACATTGATATCTCGGCATCCTTCTCTGTTATTTTAATCTGCAATCTCTCGACTAATCTAATCACTTTATTTAGTTCAAACACTGTCTATTTAGACAATATGATCAATACCTAATCTCTCTCCACACTTAATTTGCTTAATTAAGATCTGCACAACTGTAACTCTTCCTTCAGTTGCTATTGATTTGACATTAAATAAATTAATGACAGAATCCATTTAATTTCGTGGTCCACTCGAAGTTGAAGGGCCAGGTACCCATTCTATATATTTAGATGATTTAGATGATGACGACAACTATATGAGGCCAGGTTTAGAAACTACAGGCTTATAGAATCGTAAACAAAAAGATCAGCCAACCAAAAAGTCCCTCTACTTCGCAGTCTTTTGCTTCTTTGCAGGCTTATTTTATTTCTACCTCACATATGAATCACCAATTACCATCCATGCTGAATACGCTACCAAAACTACATTCGGATGCAATAGATAACACTCATGGACTAAATAAGGCTGCGAACCTAATCCCATTGGATGTTACCTAAGTGTTGAAAAATCATTCTATTGTTCTGTTTGTGAACCGACCTACCATCTCTCCCTCAATGGAACTTGTGTGGAGGAATGTAAAGAATCAAATGGCTAATTTTGCACATCCAAGAATAATACCATGGTCTCAAACATCTATAAACCAAAAAATAGTTCCTATTCCCAGTTTGAAATACCCTACATTTTGATTCATCATCCAGACTCTGCAGGAATACTGTACGTTTCTGATGTTAACCTGTTTAAATTAGAACCGTTCCTAACCCTCAACTATACAGTGGTCAAATTTGAAGACTACTTCTTATTAAACAACCAAGAGTTTCATCTTGCTTTTAAAGATTTTTAAACATTTATAGAAAACACATTGCTTGATGGAAAATCAATCAACAAGAGTTACGTTGCCTTCTAGGAAAAGTCTCAAGGCCTACTTTACTATCTAGCTTCCTCAAACATCACTGATCCCATTGCATTGGTTTAACCAGCCCTTTTAGAATCAACCTAATTTTATGATGACATCTATGAAATTTAACCATTTGAAAAACTATTTACTAATAGAACCTTTGGTGTCACTGTGATTCATACAGGAACTGTCCCAGATTAAATTAAATGTAAGAAACCTGTGAGATTAATGCCTGAATTGGATAATTTGGAGGACAAGTATAATTATTATTATCAATATATAAAGAGACAAAAAGGATGAAGGAGAAGTTAAAATAATTGCAGAAGTTGATTGTCTTTTAGTAGAAGAATCACAAATTATTGAAAAAATTGTACATCCTAATTGATTTTATTATAATGTTATTTACAACAACTAAGTCATTTTCTTTATTGGAATGATTTCTACTTTCCTAAGGATTTATTAAAATTCTTTGTATTATTTTTTTATGATTCCTTCTTTGCCTTCTAAGCAACCTTGTCCTTTTCATTTTCCATAGACTTCTTCTTTTTTTAAGGCTTTTTGAATTCATCTTAAACGAATTCTTTTTTCTCTCTTTCAATTTAACTAAGTTGGCCTTTCAAATAAAGCAATGTGAATAACAACCCTGCATCAAGAAAAGTCAAGATCCAAAAATGAATAGCACTGCTTATAGATCACTTATAATACAATTTTTGGTCAATGGTCAATGCAATCAAGGGAAATGATATTAAACCAAATAAAGTCGAGTATGTAAGCCATGTCATTAACTTCTCTCCTGTTGGTAACAGACTACTAAAGGTAAAGTCAACTGCCTATTCCTCTGACATAAATATATTAATTAATTATACTTATGTAATTATTTTGGATTTATATATATCACTACGAACTGAATCTTTAATTGAAAAAAATAAATTATGAACCAAGCTCCTGTAATTTAAGTGAACTCCCCCATTACTTCGTTTGCTAGCCCAGGATTTAAGGTATGAAATATAACAAGAATCCAATAGGGCTTAAATGAAAATGAAAAACTCTATGCATATCATTTTGCAAGAGCCTCTTGGGAAGGAGCAAAAATTTGTTTCTTCCAAAGATCTTATGAATCACCCGGATTGTTCTACATTTTCCATAAGATCTTTTCAACCGAGAAGCCTTAAGCTGTGAAAGTGCGTTTATTATAGAATGGGTGGAGTGAAGATGAAGTTCAATAATTATTTGCTTATGTTGCTGCTGTGCTTTAAAATTGTGGCAACTTCAAAAACTTTGGAGATTCCAAATTCATACCTGAGGTAAGTTAGGAGAAGTTTGAACAATTCATTACAACATCTCCAGGATATTAAGTTGATTAAGTTTGGGACAATATTCGTAAATATATCTACAATTACGAAAAACCATATGGATTGATAGATTTATAAGACAAGAACGGCTCAAATTCTTATTATAGTACTAATTTGAGTGGGGAATTGTTGGAGGCTGTCGATAAATACTTGATTGCTTAAGGTGTATCTGAATTAAACACAAGAGTCGTTAAGGTTGGGGATGAAATCCATGTGTTAGTAGCCTCAGTCAATGAAGGTGAGAAGGATCTAGGAGAAGTACATCACCACAAAGTCAAATTGGTTTATGGAGATTTCGCTCCTTTTCTTAATAGCGTTGTAACTCATCTGACAGCTGCTCTCCAATATGCATCAAATGATAATCAAAAGAACATGATATAGGCATACATTGAACATTTTAAGAGTGGAGATGTTGAATTGCATAGATAATCATAGAGACATTGGATCAAGGACAAAGGACCTGTCATTGAAACGAATATTGGGTTCATTGAGACATATTTGGATCCACTTAAGGTTCGTGCCGAATGGGAAGGCTTTGTAGCTGTAGTTAACAAGCAAGAAAGTGCTCTCTTAAATGGATTAGTTGATAAGGCTGAAGATATCATTAAGTATTTACCATGGCCAAAAGAATTTGAAGTCGATGTGTATAAAAGGCCAGATTTCACTTCGTTAGAAGTTCTGGCTTTTGCTACTTCTGGTACACCGTTGGGTATCAACATACCTAATTATGATGATATTAGATAAACAGAAGGCTTTAAGAATGTTAATTTAGGCAATGCATTAGGAAAGTTATCAAAGGAATCCATCAACTTCTTGGATTAAGTGGATCAAGAGATATTTTATAAACATTAAACAGAAGCTATTTTCTTAGTTATTGCACTTCATGAATTGATAGGTCATGGTGCAGGTAAAGTATTCATGAAAGATAAGGATGGCAATTTAAATTTCAATCTTGAAAATACAGTCAATCCATTGACAAATTAGAAAGTTAATTCATTCTATAATCCTGGAGAATAATGGCATGGCAAGTTTGGTGAATTCTCAGGAGCCATGGAAGAATGCAAGGCTGATGCTACTGCATTGTATTTAACAACTTATGATGATGTAGTGAAATTGCTTTTACCAAACAGATCAGAAGAAGAAAGAAGAGAAATTGTTTTTGCAGGTTGGATCTTTATTGTTCATAGAGCTATTTAAGGATTGGAATTTTATAATCCAGAATAAAAGAAGTGGGGTCAAGCACACGTCTTATCTAGAAATGCTATATTGTAATCTCTTATTAGAGAAGACCCAGACATTATCAAGATCACAGAAACTCAATTAAACGGTAAACCATATATGTACGTTAAATTTGATTAATCTAAATTATATACAACTGGTAAGAAGGCCATTTCTAATTTGATATTGCATTTGCAGGTCTTCAAATCCATAGGAGCAGGAAATGAAGGTGTTCACTTCTTCAGTAATTTGGCTGCTGTTAATGACTAATTCCTCAACTATAGAAGCATTGTTATTTAGAATAAGTTTCCAAGAAGATTGGAATTGCAACCAAACATAATTATAGAGGATGGCTAAGTCAAACTTAAAGAATACGAATCTACATTTGCTGGAATTATTGAATCCTAAGTCGAGCATCACTCAGAGAACATTGAAACAACAAAAGAATTCTTTTTAAAAGTATAAAAATTATTTTAGAATTGACATATTAATAAAATAATTTTAAATATTAAAATTTATTATTATGCCTAAGTTATCCATATAGTATTTCATCTCATCTTCATTTTTAAAGAAAATTCAATCTTTAATTTTAGTAGTAAATCTTAAGACAACTATTAAAAAAAGATAGAAATAGTATTTTGAAATCTAAAACTATCATTATTATTTTTCATCTATATTTTTATCAAATCTTGTCATTTATGATTGATAGGCTTAGTTAATCTGGTTTATTCAATATTAGATCAATTTGATTCCATAATTTGATGGCACAGTTCGATAAGAATTAATAAAACGGATATAAAATATAATAAATTTTATGAAATTAGCCTTGGTGTTATTAGCATTAATCGGACTCACTTATGGAATTTCATCAAAAATCAGTCATGCTAAGAAATTAGAAGAACTCTAAAGAACTAAATTAGGCTAAGCAATTTTAAATCTTGTCAACTTGCACTCATAGGTATAGGGACCAATTTAGGAACTTGTTGAAATGATTGAAGAATTAGTAAAAAAGACCATAATAATAGATCCAAGACATCAACAATAATATGGAAGATGTTTAATACGCATTTTTAATGCGAACCAATGAGCACAACTCATTTATTGTTCAAGTTAGTTAATAATTATAAGATGCTGATTAAGACATTGCAAGGATGATGGATGTGATAGATAATTTACTTATGCCAAGAAAATATTAAATTACTACTAGAATTGAATCCTTAATTGAAAACGATGAATTTAATAGAAAAAACGTAGAGGAAATAACTTTGCTAAGAGATTAAGAAAATTAAGCATATTAACAATAGATACTCGAAGATAATGAAGCTATCGATGCGGCAGATGATGCCATCAATTTAGTTAATTAATTATCCAGTCCTTCACTATTTCAAATCAAGAACATTAAATTTACTTTAAAGAGATTATCCTAGAAATAATGGAATCGCGTTAATTAAGGACCTATGGTGCTGGCATTACTCCAAATAGCACTCAATTAGAATTTTGCTGATTAAGAAATTCTAAAATAAATCGTTGATGCTTTGAATGAATTTAGAAATTAAATTGTTGAAGCTATGAATGATTTAACTAAATAGGAATAACTTAATTAGCAAGAATTTTTAGAAAGATTAGATCAATTGGACTTTGAACACCTAGAATTCTAAAAATAAATTAACTAAGCGTAAGTTGATTTGGATGCAACTACTTGTAACATATTTGAATCGATATTTAGAAAAATTAAATGATTGTACTAAATTCTTGATCCAAAGAGAAGCTGATAGACTTCAATATCAATAGTAACTAGATTTAGAGAATGAAACTTATGTTGTTGATACTGATATTTATAACTAAAATTTTAATCATTTATAAGCCGAATTACCAATAGCTTAATAAGGATTGTCACTCATTAAATCAGCTGATTTTTCTGATATTAAAATATGAATAAATATTAATGATTTTTAATTAATTTCAAACTTAAAATATATAATCTTTGACGTTTTTGTTTTGAGTTACTATAATAGTTTATATTTAAATCTAATTTAAATAATTTAATACTTATCAACAAAAGTAAGAAACTATATTTTCAGCAATATTTAAAAATTTATAAATAAACAATTTAATTGGAAGATGAAGATTACTTGGGGTAGTTAATATATTTAACTTTTTGAACAATATATATTATTATGTTGATTTAGCAATATAATTACACTTAGATCATTAATCTTATTATTATTTTGACTTTTATTCTGAAAAGAATTATTCAATTAATGTTATCCAATCATTTTAAGGCTTTTTCTCTGAAATATAATTTAAAACCTTTTCTATGCTGATTTGTGAGATTTTAAATTAATTTTGTTATAAGAATTTAGTTGCCTTTCCTGTGTTTGCAATATCAACTCTTTATTAAACAGTGTAATTTTAGCAATAAATGACTTTCTAATTATTTGTGGTCCTGTCCTAATTGCTTAAGAAAATCTATCCATTATGTCCCAAAATCATATTGACATTATTATTAAGTTTAATAAAATGCCTTTTTTATTTCACAATCAAGTAGTGATTCACTTTGATGAGTAATCCATCTTCAATTTTACCATATTTAAGTCCTCTCGTATGAAGATTAACAGATTTATCGTTGTTGACAGCTAATGATTAGAATAAATATAATAATTACAATGAACTTCTGCACAAATTAGATCGTTCTCCGCAAATATTTATCGCATATTCATTTCATCGTCTTCTGTTTTTTGTCTCTAAATAATGATAGATAGTTTTACTTGTTCAGGCAAATAAGTTGAATTCAAGTGAAGAGTGGCTTCTGAACTTGAACCGATATTTACAATCCACTTTTTATCCCTAATCTACACAATTTAGCCTATTACTATTTCTCCTATTTATGGTTAATAACTGCATTTGATTGGTTTTATCATAATCAATCTTTGGATTATTAAAGTGATTACTTATTTGTCTAATTAATAGTTCCTGTGGTGCTGGAGAATATTTTTCCTTACTCTTCATAAGTATTGGTTCCACTAATAAATCCTGTTTCATCAGATAATAAATCTCCTGGTAGAAAAACTTCTTTCTTATCATGATGCAAATTTTCCTCTATTTACATTTTAATTTATATATTGTTAATAATAATATCAATTTTCATAATTTTTTAGAATATTATTTCCTATAAGATTTCATTTAATTCAATGAAACAGTCTTAATTTAGATATGCCACAAAGTATTGTTATGTTAATTAAGGAAATCATCATCTAGAATTGATTTCAAAAATTCATTCAATTTTCAATCTATTAAATTTGGTCTTATGGACATCTTGAATAAAAAGGAAATATTATCTTTAAAAAATGGGAAGTTTAATTTTTTGGGTTGACATACAATTAAAAATACTTAATTAAAGAGTTTTAGAGTTTAATGAGATTGTTCCATTTTATATTCGTCTGTTATAAATTGGAATTTTCCAGAAAATAATAATAAATTAATTAAAATGACACGTATTACAAGTATACTCCTACTCTCACTATTGTTTGTTTCCTCCCAAGCCTACTTTTAAGATAAAGAACATAGAGAAGAGGCTAAGTCATTCTTTTTGAATTTTATAAAAGAATTTACAAATCAATACAGTGCTATTACAGCTGAAGGTTTGGATTATATGGGAGCTATGAAATTGGCATTGGACTATTGGATTACATAGATAAGGATTCACAATTTTGCTGAATTAAAAGTAAATAAAAAGAAATAAAATAAAGGTTGATTATGATGTGAATCATGACATTTTGGAAATCTCAGCTCCCACTTTCAATATTGATTTAGTAGTCGAGAATAAATACACAATCCCAATCAAAATAGAAGAGTATTGAGCATTATTATTTTAGTTTGTTTGTCTCAATCATCTTCAACATTGGTCCAACACACTTCAGATGCGCAGAAGTGGAAATTGATTATGGCTCTGTTTCTTTGGATGTGAATGTCGTAATAGAATACATTACCAAATAATTGTTATCTTTGGACATCATTAAGTCTGCAATCAAGAAATCAGAGATTCCAATTAGAAATGTTCTAGTGAATGCTATTAGAGTATTAATCGATTCAAATATTATAGAGCAACCATTAAAGATTGAATGGATTGGTCAATGAATTGAGAACTGGCTCATTGAACCCAGGAGTGTTGTTAGCCTAATTACCTAATGTGCCATTCACCAGAGTTGAAAATAGAGAATACATCATCAATATCAGATAAATTTTCAGTTTTGAGTCTTAAAAGGAGAAGGAAAAGAAGGACGATCTTTGAATTATAGATATAAATATCAAATGTGTCTAATTTGTTATAAGAGTGTTTTTGATAATTAATTTAACAAATGATCGATTATTCATTCCTAGCTCCACCATAAGAGGTTCACTCCAGTAGGGAATTCAAATTTGATTTTAGATCATTATATCAAACATAAAGAGTAGGAGTAAGGAATTAGGAAATTCTACAAAACAGATGTTTATGTTGAGTTTGAAATAGAAAAGGTGAAGGAACTCAGATAAGCAATTCAGATCAATCATCATCCTGAACGACCATTTGATTGATCAAAATAACGTATCAATGCACTCCTACTACTTTCTTAGCATGATAAGGAATTAATTTATTAAGCTTTGTCATTTCTTTTGGGAATAGTATAGAAGTACATGTTGATTCCAGGAAAGGTGGAAACTTAAGTATTTCTATTGGAGACTTGTAATCTGGGAGGATAAGGTTTGTCATAGAAAGTCTTGGAAGTATTGATAGATGGTTTGAGTACTAACTTTTCAGGTTAAGTAAATAATCTATATGATCAAGTAGATTTTATACGAATGTTTTTAGGAAATAGTAATAAAAAATTTACTATGTTGTCTCTAATGAGCCACAACAAGAAAACAAAGATGAATATGAATAGAATACTCAAATATAATCTACAAATGAAGATCCTCCATAAGAATCTTAATAAAAGAATTAAAAAATTATTATGGATTAACCTAAGTAACCTAAATTGTAATAATAAATAATGCAGAGAGAGGAGGAGATTAAATCAAATATCCCCAGAACTATCAAAATTAAAGAAAGCGCTGAATAGGCTATACTAGCTGATATATATTGTTAATAGTTAGTGAATGATACAGAATAAAACAAATTATTGACTCATGATGAATAAGGGCTTAATTCATCTGGAAATTAATTAAATGACGAAAGTCTTTGAGAAAATATAATATTTAATTGGTGGATCCTGTAAATAACCATAAAGTGTTGTTCCAAATGTGAAAATATTTTGATATTTAAATAGATTTTTAATACTTATATTCTTAATTAAAATATAAAAGTAATGGAGAAATTTACATAAATTATTTCATATCAAAATCATTTAATTTCAAATATATTCATCTGTTTATTCTTGATTTTCCATTTAAAGTTTGAAATATTCATCAACCAACTATTTTATCTAATAGCTTTTTTCAGTTTCAAATTTTAAGCAAAGTTTCTCTTTATTATTTTAATTGCTCCTTTAATGGCCACTTTGCTTAGTTGCCTCCTCCAAATATATACTTAATGTAGTTTATAAAGAGCTGATCGACTCAATTTCATCGAAACCTATCTCTATTAATTCAAATGATGAAATGAAGGATGAAAGTAGTATTAAGGAATTATATCCAACTCCTAAACATAAAGATTACATTCCCTTGATATTTTCAGTGTTATAATTTTATAATGATTTATCTTGCATCTTCTTTTTATTCCAATAAGTATTGCTTAGCTCTATTATTTTAGTTATGTTATCCTTTTCAGGCTTCACAGAGAATTTTGCAACCCCAAAAAATTTTTTAGATTTTAACAAATTCAAAAAAACCAATAATGCAAAATGAGTTTCAGTCATCTACTAATTCTAAAATCTCTCATTTTAATTATTTCTTAAATTGAATTCTGATTTCATCTATTACTATTAATTCTACTTCTCATTTATAATTTAGCAATGAAAATTTTGCACCAAAGTGGGTAGAAAATTACACCATTCGTCTTATGTTATGATTTTCATGGCAATCGGAGGTAGAAACTAATAAGTTCAAATAATTTATATTACCTTCTTTATTTCATTCATAGGAATTTTTTTTGGATCAATAGTTTTGTATCCATTTATATACAGATAAAAGGCTGTGTAGAGAATATGATCTTTAGGACCCAGTGTTAATCTCATGTTGCTAATATCGTCAAATAACTGATAACTGATTAATTGTAATCTCACTAAGTCCTAAGTGTAATAATCTGTCTCCTCCTTATTTGATACATATAAGTGTTTCCTGAGCTATAGCAATTTTCCATTATAAAAAGGCACTTTCTAAGACTTTTTAAAAAGACCAAAAGGCTCATCAAATCTGACTAAAAAATTCCACAGCCTCTCATCATTATCCAAAGGTTTTAAATAGGTGTTATCAATATAATATAATCTAAAATCATAAGCAGATTAAAGTTATATTTCAGTTGCTATCTCTTCCATTAAATTAAAAGCTGATGTGTCTTTGTTTATAAAAAACTCTTTCTCAACCTATTTAAAACTTAGAAATATCATGACTTTAATTTTGACCTAAATAGAATTCAAAAACTCCTTGTCTACTACTGAACTTTGTCTAGAATTTCCTTTGCTTTCTACAGCCAATAATTGAGTCGCAGAAATCTTTCTTAAATTTTTCATGCTTGCAGCTCTTAACCCTCGAACTGGAGTTTAAGGATCTTTTGCAATCTAGCTTATAGTCTATTCAGTCTTTTAATCAGAAAACTTTAAGGCAGATGATTATACTTCAATTTATTTATGAGCATCCCTGGGGGAACTAATTTAGGTGATCATAGTTGTAAAATTCGAATTTTCATTTGAACTAAAACTTACTGAATTCTATGAATAGTCTATAGTTCCACTTGCTGGTTTTTTTGATGCTCTAAAATTAATTCCAACTCCCATAATTGATTATCTGTATTATTTCACTAGAATTGCAGGCAAATCATAAAAGTTTTCAGGCAATCCCAATAATGCTAAAATTAATTAGTTTTATGTTTTATTCTCCTTAAACTCAGATGCATTCAATAATATCTATAGAAATTCTATCATCACAATTTTCCTTTTCTAATAATAACATACAATATATACATCTATGACTGCAGCTTCATTTCTATCAAAATACGAATTCTCTTTAATTTCAGTTATTTTTATTTTTGGAAACAGCGCTTTCACTTCTTGCTATACTTTTTTAAACAAACTGTATCTTAAGTATATCTTTTAAGTAATATTATTGTTTATATCTATCTCGAATATATACTAAGTAAATTTGTTATTGGTTGCATCAATGACTTCTTCAGTTCCAATGATTTAAATGGAAACACTTATATTATCAATTTGGTTAACTTTTTATTTTTCAGGGATCATCTCTTAAAGTGCTTTATCTCTTTCTGCTTTTTTATCCTAAAGTTCCTTTATCTCTTGATTGACCATATTAATATACTCTTACATGTCCTGTTCTGAATTTTAACTGAGAACTACAAAGATTACAGAGTTGTCAACACCATTAATTTGAAATAAATACTTATACTTGCACATTTCAGGTAATTATTGACATTTACTTTAATAATTAAGTTTGATAAAAGTCTTAAAGTTATGTTCTTATTTTGTTTGATCTCTTTCTGTTACAAGAATCAAGTCAGAAAGAAAATAAACAATAACAGGTTTGATTTAAGCTCCTTTTGTGTAGTACATATGAAGAGATTCTTCTCTTAGAAATTATCTACTCTACTCTAGGATTTTTACGAAGTTCCCATACTATTTTTATAAATCAAATAACTTTTGATTTTTAAGTAGACTATCCATTGATTTGTTATTTTGATTGGCAACTTGTTCAAATTTTTCAAGAACCAACTTAATATTAGTGTAGTCAGGGTGATCTTGAGATGTATTTTTTAAGAGATCCTTAAATAAAAGTACATACTTAGGTATACGTTAGACAGGCAAAATCAAGAAATAGGATTCCAAGGTCTTTCCTTGATTTTATTTGTCTATTGCATCCAAGAATTGTTTATACGGTTTGTTTTCCTTTTTTAATTTCATTTGTACACTAAAGGCTTTTTGATAGTTCACCAAATAGATTGAGTAAATTTTAAAGAAAGAGATGTGTTGCTGCAATTATATGTCGGCTATAAGGGAATAATATGTAAATTGCTCTAGTTTCTTCCTAAATATTTCCAGGATGTCGACGGAGAGCTATTAAATGGCTTCCACATTAGAAAATATCTATTAAATAATTTATGAAGATATTAATTTATTTTGTTCTCTTAATGGTTTTAAATACGCATTTATCAATATTGTTAGTGCTTAGCAATACGATTGTTCGGTTATAAAAAGTTCATTGAGAACTCTTTTTCTATATTGAAATTGCGTTTTGAGGTTCAGGTATTGTCTTCTCATTAAAAATGAACGAATTTTGGATTGCACAATTACAACTTTTTAAAGGTATGCGTCTTAATTATGGGTAGAGTTGAGTTCTTAGGCTTCTTCCAGTTTCGCCATGGTTTATTAAAATTAATTGCTTATTCTATCGATTCTCTCCACTTCTTCTAGATTGGGCATAGTAGACAATCTGGGTTTGAAGGAATGCCTATTGTGTATGTCATTGATAGATTGATTAGATTTTTGCTAAATTTTAATATTATCTGAATATTTGTCATGTTCTTTGTTAATTGGCTATTAAATATCTGTTGAAGATATGAATGCATAAATTACTTAATAGGTTGCAAAGATAATTCTTTTGCTTGCTGGAATGGGAGTTGCTTGGATTTATGGGGTTTTGCTGAATGGTATCGATTTCTTAATCAAATCTGCAATTCATGAAATTATACAATAATAATAAAAATGAATGAGTACATGTCAAGAATAAAAGAATATTAATCTTTAAGGATAAATAATTATTATAAAAATGAGTATATTTGAATCGCAAAATGCTGTTGAAGAGATGAGAAACAATATTGGAAGATAGCAAAATTTATCTAATATTTATAAAGAAGTAGGAAGTCCTTCAGAGCATTCTCTGTAAAGGTTTTAATCTAATGAGATAAATGTAGTTATTTTTCCCCCAGCAACAGTTTAATGATGGGTAGCAAGAGTAAAGTTCTAATTCACAAATCTATCGAGATTGCGACAACTCAGCCATTGGGGTATGAATACTAATATAAATACAGACTAACTAGAGTATGGAAGAGTAATGGTTTGATCATCATCACAATGATTATGAGATTCCTTTACACATTGAAATTGTAAACAGAATCAATGAAATACAAACTTTTAAACAAAAGGATATTTACGATTATTCAGGATGCTTCATCAGATTATTTAAATCTTGTACGATATAGAAATAACAAATATCATATTAAGGGAAGGTCAGAATTGCAAGTTCAATATTCTCTATTTAAAAAATAAATTAGGTCAATCTTTGAATATTATGGGGGATTCATTCCAATATTTTAGCCAGATCAAAGATTCATAATGTATTATGAGTTCTGCTTTATAATTTCTATCCTATTAAACCTATTCTATGTACCAATTAATATCAGTTTTTTGAATCAAGATATCTCAATACTTTTTGATGCATTCCCAGCAGTGCTATAAGTCCTATGGATTTTGGTGCAATTTAATCTTTCGTTCTATGAAGATCAGATAATGAAAAAGAGTAGAATTGACATCGCAAGCAACTATATGAAAAGCTATTTTTTATTAGATTTGTTAATAGTTGTGACAACTTACTTGTAGATACTTTATGGTTATTTCATCCCTTTGATCTCAGTGTTTTTGAGGATTCCTCTCTTGATTCGTGTACTGGATTAATTTGAATACAATACAAACTTCAAAGAAAATTTGGCAGCTGTATTTGACTTAATTAAATTGATTGTGATGTTAATTTTCATCATTCATTGTTGTGCATGCAGTTGGCATTTTCTGGGAGTGTACGAAATGGAACATTATGCGCCTGGAAAGAATTGGTTAGAGTACTATAGTATTAGTCACTAGAGTTGGATAGAGCAGTAAGACTATCATATTTAACTAAAGATACATAGCTTCCTTATATTTCAGTGTAATCACTACCCTAACAGTGGGATATGGTGACCTAACACCTCAATCTGCCTACGAACAACTGTTTGTGATTTTGGTGGCTATGAGTCTTTGTGGTATGTTAGGTTACACGATTTCAAACATTGGTGAAATCTATAGATCAATGAATGAGAAGAAGCAGCAATACAAAACTTAGATGAAGGCCATTGAGTAAATCATAAGGCAACGCAAGTTGAATGACAAGTTATCCATCAAAGTTAGAAAATACTACCAGCATTTATTTCAATAAGAACAACAAGAAAATTCATTGGGCGAGTAATTGCTGACTAAATTAACCAAAAATCTAGAAGAGGAAGTTATGATTGATTCTTATAAAACCATTCTGATGAACTCCTATCTATTGAGGCAATTCAAAGATTCTACAGTGGAGCAATTGTGCACAAAAGTTAAAGTCATCAAATTACAACCTGGTGATGAAGTTGTTAAAACATAACAATTTGCTGATCATCTAATATTCCTTCTGAATGGAGAACTAACTTTGCTCGGACACAATTCAAGACAACCGATTGTACTTAAATAATTGACTGGGGGCACTGTCATTGGAGAACAAGAATTCACTGAATAAGGATACTATGATTATATAATTATCAGTTAAGGATACAGTAAGATAGCTGCTATTTCTAGAGCTTCATTTTATGAAATATTATAGTATGATAGTTAGGAATTCGAGAAGATGTGTAAAATTAGAGATTAATATAAATTTAGTGTAAGGAAAAAAAATGTTATAGGAAGGACATGCGAAATCTGTGGTTGGACTCATGGGTACTTGCAATGTCCAATGACATTTTATTAGGTCGACAAAATGAAATTATTGACACATCATAGATAAAATTAGGATTAAGAGAGGAAATTTTATAAAGACTTCAGAAGATCCAAAAAGTTTAATACTTTAACAGAATTGCTCCAAATTCAAAATGGTTGTCTAGATTTTATGATTAGTCAGAAATTAGTTGATGAAATGTAATCTTTCCATATCCAATATATAATTAGACCCAATCATGATCAAAATGAAGACGGTACTTAAAAAATGAGAGTCAATATCCAGGATTTGGAATCTTCTCATTTCAGTTCCAGCAGGTCCATTCAAGAAGATATCAAGGGGAATGTCAATACGATTATGAAGTCTCCCACCAACAGTTCTAGATTCTAGCTGATTTGCAAGTAGATCGATTAATAACGGGAGCATCTTCAACAATAAACCTTTGCCAGAAAAAATCTCAAGAAACAATCCTTGATTGTGGATCACAATTTTAAACGGAAGGAAAAAGAAGATGACATCAAAGAATACATTGATGAGATTATAGAGAAGTTGAATATGCATCAAAAGGAAAAGGAGAAGTCTATAGTTACTGCTCATTCTAAAATTTCAACCTATAATCCTGACTTGGAGTTTGAAGTTATGTAATCTTATAAATATTACTTTCCTCAATTTAATATAGACAATATACTTGAACGAGTTAACCAAAATTATGAAAGGTTTATGCAAAAAAACAAGAAAAACCCTATTCGTATATTTGTTAATCGTAGAAAATTGAAGAGAAAGATTATGATTTCTGATTGAAAATATATATTTATTATGATATTAATATTTATATTAATGATTCAAACACAATAGACTGAAGTAGAGACTTTTAATTAAATCACCAAAAATATTAATTAGGTCAGCATTGACAATGAAGGTACATTCAAATACATCCTGATCTTATTGGAGGGAGAGAACAACAAGGAATTTTATTATGTTAGAGGTCTAAAATAATATGAATTTCACGCATAGAACTTTGAGCATTTTTGTGAGGAGGCAAAAAATAACTTGAAATGGTCGGAATTCAAGTATAATGTAGAAAAAGGAACGATCAAGGCATAATTAAATGGACACAATTTCAAATTTAAGTGTGTTGGTGGAGGCAGAATCAAACATTCATTTGTCAATTCAAGTATAGAAATTTATGGATATTCGTAATCCTATGGATAGTGTGATCATAAATTGTCCTTAAATATCATAAGAACAGTCTATCCTTATGAAGATAAAAATGTAATCACAAGAAACGATGGTTATTGATAATAACAAAAATATATATTTCATTAAATAAATGGATTTATGTGTCCTCCATTTGCTTAATATAAATGTGTTCCAATTCCAAATTATTTATGATTATTCAATGGTTCTATGTTCTTTTTCAAATTCCATAATTGACATGACAATGCTATCTTCAACACAATCACAAAGTAGCTGACAAGAATAGTTATTCTCTAAGATGTAACAAGTTCAGATTCTTATTAAGGATTTTCTGACTTATTTTGATTCCACCAAACCTATTAATTAACTATAAGTAATACTCCTGAATAGGCTGCCAACCAAGACACATCATATAATAAAGTCAAGATTATTAGAATTGCAAATATGTTTAAATGGTTCTTCTCAAAATAGTTTAGACCAACAATCAACGAAGTACATAGGGCTATAGTAATATTAACAAAATCAGTTTTCACCCAACACAAATAAATGCTACTAAGCACATACAATACTATAAAAATAGCTGTTAATTTCATATCCTTAGTGACATGATCATACCCATAATTAGCCTTTTATTTAAGATCATGTCTAGCTGGATAGTCAATCTCCGGATGCACTGTAGTCACACTTTCAGGTGGCTGATTCAATATTTGTAACACTCTACTGTCACTCAATTATGGAGTTTTGTAAACTGTCAAATCTACTTTCTTGTCTCCCTGATATATGATTGGCTTAGAGAATTCATGAACAAACATCAATTGAGGAGCATCAGGAACAATTAGTCTTTTTGGTTGCAATACTCCATTCTAAAAAGGAGCATAAAGAATCTTCAAATCATTCTCATATTGATCCTTCTCCTCTTGTTAATTCAGTATTTATTGCTGCATTACTTGCTGAGCCTACTCATAAAACATTTACTAATGTATAATTATCAACATAATACCTCATCAAGCAATAATTGTAATTCCAATTGTAAACTTCCACTACCCATTGAACCATGGCGATCATAAATATTAAACCATTGATTGTGCTTCATTTGATCCTCTAATTCTCTTAACCCAAAATGAACCTCACCTATTAAACTGCTTTTATTAGTTGTGCTATCCAAAGTCAATATTGAAATATAAGTTTATTCATTTCCAGACTTGATGGGACTTTAAATATATTAAGGATTCTTACAAAACAAAGGTCTCGTCCCAAATTGGATTAAGGATATCATTATGTGCTAAACGAGAACTCTTTTTCTCCTGATTGAAATGTACAACAACGTAAGGCTTGTTTGAAGCATTAATCAATCCTTAATGGAGATTCTTAGCTCCAATTACTCGGATCTGCAAAATTTGAGACCGATTTTTATTTGTTAATTTAGCCAATTCTTCTGTTTACTTCACTATAAATTGATTAGCTTTGTTGATTTTTTCATTCAATACTATGTCAGCCTAAATAACAATTTCTATGAAATCTTCTATTTTCACCAACCCTTTGAAATTGGTTGGACAACGTTCAAATAACTCATTTGCCAATTCTCTATCAAATTATATTTATGCCATATTATCTAATATACGCAAAAGAGATGTTTTCGTGACCACAAAGAAAGGTTCAAACCCTTTGCATTGAAAACATGCTGTGAGGTAATCTTTAGCTTATTATTATTTGTTGCTCATTAACTGTTAATTAATAATATAAAATACAATGATTAAGTCTAAACAAAAACAAATAATTAAGCAAATCCATAACTAATACATTCTCATAGATATGCGTTTAATAAAATAAAATGGCAATATTTATAAGGAGCATTATTGATCTATCTATTGGGAGCTTTATCTTTTTTGAATTCGAAGTTTTAATTGCAATTCTGAATATTGTGAATGGTGGACATCAAATATTTGAAACTGAATATTTAAGAATTTAGATTCTATTCAGAATGAAAATTTGTTGATAAGCTATTGATCATCATATTCACCAATCCAAATTAACTACTGAATGACTTCCATCGCAATTCGGATTTCTCGGATCACATTATCTCTTACAACCACAGAGTAAAGCACTTAATTAATTGAGTAATCTAAACTTACTTTCCACTTCTCTTTGGAATTATTTTAACAGGCTCAAATCCTGTTCCCTCACACTATCCATCACAAAAAGGCTGAGTAGATCCAAGACCACATGTGCAATAATAGTATTCAATTCCTTCTTCTAAAAATACTCTTTTTTGAATAGAATATCATACGTAAATGGGAATCTTGCAGCCACTTTGCTTGTACCTGTTTCAATTACTTTTTATTTATCCTAATTCTACATATATATATAGATATAAAAATTAATTAAATTTCATTTAGGTTCTTCTAGATTCGATTTGTTAAATTACTAATCTTATGCCTTCATGTAATATTAAGGCTAAAAATAAGATTGCTGCATCCAGTAATTTTACTATAGTCCTTATGATAAATTTATTGACTAGCCAATAGGTTAATAAATGATCTACGGATAGAGAATTTAAACGGGAATTTGTTATTAGTATTATTATTGATTTTCAAAATCATACTGGCTATTGGCAAGATTGAATTGATCTCCTAAAAACAGCTAAGATGTTTAAAGAGGTTGAGCTTGTTACGATTAAGGTATTGATTGCCTTAGCGATGATGAAATAGTTAATCTTTATTGTTATTATTATTGTTGAATTTGTGATTATTACACCTATTGTTATTGTTATTATTATTATTATGATTATTATAATTGTTACTATTGTTATTATTGTTACTATTATTATTATTAATGTTGCAACAATTATTATTGCTGTTATACTTGAGCCTAGGTTGAAGAACCATGAACTTTATTTATGACTTCTTACAAATACTATTAAGGAATCATAAAGATGTTGGACTGCTCAAAATCTACAATGCCAAATTAGCAATCTTCAACATCCTGAGCTGTAAGGTTTGTAATGGCTTCAACTTCAAATTCCACTTAATTTGCTTAGAAATTGAGGATCATCGAATCGTAATATTAATCAAATTGTAATTAATTGGTTTCGGTCTCTACATAAATGAATAATGATTGATACCTTATGGCTTAAGGATTTGTTTAAGTAAATTTATAGTGCAATTCTAATCCAATTCCTATTTATTGACCAGTTTCTTAATTTATTGATCGAGATCAATTTTGATTTTCTCCATAGTATCAAGAAATCTTTATTTATTGTTTGCTTCTTCATTTTTTTGTTGAATTTAATCGATTTGACTTTCTTACTTGACTTTTTATTATTTTTCATACAATTATTCTTACTGCATTTATTAATCAGTAATTAATGTACTTACTCTAATTTATTTGCCAGTACTCTCACTTAATTTATCAATAACTTGAAGAATGATTTTTAACTCTTTTGGATCGATATCTTCATATAAATGAACTAAATTGTCAGCCTAATAGTTATGATTATGTTGTTATAACAGATCTACAATTTCTTATTGGATTTCTTCTTTGACTTCTGGTTGTTTATTTCTTTCTTTTTTCATAATAGTATGATATCTATTTTTTAAGGAATTCTCAGTTCGTGTGTTTTTCATAATTTTTGAAATCTCCGACCACTTTTTGCCTTTCTTTAAAATCAATTACAACAAAGTCAATTCCTCCTCCTTGGTCCATGGTCCCCTAAAAGATTTGGATTATCATTTACTTCGATATTTGTGGATCCAACTTATTAATCCATCTCTCTCTGCACTATTTGCCTTGCCTCACAATTTAAGTTTTGCATCTTAGGGCAATTTCTTTAGCAATTTCACTCCACTTACTATGTTTACCTTGTTTTTGATATTCCATATAAATTTATGCCAAGGCCTCATCTTCTTCTTTACTCCAAGGGACTTAAACGAGCTTAAATTTCGATCGAGCCAACCACTTATATTTACATTGAGTTGCATTTCTGCCAACTATCAATTAAGCAATGTATCTCCAATCTTAATCATTCTAAAATGAAATGAAGAATTACCAGCTCTTTGCAGACTTTGGTTTTCCATAGACAGTATCTGATTATAATCCAAGTTAAAAATTGTTTCTCATTATCTTTCCATTTCTTTTTATTTTGACGACCTTGGATTCTGCAATATTATTAATATGACAATTACTTGCTCATGGATTTTTGAAACATTTATTCCAAATCATCTTCAGTTGGCCATTCCATGTCAGCCGGAAAGTCTATTCTTTCTTTTGCATTGTCCATTTCAATTTCTATCTATGAGGTCTATCTCATAAACTCTTTGAAGTTTCTTTGTACCTACTCCAATGGCCAAACTATACAAACTCAATCAGCATTTTTACTTATAAGATCTTCTTAATCCAAATTCAAACTAGCCGCCAATGATTCTCCAGCACCGTCTTCCACCATGCTTCTGAGTTCTAATTTCAGACCTATTATTACATTAGAGAGTGATATTATCAATTTTCTTCTCCTGTTTCTAATTCATTTTAATAATAATATATAGATATATAAATCAGTTGTTGTTACCTTTGAGTTGTTTCTTTCCCATTTTAATGTAATCAATCAAAATCGTTGATTAATCATTATTTGATATCTTTGGTATATCTTCTGGACAACCCATATCTTGGATCGGAGATATGGATTAATAGCCTATATCTATATGTGTGATCGTTTCGTCATCCATTTGAAACTTTTCGTACTAGGACGGTATGATCAAAAGGGGATATGGAGTTGTAAATCCTTCTTTTTCAAAATGTAGCCAAACAAATATATTGTTTTTCACTTACCTATAAAATATTTAATAAATTTAATTTACGATTTAGACAAAAAGAAATATAATTAAAATTTCCCATCTTCCCTTGTGTGGGTTGCAGCTTTCACCTTATCACCAGACTCCTGCTTCTTCACAATCTTAACTGAAGCATGTTGAACTGCTCTAAACAATTTGTCTTTGCAATTGTACTCAGACTCTAAGTACCCACTAATCAAAAACTTTGAAAAGAAACTCTTTATTTCATTAATATAAGCCTTGGTCTCTTCAACAACTATGTCCACCTTGTAATCATATTTGGGTGGCTTGATAACCAAAGGGACTGTCTTTCTCTCGAAGTGTTAAGTCTCCTTAATTAAGATCTGATACTCGTACTCCTTATTACATTAAGCCAGGACCTTAAACTTCATCTCGTACTCACTAAATTCATCAATCTCGCTTTCCTTAACCTCCTTACTATCAAACCACAACGATATCTTATGAAACTTCAAGGAAACATGATACACACTTGAAACCACTTCACCTTCAACCGAACTCTCAACCTAATCAGAATAATAGATTTTCTGAAAATCCAATTTGGTTTAATCACTCTTGATTTAGTATTTCTCCTTCAAACTTTACTATTATCCATCCCAACCATTGTAATTAACATTTACACTGTATTCTTGGTTTAATTTAACAAGCAATTCGCCTTCCCAATCACCTTTCTTATCTGTGTTTACCGATAGTTTCTGAGTCTCAGGAGTAGTATTAAGATTCAATTTAACATCACTCTTTCCTTTGCAATATGGATCAATCACATTGCCATTTACATTAACATATTGCAATTAAGTCACTATTGAATGATCTTAGCTCTTTCCATCACAACTAATTGTTTATTCAACTGTCTCTCTTAAATCTTCAACTCTTATTTCCAATTTAAAAGTTTCTTGGACATCCTTGAAACAAACCACTTCGATAGTTGCCTTACCAGCGTCGTCAGCCTTCACAGTTTTCTTGTCATTTGATTTTGGTTTAAAATCTGAAGTTCCCACCTCGGAATTCTTAATTGGCTTTTTCTTGGAGTCTTATAAATTAATAGTAATTTTTTAAGAGTTTGTTTACCTCTCCAATATCACATCTCGAGTTACAACTTCATTTTTTGAGAAGATAACTGTATCTGAAATATCTCCCTCTTTAAATTGAGGATGTGTGACTTTAATTTCATATTGATAAGTGTCAGTATTTACTTCGAATTCACCCTAATACTCACCCTTATTATTGGAAGTCGTTTGTATTGATTTTACTACTTTAGTATTTTTGGTCAAATTGATTATGACAGTTGCTCCAGAGACAATACCGTCAAACAGCTTTTCTTTGTCTTTAATTACACCACTTATCTAATTATATAGGTATACATTACTTTTAATAGGTACTTGTCATTTGTAGATTTAATTTTGATTACTGTCAATTCAGGAGCCACCTTACACTTGAATGGTTCTGACACATACTCCATCTATTATTGGTGTTCATTTGTTAATATAAAAGTGGCCACGTACTCAACATTCTAATTGCATTTAACATTAAACTAGAATGGTCTAAATATTATTGAATATTTATATACTTTCCCTTCTAAAGTACCACGCTGGTTCCATAGAATTTCTTGTCCTTATCTTCTTGCATAAGTGGATTACTGGTCTTATATTGGATGCTCCCTATTTCATCCACACTCGAACTCAAAATAGCAGAGAATTCTATCCTTTGTAAATTGATATTGAAAGTCAAATCCTCATTCTTAGTTCCTGCTATACTTAAAGCATTCAATTGCTTGAAATCATTAAAATCAGTTAGCTTAGCAGCAATATCAATGCTTAAAGCTTCTTAATTTAAAGTTTAAAATTCAATTGAATACAACCCTTACTCTTTTGAATTAACAGACTCTAATTGGGTTTGCTGGACATCAAAATGAAATCTTCCCCTCAATTTTGATTCAAGTTTATTAGGTACTGGTTGATGTACAGTAATGGTTATTATTGCATCTTTTAAATTTGTATTGATCTTCAATGGATCTAATACTTAACCCTTCAAAGTTATCAGCCACGTTATGTATTGAATTGTTAGATCTTATTTCATTTCCCACTTAGGTCCTTGCAATTATATATTTTGATTGAATTTGGCTTTGGCTTCATTTTCTGATTTCAATTAACATTGGATTGGTTGATCATATTCGACTAACCCATCAACTTTTAAATCATATTGTAAATCGAATCCAATCTTTCCTGATTGCTTAATAGGTTTTTTATCTTTCGAAAGAGTTTAATCACATGTCAACACTACTGGTAGAGCAGCAGGCACTATATTCTTAGATTTATAATCATTAGCCTTTCCGAAAACATGACATTATTCAAAATCTTAAAAGAAGGTATTTGGGAATTCATAATCACTGACAGGTTTAATAGAGTAAACAGAAGTTTAATAATCTTTTTCAATAGTTTTTTCATCTCCAGCTCCATTTTTATATTTGAGAATAAATTTATATTTCCCATTGGCCTTCACAATTTAATCTTTGAGTTCCCAAACACCATTAGCATCAGTTTTAAGGGATGGAATATTTGGAATAGGTTTTTGATCTTCCTAAAATACAACACTTAGAGTTAAGGGTAAATTAGATTTAGGTTGGTTGATGGGATCTATGAATTTACCCTTAAAATTTAATTTAATATCCTTCATACAAACTGATACATCTTAATAGACAGAGTAGGTTCCTTTAGTGAAGGTTGAATCAAATGAATAATCAATATCTCCAGTTATTTTAGTAGTACATTAAACAACATCATTGAAATTGCCTATAGCTTAAATGCTGATTGAAAATGAACCCTCAAGATCTGTTTTCCCAGTTTATTCAGGATATTTAGAACATTTCACATTAACTTAAAGAGGATTGATTAATTGTCCTCTACATAATTTGACTTTACCAGTTACTCTGTATTGTACTTAACCTCCAATATATTAATCTTGAAAATGCTCTTCAAAGTTGTCTTATTTTGGATAAAACTTTAGTTCTGCACTTTATGATCCATAGGCAAGAAAACCTGTATACTATTGATTTTTGAATAATTTGGTATCAATGAATTTTATGATTCCTTGATCATCAGAAGTTTGAGTCAAAACTTGAGAAATGGGTTCAGTACGGAATGTTGCTTATTAGCTCTTAATAGGACGATTGTTAACATCAAGGAATTTGACAATTAGGTTCCCTTTGATGAAGAGAGAATCAGAAGTGAGTTCAATCTCTGGCTTCTCCTTGGTTGGTTTGACGCAGGTGAATTAGTGTGATTAGATTGTTTAAGCAGAGAAGGACTTGATGGTTATTTCTAAAGTTGCTTTGTAGACCACATTTTAGTAACATGCAAACTGAATTTTAAAGGATCCACTAATATAATAGACACAATTGTTTACTCATTCGAATCGTATTTTGGACTGTACAATTTATCAACTTCCATGAAAGGACTGCATGAATTTAATTTTAATGTAGCTGGCTATTCTAATGTGTCAGTTTTGTAATGTAGAATAACATCGCTAAATTCAATACGATCTAAAGTTATACTATTACCATTCAAAGTTTAAGGACCATTGCCATTAATAACTAGCAATTCTTCCTTCTTATAATCAATGAAATCAGGATGAGAAACTGTTAATTTTACGATTGATTTCTCTCCTTTGCCAATTTAAAACTTGAGTGAAAATAATCCTTTCTCATCAGATTTTAGATTAAATTCTCTTTAAAGTGTATGCAAGTTCTCATCTTTCTGATAAACTACGAAGTTCATATTAGCTCCACTTATAAATGGAACTAATTGAGCCTTATCTAATACAGTTCCACCTATGACGATATCAAACAAATTGTATTTTATATCAATTTACTTTAGATCAGCCTTCCAAATTCCCTTTTATAATGTAAATTGTTTTGAGAAGGGTTAAATAAATTAAGCACTATCCTATTGTTGAATTGAACAAAGAATATCCTTATCTCCTCTTGCTTCCACACTCCAAGTCTTATCAATAACTTCATCTCCTCCTGTTTAAGCCAAGATTTCTTTTGGTAAATTTAACTTCGTATCAAGTGTATCACAAGTAATCTTATATGGAATCTTGAACTACATCTTTTCAGGTGCTTCTGAAAATTTTCCTGTCAATGCAGCATTTACTACATCTTAATAAAACAAATTATCGATTTTAATCTTTTAGATTGGATCAAGTGTTGTTGTAAATGAAAATTTATCAGTGAATTTTTCCTTCTAACTATTTGTGTAGGTAATTTCCAAATCATATTTAGCTAAAGGTTATAATAGCAACTTATCTTTAGTCCATTGACCATTGGAGTCTGTTTGAGTCTCAAATTTTTCGATTAAATTTTCAAATTTAGCTATCACTTATAATGGTAGATTGACCACTGGTTTTAGATTAGGGTCTTTGTCTTTTAAATGGGGGTCTAAAACAAACCCAAATAATGTGACTGATGGTTAAACTGGCATTTCAACCATGCCTAATTAGAAAGTATCTAAATTTTTTGTTCTGTCGTCATGATCCATTTCAATAGTTTTTGATTGTTCATAAAGAGCATAATACTCTTTTGTGATTGATATTTTAATTGTAAATTTGTACCAAAGTTTACTTATATATTTTACTTCTATTTTACCGTCCTCCTTTGTCAATAAGCTCTGACTAGACAACTTTCTAAAACAATAAGATATTTTTATACCCTTTGGATTCTGAGCTAAATGTGACTTCAACCTTGGCATCCTTTAGAGGTTTCTTAGAATTCTTATCGACCACTGTGCCCAATACTGTTTGTGTGAATACTCCTTCTTCCATTATGACTTGATAATTCACCTTATATTAATTTGTTCTATTAGAAGATATACTATTATTTTTACACAATCAAAACATAATTCTCATCGTTATCTTTGGTTTATCTGAAATTCCAAAAATTCTCACTTTATGCCAAGAATTTCAATATGGCAGCAGATTTGGGATAGACTGTAAATATTTTTGACAATCCTTAAGTGTTTGAAGCACTCGTAAATTCATAAGAGTGCTTGCCATTTAGTATGTATTCTATAGAATAATCGATTTTAACTCCCTCCAAAGGAGCATAAGAAGCTCCTCCATTCAATGGGGCATTTTTATTAAAGTATTATCCATTGATTTTAGCTAAAACAGCAGGTCCATTTACTGTCACATCATCAACAGTGAGTATGAAATCCTATACTATATTGCCATTAGAGTCAGGATTTGCTGCATAACGCTAAGGAGTTTGTAAATCTCCATATAAGGAAGCCTCGACAAATAGATTGCTAAGTTAGTTTATTTGTGTAATGAGCTCGTACTTTCCATCATCTTTAGTTTAACCACTAACTATAGTTTATTGTTGCTGACTATCGGTAAATTCAAATTTCTTACAATAATGTAATATGAACTCCTGCAATATTGATACCCTACGAATCCATGACGGTTCCAGTGACTTTTAGCTGAGTCTAGGCTGAAACTAAGCATGCAAATACAAAGAATATAAGCATCTTGAAATTTAATTTAATTTTATTGTTGTTTATTTGAAAGTAGAGAATTAGAATTACTTTTCTATTTGAAGATAATTTGATAAACAATAATTTAAATAATATGTAATTCATGCTATACTCCTCATAATATCAGATACAAATTTCAAATATTATTTAATTTATAACAGATTACTATTGAAATGAAACAAAATATATCTAATCCCAAAGAAAACACACAAATAGATCCTCGTTCCTCTTAACAATCATTTCATCTTATTAAATCAAAACCTCTCATAACTTTTACACCATCCTAAGTAAATAAACCCTAAAATCTGATTCAATCCTTAAATGGATTATGCAAGTACTTTAATAAATAGGATGATTTCAAGAAGATAAATTATTTTGCTCCAAACACTATTTAAAGATCCTCTGCATCATTATCCCCTAGATAAATCATCTCAAATAACCTCTCTGATAATAGCCCTGTAATGTTGAAACAACTTCTTCGTAGCTAAAATTATCTAAAAGAGAATCTACATCCCAAAGAAGAAAGAAAAATTACAGAATTTAAATCAGTATTGAAATTAATCAAAACATTTAGGATTAAAAATTGAATAAAGTCAATGATACTAGTAGCATGGATAGATTTGCGATTCATCAGAAATCCAGAATTGCATCTGTTCAGTATAATGAAGATTGGAAACTAAAATATGAAGAGTTATAAGAGAGTCTATGTTAACGAATTCAGTAATTAGAAAATGAACTAGAAAACATGGAAAAAAATAGAAAAATTGACAGGATGCATTCAGACGAATTAACAAATTAATACGTTGAACAATTGCAATCTATTATTACAGACAAAGATCAAGTTATTCATTAAATGGATTAAAAGCATTAACTATTAGAATAGATAATTCAAAAGTAATAAGAGGAATTTCAAAAATATAATTAGGATAAATTTTGTGACAATCTCGAAATTAAAAGATTGTACTTAGTAGACAAATAGTTTCAAATACTAAAATAATAATTACCAATATTAGCTTCTGCTCTTAGAAAAATAGAATAAATTTTAGACACCTCATAAATATAGTTAAATAATCTGTCATTGTCATCGAATTCTTTGGTTGAGATTATTAATGATATCAATGAAATGAATCAAGGAATACAAAACAGCATACAAAATTAAACTCTAATCTATGAGCAATTGAATTGCTTGGTAGAAAATAGATCCCTTAAATTCTCCAATATTTTATATAAAAATAAACTCTAGTGATTTCAATATATTTATATATAACTTCATATATGGATTAATCATCAACTCAAAAAATCTAGTTGCCAAAATCTAATTAATATAAACGCTAATCGACTATTGAATATCCAATAGTGTATCATTTATTAAGCACTTATATGTTTACTGTGCAGCAGAATACAAAACTTAGTATAATCAATTATTGATGTAGACAAAAATGAGAAATAGATTAGATTGGTTGAGATGGGCAAGAGATTGGGATAAAATGTAATGGAATCATTGGCATCAACACAATTTGAAAAAATTCGACTTAATCCAGATTAAGGAAAGTATACAGATTATGTTAAATTCTTTGGTAAAGACTTTTGGTCTTATATGTTTGGACAACCAGTTTCTAAAGTTTAAATTAATAAAGCTGGTTCACATTATGACATTGAGGATAGATATGAAGAATAGAAGAAAGGTAACAACACAATAACAAAGCTTGGTTTTCAGATGACAAGGAGAATCAGATTAAATGATAAAATGTAACATATCATTCAATTTAGTTAATAAGATGAGTATTTATCCCTTTGGGCAAGCTTTGTTTAAGGTTTAGTAGTGGGAGGAATGAAAGCGCTCACGATTGATTGTGACTCTGAAGTTGAATTTATCAATAATGAAGTAATTGAAAGAATATTAAATTAAATAGCCAAGTGACTTAAGATTTACCATACAAATTCGAGACTTCCTTAGCAGCAAGAGCAATTTCTTGATTTGATTAATAACATTATCATTAATTATTAATTTATAGGAAATGATGATATATGATCAACTTAATAAATAAGAGAATAACAAATAATACAAGATAATTGAATAACAAGAATAGCAATTATCGTTTTCCCATTTGCACTCAGCATTCTCAACTACATAACTGAAGCTTAAACATTAAGTGGCATATGTGGCTTTCTCGCACAACTATTGATAACATGAGTTTAAATCTTGACTCCAAAAACATCTTGGATGATTTTGACATTCAGCTATCTCAGTGAAGTCTTCGCATACAAATTCTGAGCATCCGGTATCACCTATAGGGTAACATTGCTAACCACTTATTTTATTATAATTAGGACAAGTTGTGATTGTGTAATCTTTACATTCCTTAGTTTTACATTAATCATCTTCATATTTACAAAATTAAAGATCACATGACTCCTTATATGTGATGTCTTCACAATTGAGAAATGCTGTGCAAACATCACCTTACTCTCCATTCAAAACACAAATGCTAGTATGAAGACCTACTGTTTATGAGGCACCTTAACAATATTTAATGTCATATGATTAACACAATTTTTATTCAGATTTTGATACACATATTTAATCTTAATAATCCCAAAAACAATTTATTTCTAAACATTATTCTTTATATGTATCTTTTTCTGCCAAATCTTGAAACTACTCACAAGTTGACAGTTCCTAACAGAATCCAATATTATTATCCCAATAACATCTGATTTTTCCTGCAAAGTAAAAGCAATCATCAATCATTCTATCAATGCATTAAATTTCTTCACAAAATCCAGACTTGACATCGTAAGCACATCCTCTGGCTTCTTAACACAAATCCTCAAAGTAGATTTCATTACATGAACACTTTTGAGAATTTGATAAAGGTAATATTATAATGAATATTGCAAGCATATATATTATAATTTATATTATTTGATATAGCAAATTTGAATTGTTTAACAGTTCCTTGTCAATCTATAGTTCTTAATTAAGTTTATAGATTTACAACTCTCAGAATAGTATGTCGATCTTGACCTCGATTATTATTATTATAAAGTCATTAATTCTCATAATAACTGAATAATTATTACTGATTATTAAATCTTGCAAATCTTTAGTTTATTAATGGTTTTATATATATATAATCATATGTGTTATCATAAAGTGAAATTTTTCTCGTCATAGTGTTCTAGTGTTAGATGCCCCTTTCCTAAACAATCCAAACATTAATCCCTTTCTCTTTTTTGAGTTGGTGATAAATCTTGATCTAAATATTTTCTCGAGAATTTGGGGGTGACAAACCCAATTCCTTTACAATGATAACATTCTTGTTAAGTTGTGATTGCCTCTTCTTTCATTTCAATATTCCCCATGTTTGCTAGTGAATTGTTCAATTATTTAATTACTCTTTATCCGAATTCGAGTTGACAATTTATAATATTGAAAAAATACGTATTATATTAAACAATCAACTTTAATAATACTAACTATATCAATACCATTTTAGATTGCTCCCAAATTTTAAAGAAATATTTCAAATTTGTAAACGTGATGTTCCAACTTTGAAATTCAAATTAAAAAAGAAAAAGTTTATTTGAATAATATAAAAATTAGTGACACCTTAGAAAGTGATGTTTATGATTATGTACGATTCAATTTTCTGCAAGTATTTCATAAAATTAATGAAATAATCAAAAGTTAACAAATTCTTCACAAATTTAACAGGAAGTCAAATAGTATGTCATATGCCCTCTCTAACAACATCTACAAGCAGCAAACATTATTAAAATGCAAGCTCCACAGCCTCTAGTGGAAATAAATATTTAGTTTACTCAAAACGCACATCTCGTATCCTTCTCGATTCAACCAAAAAACTCCCCCTTTTTTCTCATGTGATGAACACAGAAACTTAGGATACTCCTAAAACTGTAACAGTTAAAAAGAGAAAGGCAAGTGGAAATTCTGGAGACTTTCGTATTGCTCATTCACATTTAAGAAACAAAACAGAGAATCTTGCCATTACTAAAAACGATTATGTTTCTAAATTAGACTTTCCAAAACAACAATTTGAAGATGTTCAACAACCAAACCTATAACCAGACATTTAACAAACAGTCAAAACTCCTTAATTAATAGAGCATACTGTTGAAATTCAGTAGATATCTCTAACATCAAGTAGAAACGAAAATATCACTCATCTAGTAAAACCCTAACTTCATCTTGAGGAAATATTGGGGGAAAACTATGAGTTCCCAAAAATGGCTCGAGTATTTCACAAAATCAAAAGAACATAGATATAACAACAGATTACAGAGATAGAATCTTTGAACGAGAAGAGTTGTCATCTGATGAGAAAACTAAGATAAATGCTGCATACTCACAGAGATAAACAGAAATTATTAGAATTGGAAATCAAAAAGAAAAAGGACCCTTTTATAGATTTATAATTTTAAAAAACATTAAGCAATATGCCAGAGGAAAGAACACCAAAAGCTATTGAATCAAAATTTAATTTTAAGTTAAGCACTATCACAAAAAAATAAACTAAAATTCATCCCAATTATAGTATCTAAGAAACCGAGTCTAATCTACCTATTAAAACAATTATTGATGCTCTAAAGGAAAAGAAAGAAGATAAAATAGAAAAAAATAAAGTTGATAAATAATTAATAATTCAACCGGTCTAAAAAAAGAATATCAAAGTAACTGTTGCTTTTGAAGAAAATCAAAAATAGATCGAATTTCATATGCCAAATTATATAGAAGATGTCATTTAGGACCATGATTAATAGATTGAAGTAAAAGACAATAAAAACTCAAATATTTATTCTTTAGTCAGTAAATCAATGTTACAAAAGTATACATTTTATATATATTATAAGCAAATTCGCTTTGAGATTAGTCAAGAAATTTGGAGACAAAGTCCTTAACACTTAACAAGATAATGATGCCATTGAAAATTTCAACTCTTTTAAGGCTTCATAATTTGCAAGATATTACTTACAGAATCACGTTTAAAAATGTTTAGAAATCTTATATGAGCCATAATAAGATCAGGAGGAAAAGCAAAACAAAAATATAACACAATACGCTTTTTTTAAGGGTAACAACTCTTCAGAAATATTTCAAGATGGTTCAAATAAAACTTCTTTTTAACTTCTTAAATTAAATGTATACATATTTCTTCAATTTAAGAAGTAATGCGAAGTAGAGACTTTGTTTCATACTGTTGAATGTAATCATTAAGGGTATCCAAGTGATAACAGTATTTTGAGTGCAAATAATTCTTAATTGGATATTAGTGATGGAGAAATACAGACTTAATTTAAAATCAATTACATTTGTTAAATAGTAAATTTAATATCTCCAAACGATCTGAAGCAACAGAAATTACGAGTTATTGTAAACATAGTGGATGATGATACTAAAAATTAGTTTTTACATAAAGAACTCATGAGATTCCCAGAAATAATTAATTTAGTTATCCAAAACGAGGATGATTCAGAAAACAATTGTATATTATCTATCATTAAATAGAGAGTTATAGATTCTTAACAATTTACATAAGTAATTATTGTAAGTAGACTAAACAAATTTAAAAACTGAATTTTCCTAAACATACAACTAGATTTTAATTGGATTATTTGAAGAATAAATATACCATCAAATAACTCCAATGGAAAAGATATATGTTTAATTATGTAAAACTCAAAAAGATTTAGACTTAGCAAAACTTAATGATCGATAATTTGCTAATCTAAATATTCCTTAAAATTCTAAAAGTAGACTTGCATCTCCAATAGGATCTGTATTCTATTTATTTTATTTCAGAATGAATCAAAGTTGACTGTCAAAGAAATGAATCCATTATTTGCTAAAGGAATGATTTTAAAAAAGAATTAGAAGTCAAAAAATTTATTAGCAAATTAGAAGTTTTCTTCCTCATCATAAAACATCATGTTTGCTAGTTCTAAGAATTTTTAAGGTTTGTTACATACAAACAATAAGTCTAATCCCAATTTTTAATATTTTTAGTGCTCTGAAACTATTCAAAACTTATAATAATAAAAAGAAGCAGAATAAATTAAATCTAAATCGGAATAATAAGCTAAGTCCAAGTCTTCTCAAGGATTAATTTCAATCAAATCCAATTTTATCACCCAATAATCAATGGAACCCACTTCTCTACTTTTTAGAAGTATGTTATTACAAGAAAGCTAACAAAATGATAAATCCAACATTGAAAGAGCGTTCTCCCTAATAGAGGATCATCGATTGCAAGACTTAAAAGACTTGCTGAATCATGATTAGAATATCAATATAAACACTTAAGATGAAAATGGGAATACCTTTTTAATATAAGCAGCAAGAACAGGAGCATTTGAAATAATTTCTTTCCTACTTCGCCAAGGAGCAGAGATTGCCATAAAAAATGTATGTTATGTATTTGATATAGAATGATGGGTTGAATGCTTCACAAATAGCAATCATTCATTTATAGTTTGAAGCAGCAGATGAGATTAATAGATTTAGTAGGTCAAATTCATTTGCATCCCATTGATTATATCTTTCAATTTTCCAATTAATTACTATAAAAATAATCATTTCAAAGTTGTTGTGATTCTACTTTTAGTTTGCCTTCATACCATTCTCCTGATTAAATTCCATTTTTGCCTTAAAATGTCCCCAAACCATGCATTTATCCATCTTTCCAATACCCTATGTATTGAGTACCATCCCCTAAATTCAAAGTTCCCTACCCTTCTTTTCTACCATTAACATATTGCCCTTTAAAAATCGTTTGTTTATATTACCTACATATTTTTTACCATCCGGCCAAATTAGACTTCCTTTGCCTTCCATTTTCCCTTAGACCCATTAGCCATCATAAACTTTCTTATCTGGCCATGTATAGACACCTTTTCCTTACATCTAATTGTTTTGAAAATCGCCTACATACACACCACCATCAGCAAACTTGTATGTACCTTTTCCAACTTTTTTTCCATAACTAAAACTTCCTTCATACTCAGTTCCATCACGCCATTCCTCCTTTCCTTAGCCATGAGGTAGATCGTCTAACCAATCACCAGTATACTCAACCCCATCAAAGTGATAATAAGTTCCTTTGCCATCTGCTTTGTCATCCTTCCATTCCCCTTCATACATATCTCCATCAGAGTGGATCAATCTTCCTTACCCATTAGCCTTATCGTCCTTCCATTCCCCCTCATAAAAAGCTCCTGTAGGCCAATATTGTAATCCATATCCATTTCGCTAATAATTTTTCCAACCTCCAACATAAACAATATCGGTTCTCTTATATTGCTTGAAGGTTAATAAAAATATTACAATAGGTGGATAGAATGTAACATCTATAAGATTTAGTTCTTTTGGCAACTTATATTTACCATGACTTGATAATGTGAACAATACAATTTCATTCTCTATTTAAGGAGGTTATTCACAAAAAAAGACATTACTACCAAAGCCTAAATCTAGAGTATGAGTTTAATTATTAAAATTGAATAAGAATGATGCATTCGAGATGACATTTGGTAATGTTTGTTCAGGAGTCAAAAATTGAGCCTTAGGGTATCTTAAATTTATAGAGTACATCATTATAGGTTTGAGTATATAATGGTTCTGGTTGTTAGCCTATGCTCGGAAGATAATTCAATTTTTAACAGCATGCTTATCCCATTATAAATTAAATAATACCCATTATTAAAAGACTCCCATCGTAATTCTGATTATCCTATATTTTTGTGTTATAGTTTAGGAATCGAAGGTTTAATATATTAATTTCAAAGTTAGAGAAGATGCAAATTTCATAATTCTTTATAAACAAAATAACTTAAATGATTTTAATTATGTATTTTTCTACTTTTCTTATTTGGCTTTAAATTTTTATTTACATTTATTTTTGAGCCTTTTATATTGTTAAAGTCTTCTATATCGAATATAAAATTATTTAATATACTTTTTAATGCTACCCTTTTTATAAAAGAAAAGATCTAATTCATTCAATGTGAGAAAACCAACTGAGAGAAATTCAATTCATGCTGACGTAACTCCATTAGATGAAGGAAAAGGAATATTAATCATAATGATATTGAATAATGAAGAATTTATAGCTGAGTTTATCCAAAACCCACATTATCTTCAGTTTCTAAGATATAGAGAGTTTTTGAATGAGCAACAAATTAAATAGTTTGTAGCATATTTATAAGAATAATTGATCTAATCGACAAGCAAGGCACAAACTTATTATTACTGTACATTTTCATAAAAATCTAAAAAAATTGATTTCATTAACACATCAAGTAGAGATATGTACGATGTGTTGATTGAATTCGCCGAAAGAATTAATAAGGACAAATAATTTAATTATGTTTTTGGAGTTGACTTTAATATGATACATAAAAGCAAATTTAAAAGTATGTTGTTTTTGAGTGAAACAAGAATCGATTTATAAATTATGGAAGACATTTAACCATAAAAAATAACCAGAGTAAGAACTTATTCTCAACAAAGTATCAATCTAAACTAAAATGAATCATCAGAAATGTTTGACACAGACAATAAATATTAATAATTAACATCTCATAAAAGAAACAAAGAAATTAAACAATATCTAAAAGAATAAAATAAATTGAAATATGAAGCAAAAATCAAGGATTAATCCATAATCAAGAAAACTATGTAAACTGAAAAGACTGAACCTTAAAAATAGTAAACTGAATTACCTCCTATTTGTGAATAGGTATTTTAGAGATTTTAATTGATCTTTGGAATTAAGACAATTAATATGGATAGAGATTTATTTTGTTAATTTCTTTTATTATGTGAAATGACGATTTAATATACTAAAAATAAGTTGCTTCAGACCTCAATTCAGAAGATTGAGGAGAGTAAGAGATTAGAAGTACTTTTAAAATAGTTATTTTTCGATTACAAATTCCTCAAATCTATGAATGTGAAGTTACAGTAATTGAACCCGACATTAACCAGATGTTTACTAAGATTCTTAAAATAAGGCTTAGAATATGATAGACAGAATAGATTATTTTGGAATGATTTCCTTAGATTTAAATAATATTACATAGATAGGATTTGGATTGTATCTGATTTTAGATTATTCTTGATGCTTTTGAATGATGAAAATTAATCCTACACTTCCAAGATTATGAAAGTGTAACCCCTTAATACCTAAAGAACTATTTTGAACCTTGAACCACTCTGCTTATAGAACATAGTTTACTCGTTAATTTTTTGAATTGGCTTTATTAATTTATATATTTACTAAAACTAGATCTACTAACCCATATCAAAAATGCTTTTTAATTCTAGCCTAGATTTCATCGAAAATAAATTATCATATTAATTTCTTATTACATACATAATCAACAAAATCGTCAAGATCTGAGGGTTAAGCTAACTCCAATAAGATTTTTTTCTTCAAATCATTTTACTTCTTTTTAGCTGGACTTGTAATTGTTTCTTTGAGTCTGAATGATTCATTTCCTTTTTTATCCATTATTTGAGTTTTTAATTACATCAGTACTGGTTTTGTTTGCTATCTTACTTATTTTATTCTTGGGGTTATGCTAACTTATTTAGAAACTAGTAATTAGGACTTCTCGAAAAAGGAAGGGCATTTACTATTGGGTGTAACAGGTAAAGTCACCATTTGTCTAGGAGTATAATTCTCATATTTATGTTATTAACTGATGGAACTTGTTTTCTATTTGAATTAATTATTTCCTCCAACAATGTTAAAATAATGATATCTATCAGAGGGGTCAATCATATGCATTCCAATAACCATCTTCTTTCTTTTTTATAATTCGCTATAAGTTGTGGGTTTAAACATAAAATAATTACATATTCTAAATTAATTTTAATGTTTGCTAAACTGGAATCCATTATTTCAAAGATTTAAGGATAAACTCATAGTTTTTTATTCAATAATCTTTTACTACTATTATGAAGAGGATATATTATTCACTCAGTTGCTGAAATAAAGAAATCTGGGTTATTATTTTCTTAATTTTGAAATAGAAATACTTAATCCCAAAATGAGATGAAATGAAAGAAGATTATTTAATAACACTTTAAATCACATGATAATAACTAACTGATGAATTATAAAATTAGTAATAATTATATTGCATATTAAATTTATTATAATGGCAGAGTTCTAAATGCCTGTTTCATCAATACCGAATTCAAAAATTTACATAAATGAAAGCACTATGAAAAAGATTTTACTTTAAAATAAAGGAACAACCATGAATCATACAAAAGGATTTAGTTCTATGTTTACCAATGTTGTTTGTGATCTCTCAAATTTGGAAACTTCAACAGATTCATCTAGTTAGAAGAATTTGGCAGGTCCAAACTTTGCTCCTCATAAGAAGGATAATTTCAGATATCATATTCAAAAGCCTCAACCCAATTTATAAGGCACAAATATCCAGAGAGTACATAGAATGCCAATGGATAAGAAAATCATTAGAACTACATTAATGCCAAAAATAAAGCCTGAAGAACAACCGGTTGATCCTGGATTATCTCTTTTGCCTGCTAATCCTATCAGAGAGCAAAGGTCATATAGTTACAAGGAGAGACCGTATTACATTGAGATGCAGCATTATAGAAAGAAAAGCAAAGTCAAACTGGATCCTCCCCAAGAAATTGCAGGCAGGTCCTTTGACATTAAAGCTTCGATCTCATGTAAAGAAGAATGGACTGAAACTTAACCTTTTAATATATTGACAATAAGATAAGAAATCGAGAAGGCTCTTTAAAAATGCTCACCCAAAAAGTAAACTTAGGAATTCGTGGAACCTGAACTTACATAATAAAAATATAATCCTAGTTATATGTTTATTGAAGACGACAGAGATCGTTTTGGGAAATAAATCTATCCAATAAGCATGCCATAACCAAGACCTGGTCCTGGGTAATATGATACTGATAACACTTCGTTGAATTTCAAGGTCAATAAAATTTAAGAGAGAAATACTTAGAAAAGACTTGTACAACTCTGGTAATAATAATTTTGAATTACCTTAATTTATGTTCGAATTTGTTAGAATTCATTTGGACTTTGTATTTTATCATTTGCACAAACGATCTAACTGTTTCCATTAATTCTATAATTTGATTATCAAATTTTATTAAAATTATATGAGCTTGAATCTTCAAGGTTCGAGAAAACCTAGCCAAGTGAATAGTCCAAGTTCTATTAAAAAGCCTATCATTTCCTCGTTACTATTTAATTGTAGAGCTCCCATAAATGTTCCGAACAGCTCATAAGTATCACCTTAAAATTCTGATCAAAATCTTCTAAAACCATTGCATTCTCATAAAGGATCTTAGGTGGATGTCGCTAATTTAACAAAATTAATTAAACACAATAAATCTCCTACTATTGAAGCATTTGATACATAAAATAACGAGAATTCAAGCTCGCAATAATTACAAGCATTATTAGCAAAAGCAAGAGAAATCACTTAGAATAAATAAAAACCATAAATTGTAAAATAATAGGCTCAGGCGATTTAAACATAATCGATCAACCAATTGAAAGAACTATTTAATAATAATTTGTATTGTAGAAACACTTTTCACTTCCATTTTGTTGTTGGAATAGGAGGTTTCGGAAAAGTTTGGAAAGTAGAACATAAAAAGACAGGTCAAATTTATGCGATGAAGGAAATGTCAAAGGCTTTGTATGTTTATTCCTCTTTATATAGAATTATCACAAAAAAAAGTGTAAATTCAGTTATGAATGAAAGAATTTTATTAAGCCAATTGAAGCATCCTTTTTTAGTTAACATGAATTATGCGTATCAAGACAGGGAAACTCTTTATTTGATTATGGATTATATGTCAGGGGGAGATCTTCGATATCACATTGGAAGAATGAGAAAATTTAATGAAGAAGAAACCAGTAAGAAATTTTAACTATAATTTTTGAGGGTTCTTTGTAGCCTGCATTTTTTTAAGTTTAGAATATGTTCACAGCAACAACATAATTCATAGAGACCTTAAACCCGAAAATCTAGTCTTGGATAGCAAAGGCTATGTTCATTTAACTGATTTTGGCATTGCAAGATTTATGAAATCAGAGAACTCAAGCGATACTAGTGGCACACCTGGCTATATGGGTATTCAATCATTCAATCAGTTAGCTCCTGAAGTCATGTATAGATAAAACCATACATTTGCTGCTGACTATTATGCTTTAGGAGTGATTGCTTACGAATTTATGTTGGGCAGAGTATAAATGATATAGATTTATTTAGAGACCCTATGTGGGAAGGTCAAGATAAGAAATTAGAGAGCAAATCATTGCTAAATAGGTTCAAATAAAGAAATCTGAAATACCTGATAATTGGTCGTTGGAGGGTGCTGATTTTATCAATAGAGTATTTTATTAATTCAAATCCTTTCCAGCTATTATAAAGAAAACCATCATAGCGATTAGGGTTTAATGGTAGTCAAGAAATCCGTCAGCATCCTTGGTTTTTAAATTTTCCATGGTAAAAGTTGCAAGACTTCGAGTTGATTCCACCCTTCAAACCAAATGTAAATGGATGTTATTAAATTAGAGGACTGAGGATAATTTTGATAAAAATCAAATTCTCATAGAGGATGAAGAAAATAATGAACTTATCTAATAAAACTTGCTTGTATTAAAAGATCCGGTTACTTAAGGTATCATCATTTAAATCATAAAGATCTATTTTAGGGGTATGAATTTAATGCAAATTAAAGCCAAAATAAGATTTCATCAACTACTGATTAATCTTCAAGTTCATCATCTAAACATAGTAGAAATTTTAGCCAATAAATTGAAAAATAACAATATTTTGAAAGTAGTAATAAGTGATTCTATTGAAACCATTCATATAGTATATATATGCTGTTTTTTATTTTTTTATAAAATTAATAAGGTATGTATAACGGTATATATTACCATTAGGAAATCAGATTGGTAATTGATCTTTAATTTATTAAATTTTTCAATTTTAATTAATTTTCAATAAATCAATTTTTTTTATAGAAAAATAATAGGTAATATTGTTTAATTATAACAGTAAAATTTTATTTATATTTATACAATTGATTTTTGAAAAAATATTTTTAAATTATAACTTCTTCATCTTCAAATCTGTATTTGGACTTTTAAAACTTGAGCTTTAAGAACGAAGATTAATTCACACAACATATATTCTTTAAATTATTTAGTGATAATAATTTTAAATTGCTTTATGAGACTATACAGTTTTAAAAAAAAAATATGCCTATTTGAATTTTTTAAAAACATTGAATGAATGGAAAATCATTATTTTATATTATTATCATAAATTCCTCATAATTTATGATATTATATTTAATTTATGATTTAAATCATTTTTTGAATACATTTTTTTCAAAACAATTTCTAAAAGTTTAAGCATAAAACACTCTGAAAAATGAAAATCCTTTTTATTTTAAAGTATTTTAAAATTGATATGGTTGTTAACTTTAAATGCTAATTTAAATTATTTATGCTAACCATTAAATTTCATTAAATTAAATTAAATGATAAGAATTTTATCGTAAAAACCATAAAAAAATAGTATCGTTCAAAAGAACACAAGAAAGGATATTGATAAATTCTACAAGCTAGTCTTGTTGCTTCAAGATCTAGAAAATGATTTAATAAACTTGTCAGACGAGCATCTGGTTCCCTTAAAAAGTGCGGCTATTGAAAATTGTAAAAATAAATCTACTGATAAATTCAATGGGAAAGAAATAAGTGGAAGTAATCAAATTTTTATTTAACATAGAAAAATCATGTAAATCTAAAAAACTACCCTGTTGTTAATAAGAAATTTAAACTTTGGATGAAGAAACCCATTAATTTGATTTAGACATTTTATCTTCAATTATTGGAGATAGAAAGAAGCTTAAATAGTGAATTATAATTTGTTTATGAATAAGAATGCACAAATCTTTTGATAAATTCCAAAAATAAACATGATAAAAACTCAAAATACATTTATTTTTTTGAAAATAAAAATGGCCTTGTGTCACATTTCTGGTTATTTTTAAATTACTTCTCAGTAGCTTAAGCCATTCTTAGTTTGATGAACCTGTAGATTCAAATTTTTGTTGAGAAATGCCAGCCTAAAATTAATAAGAAAAAAATTCTAATTATATAATAAATTATCCAATAATTATAGAAGATCGATTAATTTTAATTATTCCATATTATGTAAATCAACAAAGATGCCTTCTTAGGTTGTAAAATCAATGAAATTCCTCTACAAAAAGCATATCTAAGTGTCTTTTGAGTCATTAAGAATATATACAATAATTGAATTAATAATTGAAAAAGTCAAGTAGTTTAGAAATTTTTTTCAGAAAAAAACTAAATAACCATATCACATAAATGAATTATGCTGGGGATAATAAATTAAATATAAAATGTTGAATATAATGACTTATGATTAAGTAATGCTTTCTGTTGCTATTACTTAATTAAAGAACTTCTGGATTAGAATTGGAAGATGAATGAATTACTCATTATAGTATCATGATCAATAAAATTTAATATTTGATGGCCACTAGAGAAAATACGAATGAACAGTTATAATAAATTAAAATGAACAGTTATAATTGCAAATTTGAATAAATTACTTTATAAAATAAGATTATCAATTAATATTAACAAATTGAATAAATTATTTAAATCATCTCATCAATCTATTCCATCTAAATTTTATGGTTTATGGTTTTTTTATTTAGTAAGTTCAATGTATGTCCAAATTAATTTAAGATCTTCAGGATCTAAGTATTTCAATTTAGAATTTTATTCTTCCATTTTTTGTTTAATTTCCTTGCTAACAATCTAATAGTCAAATTAATGAAAGATCAATAAATTTTATAACAATTGTTCATTCTCTAGTGTCCATCCTTCTTACTTGTCTTTCACCTCTCTTAATATCTTTACTTTTTTATCATCATAAAATTAATTGTTAATATTTTATTATTCTAAATTACTGTTATTTAAATCTTCCAAGTCTTCAGTAAGAGTCTTACTTTAATTCCCACTCTCAAAATCTGGTAAATCTGTCTCACTTAGTGGTTGGAAATCATCATTAAAATACTTTTGCTTAATTTATATTACTTCCTTTTTCATAAAACATAATTATTACATCTTCTGATTTGTTCAAAATTATGACATTTCCAAATTCGTCCCTTGTTGTTAGCACACATTAATAAGGAGTCAATTAATCGATTTTATATTTCTCTAATTCTGTTTCTATATTTTATAATTCTTATTCTTTTTATTCTAGTTAATTTTGAACGTCGTCCCCATCAGCCAATAGAATTTATAATAAACTGATCTCTCTTTATACATTATCTTTTTAAGTCAATAGATTGTTTCTCATTTCTCCTCTCTATTGTCTTTAAAGAGTTTGTAGATAGTTTTAATAATTGATTTCTTTTCTTTGTTCAATTTAAGCAATTCTTTCTTATTATTCTGCTACTTTGCCTCCTGTTTACCAAGCCTCGCTAATTCTTCTTTCACCTACAGTAACTGGTTTATCATCTAGATACTTCAAAGTTTTAATAGTCACTATCATAATTTTTCTATAATCCGAACATTCTCTTACTAAAATATGATTATTTAATAATATACCATATGAATTAGCTTTTAAATATAAACAGGCTAGATTTGTCTTCCCAAACAACTCTAAAATAGGCTTTTCATATGATATAAAGTTATTAGATAAATCCAAATTGGTAATTGATAAGCATTCTTATAAACCCTCTAATGATTCATAACCTGCTAAATGATTATTTGAAATATTTAAGTTTTAGAGCTTAGTTAATGCTTGCAAGTTTTCAATTTTCTTGATTGAATTATGACTCAAATTTAATGTGCACAAATTAGTCAGAAATGAAAGATTTTCGATTTTTTAAATTAGATTATGATTCAAATATAAACTAACAAGCTAGGTGAGTTCATCTAAATTCTCAATTTTTCCAATCGCATTGTTATTCAACCATAGTGCTACCAAATTTTTATAAGGTTCTAGATTTTGAATTTTGTCAAATCCTATATCAATAACATTTGGATGTACCTAAATAATGCAAATAAATTGTCTCATTGTTTTCTGGAGTCTAATAAAGACCTTTTCTATCACAGATGATCTTTAAATTTCTTAAATTCATGATTACAGTTCCATTTTCATTTCTTTCAATTGTTTTATTCATATTTAATTAATTATAATAATATTGTGAAAAATAAATGATTATTAATATATAATCTTTTAATGAAAATGATTAATTCGTATATACTTTAATGTATTTGCTATTTCAATTAAATTGCAAAAATGAAATCATGAAATAAGATTGATTAAAGCAATGCTTTTATAGAATCTTTGTAATATTGGTGGTAGAATTCATGACACTTAGATCATTTAATACTAAAATCAGATAATTTTGAAAACTTATAAGTAATTTATAGGAAAGCTACATTCATAAAAAAATATATTTTGTTGAAATGATTTTGAAAATAGTTTGATTGGTATTAAAAATTAAGAATGATAAATTATATTATCTTTATTTTAATTTACAATTAAGTAGAAAGAATATTATGCGAAAAATAATAAAATAAATCTCAGAAAGGAAAATGAAAAAACAATATAAGATTAGTTTGTAGGAACATACTATTTTGTAAAGAATAAAAAAATGATTGCAAAAAGATGTCGTTATTCTCAAATTTGACAATTTCTTGACCATTAATTTGAACCAATTAGTTTAAATAGTTACTTATAAAATTAATATTTAAATTAAACTCAATTTTAAGTCTGATAATTCCATTTATTTGCATCTTTGTAAATTTAATTGCAATATTCTAATTAAACTACTTAAACTACTAAAAAAATGAAGGCTTAAGGATTAAAAAATATTTAATAGAAATATACACAGTTTGCATATCATCAAAGATCTCAAAATAATCTATTGAATCTCAAACATTAGCAAGATAATAATTTTCAAAAGAATAATGAACTGGACACTTTATCTAAGTTGAAAGAGCTCAATGAAATTAATGAGAGAATTTAAGATTATCAATTGTAAGCTACTTAATCTAAAATAGACTTAAATATCATAAGAGGTCTCTTAGTTCTTAAAGCAATGTAGAAGGGTTTTTAAATCTTAAGGATCAATAGATCTTTCTATATTTACCTTATCATCACTGTAAATAGCATAGAAGATAAGTTATAAGAAAATTATGGAAGAAATACATTAATGTCATAATCTCATTATTTAGATATGAAAGAGCAAGAAATGATATATACAGATTTTATATTCCCAGGAAAAAACTCTATGCTTTACCAACTCCTGACACATTGCCAAGGAATCCAAGAAAAAGAAAAAAAGATTGTTTATTAAAATTAGGAACCTTTGGTGAATACATAGAAGCTTAAGACGAATTAGAAGCTAAATAAAAAAGGAAAGAAATACCTAATTTCAAGAAATCCCCCATTTATCTAAAATATCAATCGAGTCAAGTTAGAATTAATAGAATATTAACAAAAAGAAATAATAACAATAGCATTTCTGCAGATAATCTAAGACTATCTCCTAAGAAGGTGATTAACAAACTAAAGTGTAACTTAACTCTTCCTCCTCTTATAAAATTAGATAAAAGATTGCAAAGAGTATTTTCAAATCTTGGCAAATGATCACTATATTATATATATAATATTAATTATTTATGAATCAGATCAAATTACCGAAGGTTTATAGAAATGACTTAGAAAATAGTTTTATTCGAAAATTTGAAAGATCTTTTTTAAGTTAAAGTTAGAAATCTAGTCAAGTTACAAGAGTGCGATTATATAAATAAAAATAACCGAGATATCAAATAAATGAGAATTTGAAATAGCTATCTGAATGGAATTAATAAAAACAATATCATAAAAAGTAATGAAGTAATATCAACATATAGGCTTAAATATTATCCTAGAGGTAAAAGTTCAGAAAGCTCGATCGAAGGACAAAATGGTAAAAAGGTTTCTTAGTTTTTTTTATTATTGCCCTATCATCGTCCTGCTTAATAGAGATACTTATAATGTAGAATGATGTGGAAACGGCTGATTATAGGAGTGGAAATTATAATCTTCTATGGTAAACTTTATAGAGAATAATTAATTTCTAAGACTGCTTCATGTCCTCACATTCCTCCTCGAAGAAGTAGTCTTAAAAGTCTAAATTATCCTGCAAGTCCTCCTAAAAGGAAATTTCGAAGTAGAACTCAAGGGGAAGGAAAGAATCAACCAAGTGGTTTCGGAGATTATGTAAAAGCGATGTATGAGAGTGAAAAGTAAAAAAAGGAGTTGTCCTCAAAATCAGTGATCACAAAAGAATTTCGTTTTAACGATTCAAGAATAAAAAGACTTGTGACATCAAAGATTTGTGATCAGACACTTGATCTCTCAAGAAATAGATGTGCAAGTATCAAAGATTCTAATTAACTACCTATTCTGATGTAAATAGCGCCTTACAAAGAGGAAAACATTAGAATAAAGAGAGTATCTTCGACTATGATAAGAAGAATAAGGACTCTCAGATTATATTGATTATAATGAAAACATTACTCACAATTTTCCTAATTCAATCTTTAACAATAAAGTTTATTTAAGTAAATATCTAATTAGAACTCCAATAAATTATTTTTAATAATAGTTATATTAATTCATTAATATGGAAACGAAACAGAGGTCGAAACACAGCTTTATCATAAAAACTGGAACTCCAAAATAGTTAGTAATCTCACTATCTCCAAAACAAAAAAGTCATAGATAACACCCAAAATTACCAGCAATAGTAGAGCATGAACACACTCTCTTTAAATTAAAATAGTTTGGTAAAAGAAGATAAGAAAATTAAAAGTACTATTGAATATTATAGGTTATTAGCAATAAGCGATGTCGAAGTTCAGAGTCCTCTTACGAGGGAACTTTAAATAAAAGATATTAGTTCATGTTTTAAACTATACCCTATCATGGAACTTCTTTTCAAAGAAAGCAATTCTATGTAAAAAAATGGAGAAAATTAATTATTGCTATTCAGTGCATCATCTATATATCTAAAATAGCTCTTTAGGAATTCAAAATTCGGAGAAGCTGTCCTCCTAAAATGATGATTAGTCATTACTCTATACATCATCATCCTTATCCTTAAAGCCCATCCAATCGTAAAAGAAATAAAAGCTGTACTCTGGATATAAAAAATAGAAAAATAAGCTTTGGTGAAAAAATTCAAACTTTAATCATTTAATAAAAATTAAAAGCTGATACTTGCAAAAACAGTAGCTATCTTTAATAATTTAAGAATTAAAATACAAAATTGAATCGGTTACTAAGTTAGAAAGCAATTAGTTTATAATCCTTGCATACAACAACGGATTTAAAACCTTTGCATTCTGTTTATATAATTGATCAATTTGAAAAATAATCAACCTTGTAAAAATAAACTAAAAAACTCTCTTTGAAATTAAAAAGATCACAATGATGATAATATTACTTAATTTTCTAATTGTACATTATCTTATTATATTTTGTCAATAACCCAATTTCTCTAATTCTGCATTTATGGCAGTAAGTTCTTTAGCACCAATTGCTTTTCTTCTGAGATTTTCTCTGGTAATTTTTCTCTTATAATATGTTGCACCTCTAACAATTTATAAATGCAAATTCTACCTAAGCTTTCTTTTTTCTTCTAATCTATTTACAATTGATTATTGATTCCATCCAACTGAAGCGCACAAATCTCCTAAGGAGCAGAAAGGTCTATGATTCTTGAGTCTAATCAATTTAAGGGCATCTGGAACTACTTATCTCTTTCTTGTGTCATAAGGAGGGGGAACTCCTTCAAAGACTTTTAATCTTTCTAAAGCAGCTGCTCCTCTTTTTGATTTGTATTGAAGCATTCCTCTTACAACTTTCCAGAAGCATCTTGATGGTGTTCTGTAATGTTTATATCCTCTTCTTGGATTGAAGGCCATTCTTTTGTTCAAATATTCTTCAAAAATAACTCTGTTTCTAAATAGGGAACCTAAAATCATGGGATCATTTTACCTGATTGTTGAATCAATTCTGTTCTTACGACAACTATTCTTTATCCTCTTTATAATTGTTTTGCAATATAAGAAGCTAATCTACCCAACAAATGACCCTTTCCATCAATCACTATTTCCTTCTCAAACATTTAATTTAAATAAATTTTCAAAATGATATTCTCATCACAAAATACTTAGCAATAACAAAATTAACTAGAACAGAGGTACTAAATTCTATTTCTGTAATTTATTATTATATAATCATTAAAATTCTAACATTTTTCATCTTTTCTTACTACCATTATCAAACCCACTATTCCAAAATCAATGAAATTCAAAATATACATTTCTCATCTATTTCCCATTTCCTTAATAAATAATTTATAACACTCCAATAAGTATTTATTTATATTATAAAAATCATAAATTATGAGGGGTCCTAAATATGTGGAATAGGATATTATAAAAAAAGTGTGCTATGCTGAATAGTTCCAACAGCATAAATTCAAACTTTTAAATACAAGATCAGATCCCCATCTTTCAAAAAAAGTATAGCATTCTCAAACTTTAGCAAATTTTATTAGACAATGATAAGTATTAGTAAATAAGGGCGAACAAATTTTATACGAAACTGTAAGTGGATTTACAGAAGGAATAACGTCTCTTTAAGGAGAATGCCAAGATTTTAAATCGCATTGTGGATATAGGAAATTAAAAAACATATTCATCAATGCCAAAAAGATCTGTCACTCGTCAAAGTTCAGCCAACTCTATCAAATCTCTTAATTTATCTTATAGGAAACAAGAAGCTAAAAAAATTGTAGGAGAAAATGAAAAATTAATCTAGCGGTTATAAAGAACTCCATCATCCTTTAGAAATAAAGACACTTTACTAAAGGACTATAAGAAGTAAGAATCTCATATATATATTCAAGAACATTGGAATTAAAAAATAGAATTTCTAAATATTCGTAATAAAATCAGTAAAAGATGGGTAAAATCGTTGAGAGGCTAACAAAAACAACTACAAATCCAAAATACTCTAAAACAAATCAAAGCAGAACCAGTGCTCCAACATATAAGAATTCAGCTTTGTCTAAATTAAGAATTGAGCCTGATTCCTAATAATAAAAATTGTAATTTCCAAGAATTAAATGAAGTATGCAATATTTATTAAATTTTTATATTCTAAAATAAAAAGTTGAGTAAATTATTTATTTTTTTTTCAAACCAATACTTGTTTTGTAAATAAATTTAGAATAATGAATTCTATGTATCAATCTAACAGCATAAAGGATTAATGATAAGTGCGATATATATGATAAGAGAGAGAGTGTTAGTAATCTTTTAAATAAATTAATAACTCCAATTATAATAATTGCAAAAAGTTTCTATATTATTTCTTTTCTAATTAGATTATTTTAATATTTTAGGTATTAATTCTAAGTATTTACTTATTATATATCTATATATCACTCTTATTTCATTTTTAATTTATTCATCTATATCTGTTTATATAATTCTAAAAATTTGGAAATATAGGATATAAAATTATATATCAAAAATATAATGAATACCAATACTGCTAATAGCAAGCAATTCACTATAAAAATTTTTTCATTAATTCTCAATAAATAATTCTACCATTATCTCTCTTCTCTAGAAACATCTAATATACAAGACTAAGAGTCATCATAAAATTATTGTAGTAGCTCTTCAATTTAAATAGTCTTCTACAAAACAACACTTGAATCTTGACTAGAATGAGTTTCATATTCAATTCTTATAGGTGAATTTCGATTATTTGTAATGATTTTTAAGATTCCAAAATTAGATTTGTAATAATGATCTTGATTGTTACTAAAAGTGGTTGGACGAAAAAATTAGGAAATAAAGTCAAAAAAGGGAATATGATCAGAATTAGCAAATGTCATTCCACTTGACGTAAATTCATAGAGATTTTAACCTAATCTATGGGGACATGGATATTTCATAATTTCAGAATAATGCACATCTCCAGATAAGAAAATGATAGGCTTATTGTATTTTTTGATTAAAGCATATAATTTCTTTTTAGACCATCTAAACCATGTTTCTGATCCATCTCTATCATCAGGTATAACTTAGATTCCAGATGTCATGATGATTAATTCGCTTTTTTTCTTAAATTATTCTTCTAACCATTTCCATTAATTTTCTCCTAAGCAATCACCTGTGTGTTTATCTGAATTATATCTTATATCTGTCATAACAATCAGAATCTTATCATATTAATCAGCATAAAATGATTAGTAAATGCCGTCCTATTTCCTAAGTGGAGAATTTTTGTCTACACCAATAAAATCAAGATATAACTATTTGGCACTTTCTTTGAAAGGGTTGAATTTATCTCCATTATTTTAATTGCTATCATGGTCATCATAGACTCCTTTGATTGTTACACTCTTTTTGAATTGAACATAATATTTATCACTGTTGGTGATGTCGAATTTCTCTTTTACTCTGGTCTCATTCTATTCAGGTTTCCACATACCTAAAATATGCGTATAATCAATATAAGCAGCATCTCCCAACCATAAAAAATATTTTGGATTAAACTACTAAATTCTTTGAAAAACATCTGTGTCATGAGATCTATAAAATTTAAAGCATGACCCAAATGCTATAGTTAATAGATTCTCAGCCTTCACAGCAATAGAAAGAGAATACAAAAAAACAATTAATAAGTTTTTGAGCATGTATTTTATATTTTTAATATACTTATGATAAATTGATCTCATTTTAAGGCAGCCAAATATTCGCTGTGTTCTTAGAATGGAGTTGATTCTAATTTTGTGTGTCCCCAAAGATCTGGTGTAAGGAAATTGTAGGTTTCTTTAAGGGCATGGAATGTGGCCTTCAAGAAGTTTGATCTAGTTCTTGTGCTTCCCTTTGATTAGGTGTAGCAATCTTAAATTCCTGCCATTTATAAGACTTTCTTTGATGTGATGGCAGCAACAATACCAGTACCTCTGGGAGCTGGAACCAATCTAACTCTGACTGATCCTTCCTTTCCTGTCACTTTGCATGGGACTGTGTGTGGTTAGGCAATCTTATTTCCCCAATATCCCTTTCTAACTGGAATCAAATTGAGTTTAGCATTGATGACTGCACCTTTGATGGCTCCTTAAACTTCCTTAGCTGATTTCCATCCCAAACCAATGTGTTAGTGGGAATCTCCAACTACGACGTATGCCTTGAATCTTGTTCTTTATCCTGCACAAGTTTGCTTCTAGACTGGACCAATGGCGAGTGGCTCTTCCTTCAAATTCTTAAGGAAGTGATCGACAATTTAATATTCTAAATTTTTGTTAATAATCTAGAATTACCCTTGATGGGAATTGAGAATTGGAAGATTGTCTCAAGACTCTTGATTTTGCCTGCCTTTACTAATCTACCCAATTTGGTCAAGGGTGTCCACTCTTATTCACCTCCAAATCTTCTTGGACCTCTATTTTATCTTGGGGCTCCACCTTCTCTTCTTTCTCTTTATCCTCTTCCTCCTCTTCCGAATCCCTTCTTTTCAACTGGGGCGGCTTATTATTATTCTGCTGCTGGTGCTTATTATTGCTCTTATTCAGCCATTAAAATAAAAATCTTAATTTAAAAATTTGTTTTCAAAGTCCTGTTAACACATAAACTCACATATAATTATTCATTTAATAATAATTCCAAAATCCCCAATATTCCTTTATTTGCCTAAACTATCATCCCTTGAACTATCAGATTTATGAGACATCCCTGCAAGCCTAACACTCAACATATTCTCTATTCTAGAAAAATCATAAATCAGATACAATTTGAATATAGTATGTAATTAAGTTAAGGAATGCCCATCTCTTAAGGTATTTGAGGAAAAATCCTATGTATTTCTTATGTGAATAGGAACTTGAGATTGTCTATTGGATGTTAAAATAAAATTCACTGTGATAAAATAAAGGTTTTGGAATGGGATTATAATGAAAAATTATGAAAAGAACAAATCAAAGAAGATGTAATTGCAAACCTTTTTTTAGGAAACCTTTATTTAAATTAGGAATATTATTATTTACTTAGATACAAAATAATAAGAATGCTGAGTTTTTCAGTTTATAAAATATTGAATAATACTTTAGTAAAGCTTACTGAGGCTAAGATCAATTGAATAAAGGAGCCTTGTTATTCTTTTAAATTACTGATCAGTGTAATTTGAATCTCAAATTTGTAAAGGATTATAAATATCATGTAAATCTTAATAGATTAGACTTGATCTTCAATAGAAAAGCATGAACAAGTAGGATGAACAATATTTGAAAATAAAAAAATCAGAATGTATTAAAACTTAAAAAAATATTAGGATGAATTAATGATGGGAGAAAATTAAGAAAATGCAGTAGATCATAATGAGGAAGTTGAGTGATGAGGAAAAGATTATGAAAAACTATTGTAATAATAATAATAGGAAATTAGAAGGATTAATTAATTATATATATATATTATTGAAATAGTCTTTCAATAATTCTTTACCGAACTGCCTCTATCCATTTCATTTCCTGAGTAGCTTATTCCATTAATTTGTGGCATAGGATTATTACCAGGAGTCTCTTTAATTTAATTTTGCATTGGCTATAAGTTTTGTAATCTATTTGAATTTTCTTCAGCAAAGGTTTTTAGAGGAGATTTGACTTTCTGTTCATATAGATCTTGCCAATTGATTTTTGTGAAATAGGCATGACTCTTGATACTATCATATCCCTATGAAAATATATCAGATATGGAATACATTTGCTCCTAATCTTAGTTCAGGATTGGTTTATAAAAGACTGTTAATTAAATCCTTTGCATCACGAGACATAGTTGGGGGGTAGGAGGGATTATTCTTTAAAATGAGATACTGAATTTTCATTTGATTTCTTTCAGGATGAGCGAAAGGAGTTTTGCCAGTAATCATTTCATAAATTAGAATCCCCAAAGTCCATAAATCTACTTCGAATGAGTGTCCTTCCTTTCTTATGATTTCCGGAGCCAAATACTCAGTTGTACCAACTAATGTATAAGATTTTTGGTTGTTCTCTTTTCTTTTGGTAGCTAAACCAAAATCAGTTAATTTCACATGTCCTGATTTAGTCAGTAGTAAGTTTTCAGGTTTTAAATCTCTATAAATAATGTTTAATTTCATATTCAGATATTCCAAAGCTAGAATGACCTCTGCTGCTACAAATTGAACAACAGGTTCAGGAAGTCCTTGTGTTCTTTAAAGTATCTAATAAAATTCCCCACCATCAATGTATTCCAGCACAAAGTAAAGTTTGGTTTGACTTTGAAATGAATATTTTAGATTAACAATGAAAGGATGCTTGCTGTTATTCAACACTTCTTTTTCGATAACGGCATTTTGCTCTAAATTGCTATCAAATATTTATTTTTTATTCATAGCCTTTAGTGCATAGATTTTACCATTGTCTTTCTTTTTCACCTTGAACACTTTTCCAAATGCACCCTAGAAATCTATCGTATTCTATAATCCCTTACTTTTCCTAATTGATTGAGCATCACAAAATCTTCTATACTCAATTTCTTCTAAGCCGATTCCAATTAATTGGAGGAGACCAAATTCCTCTCAGAAGTATAGCCCATAGTCTCATCTTATTATTTGGATGGCATCTAAACTGAAGTCAGTTTATTTGTTTCATTTGTTTCGCAAAGATTTCCCATAACTTTAATTAATTATAGAATTCCCAAGTATATAAGACATAAACTCAAAAGAAAACTCAAAAGCTACCTGATTATATGACTAAAATCATTTAAAGACATAAGAATTTAAATAATTAATTCATGAAATTATTCTCATACAATTCTTGGCTATAACCTTAATCTTTAAAAGACGGCATCCAATTAGAAAATTAAGTCAAATTGTACAAGGAAGTCTATGATTTCTCCTAGAAACTTGAAGCACTATTGTAAAATGGCAATCACCCAACATTCAATCACTACTATTAAAAGGCCTTGTCAATATTCCATAGATTTGCCCATTCAGTTTCCCTAAGAAAATTCAATCGTCATATCTACATGTTAGCATCACTGTATCTATCAGCCAAAGATAACGATATGTTCGATCATACAATTGAAATAGATAGATATGTTAAATGCTTTATCGTATACTGTAAAGCCAAAGAAGGTGATAATTTACAATCAGTCCTGATAGAGAAGATAGTAGATGCCGAATCGCACATACTATAAATGATAGGATATGATCTAAATATCATAGTGCCCCAAGTTTATTTTGTAGAAGCAAAATTAAAAATTACAGTATAACACGGAGAACTCTCTAAATTACATGAGGCGGCATAAAACTGCTTAAATGACCTCTTCTTCACCAATGCTTGTCTCTACTATGAACCAAAAATACTAGTTCTATGCTCCTTGTAAATTGCCTCTGACAACCTTAAGATGACTATATCAGATCTCGATTCTGGAGATCCTTGGTACACCATCTTTAGCAGAAATCCAGAAAAATAGCAACAGGACTATGAAGATATGTAGGAACTGCTAAAATATTAAGAAAAATGTTTATAATTCTTGGAAATGTGAAATATTTCGTAACACAATTTATTCCTAATTGATTATATATATATATAATTCATCAATTCATTGCTTAGCTCCCTTTTATTATCCCTAAAAACATAATTAATTCAATCTACTTTAGTGCATATATAGATATAATGAACATTAGGAGCATCTTTATCCTCATTAGTTATAGCAATTGATGTTGAAATTGTTGGTTTATGAACCTATTTAACTATTACATTCCTAATTTAATGTTAATCATCTAAATCATACCAATCATATTCTGGCTTCTCTAAATATTAAAGTCTGTGTTCAGGTAGACCATAGGAAATTGCAAAATAGACACCCTTTGGTCCTAACACTCTGTGAACTTCTTGAATAACTTTCTAAGCATTAGATGATGATGACTCTCCACACTCAAGTAAATTAAATGTCTTACTAATATGGCATCGAGAGTTCCTTTGTCGATTGCTCCATCGAATGATCCATCTTCAAATTCCATAGCTCTGGCATCCATATGAAGATCTACATTTAATCATTTTCTACATTTGAAATTTGGTCCTTTATCCTTGTACTTCTCCTACATAGCCTTTGTAACAACATGAGAAATATCGATATTTGTAATGTTCTAATAACCTTCATCGAACATCTCTTCGCTCAACCCTAAAATTGCTTAACTACAAGTATTTACTTGAATTCCCTGCCCCAACATTAAGGAGCTTACTTTCAGGAGTGAAACAGGCTTAAACAAGATCCTTGATGCCTGCAAATCTTTGATACCAATCAAATGGCTCGGGATCTCTAAATTCTCATAACAAGTGTCATACCTTGTGTATCGTTCTTCCCAATATTCTGCTTTACCGTATTGTGACATTTGAATATGATTAAATTAATTATGTTTTATATGTTTAAAATTTATATATAAAAATTAAAATGCAAGTAAAACACTATAGATTAATATCAGAACTTTATACTCCTCAGAACAAGTCTTCCTCATCTGAAAACATTTTTCGAGTAAACAAAATCAGCAGCTCATAGCCAAAATTATCACCTCTTTTCCCTTCAAGAGCTACACTCAGCACAGGTCAGTCTTTCACTACAAATGAATCAGCCATGAAAATCTCCTCTATCATACCAAAAACCCATGATGAACGACCCTATAGCAGGGTTACCACTGGATTTCAGAAGAATAGGACCTATTTAGATTGCAAAAGATTGACATCATAAACTAAATATATGCAGACCCTTGATGATTGGGAAATGAACACAATTGAAGAGATTCAAATGAGAAGAACTTCTAATAAACAAACTATTAATTGCAAATAATTATGTGATAACAACATTGTAAATAAAATGCATTTCACATCATAAAGAAAGGTCAAAAAAAATAGTATGTCAAAAGTTATTATAATAAATCATCAAGGTAAGCCTAAAATATATTATTATATGCAATGATTAATATTAGAAAATAAGCTTTACAATAACTTTATACTAATAAAATATATAATAATTAATCTAATATTATAATCCAAAAATCAATTATTTCTTTGCAATATTATTTAAGATTCTCCAAAATTAAATTATTCTGTCCAAATAATCTAATATCCTATTTATTTCTTCTATTTAATAATAAATTAAATATACTCTCATTTGTCTTTATTACGCAAATGGCATTTATCATATCAAAATTTTGATGGAATGCTTTTTAGATATAACATCACAAATTATATTGAGCTTAATTAATTTTTTAATCAAATAGATAATTTTAAGAATTATTAAATTTTTAGGGTATTCAAAATCTTATGAAAAGAATTACGATTTATATTTGAATATATTAACAACAGGTCACCATTCTAGCTAAAATCATCTTAATATTCAATATTGAATCAACAGAATTCCAAAAGGGTTGAATTAATGATAGTAATCAATAATAGTGAAATTAAAAAATTATTAGATGATAATAAGTACAAAAATTATCTAATTGATTTCAATAAATTTATGGAGAGAAGACGAAAAATTTAGTGTTTTACTTGATTTCAAACATCATTAAACATATACAATTACATTAATTAGAAAATTCTAATTTTACAAATAAATATTTGGATTTTAATTAACTGCCATTTAGCAAATTTATTGTAATATATGCTCTAATTAGATTATAATTCAAATATTCACTTATAATTTTTCAAAATGTAAATATAGAAACAAAATGACTTGAAAAAGAAAACAACAATTGTATGATAATAGTATTGATTTTATAGCATGTTTATTGATCTCTTTACTATAATCTAGTCAACTAATCCTAAGTCTTTGAGCATGGGAATTCATTTTGATAATCAATTTCAAAATTTGAAACAATTTTAAAGAAGACACAATTTTAATTTTATGAATTAGCAGATTTGTAATTGCTTTATTAAAAGTTTTGTTAATTAAGTATTTTGAATGATAAATATATTTATTGTTAAAAAGAGAATTAGAATTATGTCAAACTATTAATATAAATAAAAAGACAGAATCTTTATAATTTTATAATGAATCTAATTTAAATATCATTAATAATATGGCACAATAAAAAATAATATTTATTTAATGAAATAAGGTGATCATTTAAGTTCAACAACAATCATAGTTTCTTCTGGATTGGCTAGCGTGATTAGCACAATCATTAGTAATCCTTTTGAAGTGTTGAAAATAAGATTGCAAGTAGACAAGATGCATTGCCATGAACATTAACATCAACGCAATCCCCATAGAAGCAAACCAAAATTTAAATATATTCATGAGATAGCATTAACAGGACAATCAACAAGACATTAATTAAATCATTATGGGATGCTCTCGAAATCGTTGAAATTATGGAGACCGCATAGAATGATTAATGTTATCGGAAAATCTTAGGCCACAAACCCCTTAATTAAAATTTATTAGAATTGTACTTGCATTACCACAAACTCTCTGGTTTAGGCCTTTTAACACATCTACGCACATGAAGGAGCATCGACATTCTTCAACGGATGGAGATATGCCGTATTATAAGCAGGAGCATCAAATGTATGCTACTTCATGTTTTACGAAAGAACAAGGAAATTCTTATAATAATTGGAATTGCCTTCAAGTAGACTGGTTGTTCCCTTGTTGGCCAGTTCATTCAGTAGAGCATTGACAACAACAAGTAAGATATTTGAAGTATATTTTTAGTCACATTTCCCTTGGAATATTGGAAAGTATTACAATCATCCACAGTGGGATATTCGAAACTAAAGAACATTCAATTAGGTACTCAATTACACTCAGCATATCTAATAACTATTCAACGAGATATTTTATTTTCGTGCATCTATTGGAGTCTTCTGGAAAATTTAAAGATTGAATTAGGAAAGGTTTTACAAGAATTGCCAAACGCAGTGAATCTGCTTTCAGCCATGATGGCCAGCAGTGTGACTGCTACAATGACACTTCCTTTGGATGTAGTGAAGACAAGGAAACAAGTGAGTACAAGAAGCGATTTGGGTTAGAGTGGATAGATGGCAACAATGGAGATTTTGTAGAGTATTTACAATGAGGAAGGTTTGAAAGGATTGTTTAAGGGATATCAGCCTAGAATTGCTAAAGTAACAATGCATTCTGGGTTAGTGTACATGATGTATGAGTACCTAAAACAATTGTTTTGATTTTTAATTACTATTTAAACATTGAGTTCATGTTATGTGTGTGTTATATATTAATAAAAATAAAATGAGTAGAGAATTATAAAATATGAAGCTTTTACTTTCTGAAATAGAGAAAATATAGACAATTTAAACTTATTAATAATATGAACCCATTGTATAAGCTTTGTTAGGGGTGCAGTAATATATGAATGAGAGCAAAACAAGTGAGGCAGGCCAATACGTCCCTGAATTAGTGAGCATGAGTATTAGTCATATCATGAATCACATGCACTATCCAGATTAAATTCTAATAATGGTGGAGAAGTTCATAAAGTCTGTGCTTTTGTACATCAATAAAAACATTTTTGATGAGAAGATAAGTATAATATTTTGTAAAATAATGGATCCGAATAGTATGATCTATTAAAATAATGATCTATCAACTAATTGGCATGATTAAGTAACAATCTTCTATTTAAAAATAGTTTATTGCATACTCCTATGCCAAAAATAATGAGTATAAATAATTCGTTGACAATCTCAAAGAAGACACCTATATAGATTGTATTCGCAGTTGTCAAACTACAAATCGATTGAATTGGAATAGAGCTATAGTAGAGAAAAAATAGGAAGATCTTGTGATTGTAAGATTTTTAAACGAGAAGCCAAATTAATAAATCTTTAACATAAAGAGTGGGTATTTGATGCCCTATAAAACTCGTTCACTACGCTTGGATTCCATGTTTAATTTGTAAGAGAAACAGGCAGTTTTAGCAACTCAAAACGACAAGTGGATTTTAAGTACTATTGTTAATAGAATTGAGACTTCACATATTGAAAATGTTATAACTTATACAATTAGATTCCACTTTTAATCTATTTTAGATGAAAGCAAAGAGAATGAAAAGAATTACAAGGGGTAAAGCAGATATCATGATGAACAATTAACTGCATGTAGTCCTAGATTAGCATTGTGTGGGGATCATATACCCAGAAAAAGTAATTCAAATGAATAATTTATTGATGATTCATATGACATACTCTATGAATAGGATTATCAAACCAAAAAGTTCTATGCTATCTTAAGACCTAGATATTCATAGAGTTCACTTTTAATTAGATTAATAAATTATTTTGGATCTCTTGGTGGTTTTGACCAGATTCTAGCTGTGTAATCAGTTGATATATTGGCAAATTATATGCATGGATTGGGTAATATACATGCTTAAATGTATCGATACTTTTGTTAAGAATATGTTCCTTAGTTATAAGCATTAAGATAAGCTATTCTTCATCCTGATGAGTAATCCTTTCGCAATATGGGCAGAGAGAAAATTAATTTAATTATTTAAGCATATAGATTACTTCTAGATAGGATAATGACAGATGATTAGAGAAAAGAATGGTTGCAAAGTCTGGGATTAGAATTTGTTTAGATTTGTTTTAATGGCAAATTTTTAGATAAAAAAATAATTGGACTTAAATTATTGACAGATCTTTTAAAGTAGGCAGATCAAGATAAATCTCCAGAGTTCATTTTAGAATGGATAGAAAGACAAGGAATTTTTGAATCTCTATTTCATCATAGTACTCATTTGTAATTATTGGAAAGAACTAAAGATCTGATCAAAATCTATTTAACTATTGATGGTGCATTTAATCTGAAATACTTGTCAATAGTTTGGGATCTCATGTAATCCAATGATAAGGAAGTAAGATCTATCATTTTTAAACTATTTAATGATATTGCTACTTTTATGTCTGATTATTAGGCCTAATACTTTCTTGAATAAATCAAAAAATTAAGTAAAGATCTGATTTTGATTGAACATGTCCAATTACTTTGTAAAATGAATAAAAATCGAATCAATTAACAATATCTTTTTAGTTAAGTAATTGAGATTTTATGGGATATCATCGAATATGTTGGGTAATAAGGCAAAACAATATTAGAGGATCAATCAAGAACACACTTTATTGAATTGATATAATTTCTCAATGACAAAGACATCAAACGATAAATGATCCAAAAGTTGATTGCTAACATCAAACAATAAAAGGTTGAAAGTTCCTCTTTAAAAGTACTTTAATAAATTATTTCTACATTTCTGCCTTAATAAAAACTACAACAGTGTAAGTATAGATTTCAGCAAACAGACGAAAACAACCCTCTTCAAAATGCGAAAAATAACTTTGCAGATTAGAAATAAGGTTATGATTTATATGAGGAATTTATTAAAGGATTGATTCAATAATAAAAGGTTCATCATACATTGAGAGAGAGCATTGATAATTTATATAGTTAAAATCTTGGAATCAATCCAGATGATCCCAATGAAACAACTCTTTATATCAATAAATTATAAGAAAGACTTAACCTAATCCAAACTTTAATTATGATTTATGGAACAGCTGCTGATATGATTGATTAATAATTTTTAGATTTAATCTGGAATAAACACATTTTAAAACCTGTTTGCAAATTGGAAGGTGAAATAGTCAGTTGTTGGCTACGTGATTTGATTGAAAAAGATGAATGTTTCAGTTCTATGCAACTCAGCCATTTCTACCAACGATTGCTCAGATCAGATTCTCACCTTAATGAAAATGCTTTTAAATGTTTTAAATTGATCCTTTATTATGTAAATTAAAAAGAATATAGAATATAAAGGCAGTCCCTAATATTGAATCAAATTTGTGATGAATATGGAAATTTATTGAGCACTACAAATGCGAACAATCAAGAAAAAGATGAACAGATGGATTTTTAAATAATGGTGGATGTAAAGGAAATTCTAGGCATATAATATTTGTGGCATATTGTTCTCAATTCCTCATTAGATTCAGCCATAAAATTGTTAGTTAAATTGAATTTGTCTTAATAGGAATAATTCATATAATAAATCCTTGATAAAATGAAATCTTAAGATGAACAAACAATTCTAAGATGCTTTGATATATTAAGAGAATTATTGAATGAAACAGAAAAATATGGTATAGGTCAATTATTGTCTTTGGATGGGTTAGTAAAGGGAGAATAATTTAAAATAAACATTAATAATGATATAGGTAATGCATAATAATCCAATAATGTAACCATAACTGTTCATTAAAGTTTAACAATATTTGAATTACGAAAACTAATTGCTTAGGAAATTAAAACCAGCTGGGAGTAAATTAAATTGTTTAGAAATGGTATTGTTATTTAAGAGACGGAAAATGGAAAAACACTCAAATAACTATCCATTAAAAAGAGCGATTTCCTTAAAGTAGGCAAAAGAAACACGAAACCAATACCCAAAGTACCTCTAACTGAAGATAACAAACTATCCCCTATGTTTTTGAAAGTCATAAAGGATCTCTTCAATTAGTATTCTACAAATGAAAGGATGAGCCTAGATCAGTTTGCTTAATTTGCAGTCAAATCTTCAAAGAGTGAGAGTATAAAGTAGGATGAAAAGATCTATCAAATCTTTGGCTAATATAGTAATTAGGGAGAATATCTTACATTGGAAAATTTGATTGCATTCTTTTAGAATTGTTGTTTATAGTAGTAGAATTAATAAGTGGTATGGTAGAATTTATATGCATTCGGATATAGGAATGATCTCTCTCTGATGAATACAGATGATATTAGATTTGACCAATCGAAGCTACCTCGTCATTATTTGGCTCAAAATTAACAGTTTTATTAATTAACTCGTATTTTGATGGCAGACACTAATAAAGTAGCTTAAGAATGCTGGAAGCTTTTGTGTTCTTTACCTATTTTTGGAGCTGCTAAAGAGAGACTCCTCAATTTTGAAGATCTCTCATAAGACACCTCTTTTTAATTAATTTATTCTTTGAAGATCATAGAATACCTTCTTTAAAATTAGGAATATTGTCGACATTTTATCATAAAGTAAGGCTTCATGTAGTTATAATCTATATTGAATAATTTACAAAATCAAGACGGTGTTATTAGGAAACTAGGGTAACTTACAATTCTCAATATCTTTACGAAATACATTGCAGCCTAATTTCGATCTAAGTTTAATAAAATCTTTGAGATTCAATAACATGTAAAATAGCCACTCTCAGTTTCCTTAGATCTCATAGGTTAATTACTTTAAGGTAAATGCTAAGTATTAGACAATAAGGCCTGGCAGAAAGTGAAGGAGAGTTAAGAATTCTTAGAACTGGCTAAGTAAATATCAGATTTGGATATCAAATTAGATTACGCAAATTTATTGAAGTATTTGATTAACACACCTCTCGATATCAATGAAGATAGATAACTCATTGAATATTTTCTTGTACTAATTACTACATTAATTGGATTTAATTTAGATAATTGCACAAATTTCTTTATCTAAGAGATCAACTAAATTAAGTAGAGATACAAGTAATTGCTGTTTGCTCCTAAATAGTTGCTGATTAGAAAATTCACTATTAACTCATTATATCTAATATACAGATGTTAAAAAACAATCTTAAATAAGATTATAATTCAAATGTTAAAGGACATATTTCCACCCTTAGAGAACAAGGACTCTCAATGTTACTTCGATCTATTGGCCAAATTAATACTGGAAGAAAAACATAGTGACAAAGAATTAGCTAATACTATTATCTTAAAATTGTACGACTATGAACCAAATGAATCAAGAGTAACTTTTTCAGCTGATAAAACTTATATAGGTTTACTTTCGATATTAGAAAGTTTGTGTACTGTAGACTCTTCTATTTTAACAACTTAATTGATAAGGTATTTATACGCAGTACATTTATTTTACTTTAAATTGATCCAATTTCAATTGAAATCAGATAAACAAATTTCTTAAAATTATGTCAAGAGCAAATCACCAGAGAGCAGAAAGATTGTCTATCGTCTGATCATACAACATCTAAAATAGAATTTTAACTTAGACCTTATTGATTTGTAAACGGTATTAAAGTAGATTGGATTGTATGAGAGTTTTGAAGTAAAACTCATGCCAAAAAGTAGTCATGGATATGTGGGTATCAGAAATTTGGGTTGCATATGCTTCATGAATGCAATGATGCAATAATTCTTTATGACTCCTGAATTTAGATACTGTATGTTGAGGGCTGAAGATGGAGTCGATGAAAATATTATCCAACACAAGGATAATCAAGGGTTTTATTACCAGATAGACGATAACCCTTTTCATCAGTTCTAAAAGATGTTGGCTTCCTTGGATTTAAGTGATAGGGCTGATTTTAATCCTTATTAATTTTGCTTAACTTACAAGGATTACTAAAATTAACCTCTCAATGTTTCAATGTAATAGGATGCCTAAGAGTTTTTGAATCAATTTTTTGATCGCCTTGACAATTAATTGAAGGGCAAAGGTTGGTAGTAGTTTATCGAGGCCATCTATGGTGGATATCTATGTAGTTAGATGATTTGCAATGGGTGTTAGACAAAAAGAGAAAAGTTTGATTTATTCTACACTTTGTCTTTGAAAGTCAAGGATGTTAAATCCCTCTATGAATCTTTTGAAAGTATGATTTAAGGAGAAGTGATTAAAGATTACAAATGCGAACAATGTCAATAGAAAAATGATTTAATTAAAAGATAATGTCTATCAAAGTTACCAAATGTGTTGATCGTGCACTTATAAAGGATAGTATTCAATTTGGATTTATATATGAATGAAAAACTGAGTTCCCATTTAGAATTTCCGCATCTATTGAATCTTTCAAAATACACAAGAGAAGCTTTGTCAGATTTAGAATTCAAACAAGATTCATATTATTAATATAAATTAAAAGGAGTAGTTGTTCACCAGGGCACTGCTGAATGTGGTCACTATTATAGTTTAATAAATACGAAGGACGATAAATGGTTAAAATTTAATGATTCAGTGATTGAAGAATTTGATATCAATCTATTGTCATATGAATGCTTTGGAGGGAAATAGAGCGAAATTAGACAAGGATTTCAACCTATGGGTAGCACTAATGCCTATATTTTGGTTTATGAAAGAACTTAGAAGGAGACAGTTGAACTCAAGTTTTGTAATTAAAAATAAAAATAAGAGATCATGTCAAAGTTTGAGTGCGAATTGGAACAAAACTCGAATTTGGTTGTTAAGATGAATTATTAAACAATGGCTAAGTAATTTATATCAGAAGCTTTGTATGGGGAGATTTAGTATGACAATCATAAATTCATGATGGAGAGACACATTTATTCAGATGAATTCTTTAGATTTGTAAAGGAAATAGCAGAGGCCTATCCATTTCCTCCTTAGTATTAGTTAATTACTAATATTGATCAAATGCCAGAATATTATGGGATCTATAGCAATTATTAAGAAGTTTAGAATGGTGAATAGGCAGCTGATCTATTATCGAATCTAACTTATATTACAATAGAATTGTTATGTAGAGCATCTGATCATGCATCAATAAAAGATTACGTACTGGTCATAATTAATCTTATAAATATAATTCCAACTAGAATATTTTCAATATTTTAATCGATGATTATTAATAGGTAGAATAGAGTATTTGAAGTTTTATTATGTGCTCCAAATTATTAAGTTCGCTAAGCAATCTAATAAATATTGCTTCATTATATCAATGTGATTAGTTACATTCACGCTTTTATGTTAAATACTTCACTACTTTTTCAATACGATTAAGATAATTCTGAGGATTAATGTGAGCGATTCATTGTTCATTTTCTAATCAATCTCTTATAGAAGTTATAAAATGATGTAGCAAAGAATGCATCGAAGTTTTCTTAATATTTCAACTTTTGGAAACTATTTGTTTTATCCAATCAGATTAATGTATTCTTTGCTAATTCGATAGAATTAGTAGCAATATTGGCTGATTTCTTTATGGAGAAACAATCTCCAAGAGGTTTAGAAAACAATTAATGCTATGAATTTTTATATGATTAGAAAATTCCAATTGCTAATTAGAATGTAATTCCATTTTACAGTCCATTATTCTAATGTATAGACTATCTTCTGTAAAATGAAGACTACCAATTAACTAAAAACGATAGAATGTGTATAGAATCCATTAATTTTTATAAGAAAGCCTTAAAAGAATGCTAAGACTTTGATACTTTATAATCGATCATACTAAAAGTAGTGTTTAATAATTTAACATTATCTAGAGAAATAATTGAGATTCTTTTAGAGGAAATTCAAAATGCCAACTAAGAGAATTTGGGACCATTCTTAAAATTGGCAGAAAGCTTAGTAAACATCAAAGATAATATGTAACCAGATCGTATTCAATGGATATTAGGATATCCATAACCATATTACTAAGATAATTATTAAACTGGATGTCCAACTAATCTATCATAATAATTTATTACTTATTTAACACAAATTGGATGTCAAAATGAAACTATTTCAATATTAAATTAGTTATTTTCCAATCGTAAAGTTTATCTAAATTTGGCAATTTAAATGATGAACATGCTTTTAAGAGTAATGAATTCAAATAAACCAGTTTTTTCATACGTTATCCATTTACCTCCTCCTAGTTATCTATATGCTAAATATACAGATTGGTTTGAATCATTTCTAAATGAATTTAAAGAGGATTGCATCAAATATCCAGCAATGGCAGATTAAATATTCTTCAATAGAGAATTAGAACTTTAGTAAACTATTAAATAATGGGAGATTTTCAAAACAAATTTCAATCAAATGACTCAACTTAGATTATATGATCCTATGCAATCAAATTATATCATAGGCAACATATTGGAAACTGAGACAAATTAAGGTGAAACTTAAGTAAATAATGTATACTTGGAAACCCATGAGTCTTTGGTCTATTATATACATTCAAATCCTAATCGTTTTAGTAACAAAGCATTTCCATAGGCAATTCTTAAAGATAACATTTATATATAATCGTCCAAGATTGAACCCACTTCCAATATATTTTATATCTTGAATAATGATGAATATTTCTAATAGAATGAAGGTTTTCAATCGAGAGGTTAAGGACCGGCAACAATTTTACAAGAGAATCTTGAAAACATCTATTCAAATGAAATTGGCTACGAGGAACAACAATAAGTCAATGATGATTTTATCAATGAATTATGGAACAACAACAAAAATTCATATCAAAATTAGAATGTCCTAAGATAAAAATAAGTATTTCAATAACCTGAACAAGATATCAAATAAGAATAGTAATATGTAGAATGCAATTTATAAATTCAAGTTGATCAATTATTGAAACGATTTATGATTAACAATCAGACTGATTAAACTGTCTTTGTCACATATAAAATTATTCTCAAACCTGATTCCCAAATCAATTTCATGTAAGTATATATGAATATCTAGATCGCCTACTTATGTATGTAAGATTATTCCTCCATACAGTATAAGGCATTTAACAACTATCATGAAAACCGTTCCATTGATGGATTGGGGAAATTTTGATTTCAATTTGAGTGTAGTTCTTAGCAATGAGAATAATAATAATAACAACTAAAAGCAATAACCTAAGCAATAGTATTATCATCATATATTTTAGAGTGTAAACTGCAGCTGATGCTCAAACTACAGACAAACTAAATTAAATGAGTCTACGTGAAGAGATTTAATGTCCGTAATGTACTTTCCTCCAGTCTTCTTTAAATCACTTTTGTGAATTGTGCTAATTCAGTTTAAAGTGAATATTATAAAATTAATTTATTATTCATGGATAATAAACACTATGATGATGAAATAAAGACATTAGGATTTTCTCTTTGTTATAAGAGTTGTTTAAAGAATAGAGATGCGATTAAAACATCTCATATTCATCACACTCTCTATCCATGCATGGAAAATTGTGCAATCAAATATAAAAGAGTAGTAGAAATTGTGATGAATTGATATGTCAATTATATTTATGTGATCTTAATTTATGATTTTAAAATCCAAAAACACTTGAGGTAATTTAAAAGAATTTAATCAAACACTTAAAAAATTTATCTTTTGGCTGATCATAGATTATAATTCGGAACCACTTTTATTTTATATGTAAAACCATCTTTTTTATTATTATTCACTTAAACCGACCTTATTTAATACTAAAATGACAATTAAAACTTCATTAACTTCATTAATTTGATGTAAATATTCCTCTTAAATTATCTCAAAAGTATTAATTCAATGTGAGATTTCAAATTCATATAATGAAGATTAGGGTTATCCATAGATATTAAGTATGCAGAGTGTTGATCAATTTATCCATAGATGAGAATAATGATTTTTATTTATTATCTTTAGAAATATAATTATGTTTATTTTATCTTAATTGGCACATAAAATTATATTTATTTGAATAATTTCATTAATTAATTAAATAGATGAATTGGAGGAAAACAAAAGTATTCAAGAGTTTTACAATCCAAGGAGCACTCATTGAATCACTTTATGATGGCACATCTAAATAGCTAATATTGTACGATACACAAAATATCAAAATATACGGTGTAGGAGATTCTGAGATTAAATTTTATGACAAAATTTAATTATTCACTCAAATAAAGAAAATTGTGTTTTTATCCTCATTCAACCACAAATATCTCGTTGTCTAAAATGCTTAAGGCTAAATTTCAGCAATCTCTACCTAATATCCATATGATCATAAATTAGTCATTCTACCTGAACATTTTACTTCTGATGCACTGTTACTAGCATCGCAAAATAGATCATGTATCATAGTGCAATTTCAAAATGAAATAATGATATTTGAATTAAATTAAAAATAAGAATTTGTGTCACATTCCATTAATATTAAGAATTAGGAAATTAAATAAATAGATGCCAGTTTAGATGATACTCTACACATTATGTGCTAACAATATGAACCACTTAGAGAAAATCAGATGATTGCTAACATTGAAAGTACTATTTTTTATTGCAAAATGCATTACAAAGATAAGGGCTTGTAAAATTATAAGTTCAAATTTATCATACAACAAATAATTGCTTTGGAAATGGAAGACATTCTGGCTTTGACTTAAAATGAGATCCTGTGTTTAAAAAATGGAAAAACACATTTTTCTACCCCTGCCTAAGTTAGTTGCTTTGCTACTTTTATGAAATTAAATTAAGTTAATAATCAATTGTTTTTATGCAATCCAACTGTCATCGAAATTATTGAAATCAGATTTGATGACTTTAATCAAATTTAGAATATGGTGAGATTGTAAGCAATCTACATATCATAAATTGACATTGTAATTGCTGATAATTTAATTTGGATTTAGACTGAAACATCTGGAACCCTCAATTAGATGAATGCTGTTAGAATGCCTTCCATATCAGATCTTGATCCCTCTATTACGAAGAAGGTAAAATTAGAAGAGAATGATTAATTATTCAAAGCTTTAGGAGTGTTTCAAACTTTTAGCCGAATTTTCAATTTTACTGTTGTAGGCAATTCCCTTTACATTTTATCTGGAAATGCAGCATCATCATAAATCTATAAATTATAACATGAACTCACTCCAACCGTTACTACTGTGTCTTTAAAAATTAAAACAGGTATAAATGAATAAAAGTTTCCTCTTTACTTTGAAAATCATATTGGATTTATAAGTGAATAGAAATAATTGACTTTTTCAAAGATTTTAAAAGATGGCAATTTTCAATTGGTTGATAATATCCAAATACCCGAATTTTAGGATGTATTTTCAAATGGGACAATAAATGCTAACTGTTTCTATGTGCAATTTGATACCTATTTATGGTTCATCTAAACTAATCCACTTTGCCAATTCTCTAGGTAGTACGATATTCGTTAAGTTAAATAATTGATGAATTATTTTGTTGGATTTGATGATTAAAAATGTCTCATTCTTACTTATTTAAATGAAAAAACATTAGTGAGCCAAGAAATAAACTCTAGTGAAATTGTCTCATTTGATTTGGCTTAATAGGAGAATGATATACTTATTCTCATGATTGAAAGAGAGAAATTATCAATTTTGTCAGTTAAATTTTAGTCATGGCAAATTCAAGTCTAACTCATGTTTATAACTAATGAATTTATGGGTAATTTGTGTGCAATATCAACCATTCCTGAATTGAACCTAGGTTAAAATGCTGTATTTACATGTCCTTCAGTTCAAATCAAATGTTCACCTACAGAAAATGAAGATATTATCAATTCTTACTTAGTGAATTTTAATAAAAATAAAGGAATGGCAATAATATTAATAACATCATCTGGAAAAGTGTCAATTTATTCTCAAATCAAAAACAACTCTAATTAGCTTAAAATATTTAAGTTAATCTTTTCATATCAATCCAACAATGTTTAATTAAAATCCTAAAAATTTCACTATGTTGGACCTTCCAATTTCTAATAGTTTATATTTCCAGGATTGAATTTAACATTAACAGAAAGCTTAGGTGAAATTTTGATTCATTTTATTAAACAGGAAGACCAATTTGATTAGGTCTTATTGGTACAATAAAGTAAACATTATACTTATATAAATTAGGTGCTTTCCTTATGGGATTTTCTGGAAGTTGTTACTATTTTCCCTCATTACAAAGAAGTAATCTCCCTTGCAACAATATCATCATAAATCCTGTATTAAAGGATAGATGCACAGCAATAATGATGCATAGCTTTAGTGTAACAAATTTCAAAATAATTATAGTTTCATTCCAGTGAGTATCTTTTAGTGATTAACAAGGCTTAAAATAGGAGAACCAATTAAAATTAGCTTAAGAATGAAGTGTTTGTTTATAGGTCAGATAATTTGAATGATCCTTTTGCTCAATATGATTAATTGGATAATGAGGAAATTATTAAGGTCTAATTCCTCTAAGGGATGGACCTTATCTTAATAATGACACTCGTTAATTCATAGTTAACAAGGGATTATCCAAATACTAAATTACACATCCTAAAGTTAGATCAATATTAGAAAATCACTGAATAGCAACAATCAAGGTTATTCAAAGAAGCTGTTCCATGTGATTTCGTAGTAATGCCACCTAAATTAGCTCTTGTATTCATGTAAGATCAGTTAAAATATATTGATTTGCATGTTGGATAAAGTGCTATTGGTTTTTCATTGACACCAGACTCTTTAAGAGGGGAACTTGTATAAATCTAAATTGAGGCTGTATCGGTTGTTGATAGATGGATAGCAGTATTGAATGGTGGATTTAAAGTTGTGATATGCAAATTTGAGGAGGACAATTCTCAGCCTAAAGTAGATTGGTCAATTGAATTTGGTGTTTTAAGAGTAATGGATATTTAGCTTTTAAAGAATGAATATTAAAAGCCTCTTCTTGTTCTTTTGGATTATGAGAATAGCATTCAAATTTATTCAATAACCTACAAAGTAATAATTTTAACTAACTAGACTAAAATTAAAAAAATAGCTGACTGCCAGATTATGAATCCTTGCAGAATGTTAAGCATAGCCAATAGTAAAATTTAATATGTATCTGTAGAATTAATAATCTCCTCTCTGGATGGAAGTATGACCATGTTCGATTAAATTGATGATGAATCTTAGGCAAATAAATTCAAAACCATTGTATCAGAATTGCCATACATAGGCGGATTTTAACCTAGTAGTTTCTTGTGTACTAGTTAATAACATATTTAGATGCCAAATAGATAAATGGAAAAGGGAGTGTATGGGATTTTGAAATTAACGATCTGTATAATTAATTGTCATTTGGAATCCAAAAGATTGTAAAGAATAGGTATATGTATAACCCTTTTGAATGAGTTTGTTAATAAGTTTATTTCATTTATATATAAACCATATTTTCAAACTGTAAAGTAGCATCGTTCTTAATATTTTAATATTTCTTTTTCAACTATTTATATGAAGTTCAACTCCAATTCTTTTCAAGACTTCCAGATTAAGATAAGCAATTAAAATAATAATAGGTCTTATTATTTGATATTTAATCTTGATTATCTCAACTCATAACAAATTTTAAATATCTTTGGATTCTCATACTTAACTTCGCTTAAAATATCATGAGCTTTTCATCAAAATCATTTAGAGATCAAGAATAATTAAATAAAATGATAAAATAATGGAGGTTCTCTGTAAGAATGAATTGAGTTTATACAGAGTTGGCTATTATATAAATGATATTTTTGGTTGATTAATATATTAATTATTTTTCAAATTTCAAAATTTAATGAGCAAAAAACAATAAGCACCAGTAGCATAAAAACCTGTTGGCAAATAATAATAAGTCAATAGAAAACCTTAAGACAGGTAAAATGAATTATTTATGGATAGACCAGGATTGACAGAAGACGAGATTGAGGAGATAAAAGAAGCCTTCAACTTATTTGATACAGAAGGCACAGGAAGAGTTGACCCAAGAGAATTGAAGGCTGCCATGTAGAGTTTGGGATTTGATTAAAAGAATCCCACAATTTTCAATATGATCGCTGAATTAGAGAATGAAGGAACTGATATCGATTTTGATTAATTCTTGGATGCCATAACTTCAAAATTAGGAAATAGGGAATCTAGAGATGGAATCAATAAAATATTTGATTTGTTTGATGATGATGGAAGCAACTCAATTAATTTGAATAACCTGAAAAGAGTATCATTTTAAATTAATCATAATTAGGTAGCTAAAGAATTGGGAGAAACTATGACAGCAGAGGAGTTGGGTGAAATGTTAGAGAGAGCTGCCTCTAATGGTAGAGAGATCTCAAGAGAAGATTTTTATAACATCATGGTCAAAAGAACATTCTGACATATAATTCATTTTAGCAGTTAATTATTTAATTAAATCGTGTCTTCCTTTCATAAATATAACCTATCTCTTAAATAAATACCCTCTGCTTATCAAATCAATGACTGGAGGTCTGAAATTTTACTTAATGATAAATATGATTTATGTTCTTTGCAGGGGATTTTATATACTTAATTATGGAATACAAAATGGCTAAAAGATTTAATAAGGCTATGAGTATAACTTCAGAAGGATAGGAAGAGCTTGGTTTATGGGAAATGTATTGATGATGCCTTTGTTTCTCGTCTGCTTTACAGGAATTTTTATCTAAGTTTTATATCACATAATTGAAATTGATTATACAATATAAATGTTCATAGATTAATCATTATAAGTTTTCATCATTAAAGTTTTATTACAATTTTTCATTCTATTAATTGTCTTATTGTTTTTGCTAATCCGCTCCCTTTTCTTATTCACATTTATTATTATCTTAAATCTTTTATTATATTTTCTCTTCATCAACTTTATTATCGACTTTACTCTAAGATTTTTATTTAGTTGCGCTTTTTTCCACTTATGCTTTGCTGCTTGATTGCGGTTTTTATACTTATAGAGTAGTAGTTTAACATGATGTATCAATATTAAAGTTTGCTTTTGGTTTTTTAGGTTTATTTTGTTTTTTCAAATTGTTATTGCTAAAACTCATCTTTGCCTTTGGAATTTATACTGTTTTAGTGTTATTTCCTTGTTAAGTTTAAATAGATTATTGGATATTTCCATGATTCTACTCTTTTAATTGTTAGTTTGCAAAAAATTAAGGAATATATTAGGCTTTATAATTTTCAAAGAAGATTGGATCAATTTAAGAAAATTTAATGTATACTATTCCATTTTGAACTTGTGTGTTATTTGCAATACATTTATTATTTAACAATTCTTCAGGATCTTCGACCTCATCTTAAGATAGATGATTGTCATCTACAAGAAAACTATCCTTCTATTCACTCTCCTCACTTTAATCTTCATCAGAGTCATTTATATCTGATAAATTTTCGGCTAACATCTCCTCTACTTCATCTAAGGAATCCTTATCATAATCAATTTGATCATCTAAATATTCATTTTATAAATATACCCAACTAGAAAGGAGCTCTTGGCCTGATGACTTGACTTAATTATACAAACTAATGTCCATTGAATTCTTTATCTGAATCTGCAATATAAATGTGAATTTTTCTAATCCTAACTTATTATGGTTTTGTTTCTTGAATTTCAATCTCATCGGTGTTATAATCATTTAAGGATACTTATACTTTTTGTTCTTACAATTACATATTAGACATTTTTTCAATCAAGGCTTCGAATTACTCCATCTTATGAGGTGTTAATTGTTTTCTTTAATATTCATCTTATTTTTGAACTACTTATTACTTCTTTTCAAAAAAGAAATGCTTAAGATTTTTTCCTGTGATTTGTGGTTATTGCTATTGTTATTATGGCTATTGAGAAGTTTAACGATTTTATTGAGGCTCATTTAAATCTTATAATTGAACATCTTTTTCTATTGTTTATTAATTATTATCTCTTGGAGAATTAATAGATTCAAATTAATTATTCTATGTTTCTATTTTTGGAATTTAATTTTGAATTTCTTATATTTCTAGCTTCTTAAATTTATATTTATCAAGTGCTCCTTTAGTAACCTTCTCTTGTTTTTATTATTCTTTCTCTTTCTTTTTATTTGATTTATTTTCATTAACCTTTTATTCTGTTGGTTGATTTGATTCAGTTTAAATGTTTACTTATGCATTTATTTATTCATTTTCATTACTTAAGTTATTTTCTATTTTTTCAAGATTTTAAGGTTTTGATTTTTATTTAGGTTGTGTAGTAGATGGTTTCACCTTAAATTCTGTTTTCAATAGAAACTTAATGGGAGTATTTTTAAACTCTAATATTTTTGAATCCAATTGATTATGTTATTCTATAATCTCATTTTCATCTTCATATTTTTTTATTGTATTTATTTTTTCTTTGAGCTTCCTTAATGCATCTACTCTGTTATTTAAATTAATCAAATACTCTCTTATTAATCTTACATTTTTCAACTCATTCAAATCGCATACCTTTTTTAAATCATCAATTTGTTTTGATTTCAATGCAATTAATGTAACATTGAATTTTGATTCCTCAATATAATTAGGCAGATTATTTCCAATAATAGTTTACAATGCTTAAAAGTCAAAATGCTATGCAAACTGGATTTCCTCGCTTAATTCAGCTTTGATTTCTAAGAAGGACTTAATCTGCTCCTCCCACTTTTATAACGTCCAATTAATGATAATGTTCTTGCTCTAAGTTATTGATTCAATTTTATTCTTTATCTGTGTATTAATCTCATTTTTATTATTAAAACACATAGCTTCTCCAACAATTCTTAGAAGCATTTTTAAATAGTATTCTTTACCAGCTTCATCTTTCTAATCGTAGTCCTTTAATAAATCATAAATCTTTTCTTCATCTAATACAATACTAGGATATCCTAGGTTGTTTAGACTTTTCTAAAACTACTCCCATTTTGCTATATTTGTATTAATTTCGTCTATCCTTGAACTGATTTAGTATTTTTAAGGTTTTTTTTTTTCCACAATTTTTTAAGGGGATGGATCTCTATATGCATACGCTGTTTAAGGTGGTTTTCTCTGCCTTTTTTCATTGAGAATCAGAGCTGGCTATGTTTAAACATTATTTTGTTTTCTTTTTCCTATGAAATGATATTTGCAATTTTTACTCTAATTTTATTAATTGAAATGATTGTTCTCAATATCCATTGCTTCATTTTGGTTCTCGTTGTCTTCTTCATTTATTTAATTATCCATCTTCATTAGAGTGTCCTTTTAATTTTAATCTACATTGGAAGAACATTTTACCTTATGAACAGGGAGCAACTTCAGTTTGCATTTTTTTTAATTTTATTTCTCAAAAAAGCGGGAAAAAAATTGTTGTTGAACACATGAGTAATATAGGAATCTTTTATTTTTATAGCAGAATTCATTTTGAGAATAATTTTACAATCTTATTTGATTGAAATATCAGAGTTGAAACTCTTAGGTTGTTTTGATAATTCAATACTTAGAAGAACAGTCTCTTATAATCATTAAAGGATGTAGAATTATTAAGATGATTTTAGAGAACAAGATAAAATTAAAAAATCCATTAATCAATTTGAAATTTAAAATATAGTCACTACTAATCGTTCTTCTCCATCTAATGTTAGTATGAATTGTCAATAATTCATTATGAATACCTAATAATGTAATTATAAAATGATTAAAATTAGATTCAAAAGATTTAATTCAAATTTCTGAAGTCATGAAAATTAAAAAAAACAATAATAAGCAATCATCAATCATTAATATATTAATTTTAGATTTAATAATTGACATGCTACTAACTCATTAAATATTCATCTTTAGTTTCTATTTAAATCATTTAATTAATCAAAAGTCATCGAACATATGCTACTATTCATCATGTATAAGTGGAATGTCTTCTCTTTCTTCTGGATATTTATCAAACCATTATGAATCTGTTTCATTTCTCATGTATGGAGTCCAAGGTGGTTGAATCTTCTTTTCATAAACCTTTTACCAAGGAACTCCCCTAAAGAATTTATGATTCATTAATGCTTCCCCTTCCTATTTTAAATAGTGACATTACATCTTCCACTCCTAATCTTTTATTTATATCAGAATTTAGCAATTTTCTAATTACATCCTTTGCTCTTACATGCAAAACCTTAGGGAACTCTATCACTCCGTTTAATATTTTCTTGTATATATTTGTTGGTTCAATATCGTAGAATGGAGGATGGCTTATATTATGTACTTAATAATTACCCTGCTAGCATTTCAAATATTAGAACTCCCAAAGCCCACCAATCAATAGATTTTCCATACCCAGTTTTAGCTCCTTGAATTAATTCAGGCGCTAAATATTCAGGTGTACCACACAATGTTTGTGTATGGTTATTTTTTATTATTTTGGCAAATCCAAAATCAGCTATTTTGATATGGCCTTCTCTATCTATTAATAAATTTTCTGGTTTTAAATCTCTATAGACTATATCTTTTCTATGCAAATGTTGAATTGCCAGTAAGATTTCAGACACGTAAAACAACGTGATATCTTAACTAAATCTGCCATCCTTTCTTAAACGAGAGAATAATTCACCACCTGAAACAAATTCGAATAACATGTATATGCACTTTTGATCTTGAAATGAACCTTTTAATTATACTAAAAATGGGTGTGAAATTTCATTCAAAATATTCTTCTCTGATTTGATGTGATCAACTTATTTTAATTTTAAGATATCATGTTTCTTCATAATTTTAAGAGCATAAACTTAACGACTGACATCACGTTTAATTCGAACTTATTTTACGCGTCCAAAAGTGCCAGTACCCAATGTTGTGTAAACTTCGAAACTATCAATCGAGAGATTTTAGAATAATTATTTATCATTTAGTTTTCCTTAAACAGATTAAAATGTAGGCTCATCTTCGGATGAATCCTCATTCATTCTTTCAAGTTTTAATTGTTATAGTTTTCTTTGAAGTTCTTCAATTTGAAGTTGATTCATGACAGTTAATCAAAATAATAAATATTTTATGTATAATCACAGTCAATTGTTTTAATTCATTATCAGTTATTCTTAATTTTGGAAATTAAATTTAAATTTTCTATTTACTTTATTTATTAATATCAAATCAAAATTAATCATATGAAAAATTGGATGAATACTTATAAAATAGATTTTATGCTATTCAATAATGTTTTTTTAATTGATAAAACAATAATTTAACATAAATCGAATTAACATCACAAAACAACTGACTCTTTTAAAAACTCCTCTATACATTACTCAAAGATCAAATCTCCAATTTCCATCAACAATTCAGCCTTGTCATCCTAATCTTGATTCCATCTGTATTCTAAATCCTTAAACTGAAATTTTAAATGATATATCTACATCTTGAATAAGAGCTTTATGCAGTCTTTGTTCTCTAATTTATGAGATTGGATCCTATTGATAATCCTGGTCCATTAACTCAGGATTATCCTAGTATTGCATCTGTTGAAGCATTATTTATTAATTTTTCTCATCTAAAATTACTTACTTTTTTTTAGACACAGCAATCTCCTCCTCAACTGGCAATAATCCACAAAGGGAATTAGCCCATTAAACCACTTTGAGTTCCATATTCTTAAAAATCTCACTCAAATCAATATCGTTGATAAATTTATGACCAATTTTCCCTTCCCATGGATAAGGTGATCCACTATCTAAAATTTATTATATAAATACTGCAATAATACGGTCTGTAAAAATTGAGAGCTTCATTGCATGCATCAAAAATTGCTCTGTTATGTATATGTTCCAATTCTTTTAAAGCTTGTGTGACACTATCTTCATTTTCAGCCTCATTTTATTGTAATCTATATTATTCATATTCTAAGAAATATTCTTCCTTTAAAACAAATGTCAGAAATTCATTATATTGAGACTCATCTTATTCCATGTATCCATGAATAAATTGTAGACGTTTCTATGGTGAGAACCCATAAGGCAGATTTATGTTCCTAATGATCTCATAATAGTGTTAAGGTAAAATGTAATCAAACAGATTATGAATATAATAACGAATTTCTATAATAGAAGTTGGTATTTAAGGAATAATAGATTACCTTATCAAAGTCTATATTATAATGTCGAATTTATTTTCACCTGTAAAGAATTCTAAAGTTAATATTATAACAGATACCTTCAGTCATTTCTTATAGTAGGTCTAGCACCAGATCACTAACAACTAAATTCACTTTAGCTGACTTTTCAATTGTTTCATATGACTCAATAAAGTTCTCCTTTAGGAATTATTTTTACTGAAATTATTCTTCATAATTGAAATCTTCTGATTAAGTTTCTGCCAATTTCTCTAGTTCATTTTCGTTTTGTATACAAAAATTATTAATTAATTTGATGTCAGATATGCTTTACTTAGATTATTTTAGATTACTTAGTTATTCATCCACTCTTTTTCTTAGACTCTAAAGTTTTGAATTATTTTCATCAAAAGATTAAGCAATTATCAAGTCTCTTTATATTTTTTTCATTGCACTTGCTTCCTTCTTTGTACTAATCTCAATTGCTTATTTTGTTTACAATAAATCTTCCAATTCCTTTTTTAACCATAAATTCAGCTCTGATTTCTTGTTATCATCATTTTCATGTTTTTTGATTTCTGCTTAATATCTTAATTAAATTGCTTCTTCTCTCATACTCAGTAATTCAATCTCTCTTTTCATTAATTGAGATTGTAATGCTAATAGTGATGATCTATTAATATCTGTAGATTAATCCTTGGATGATTAAATTAATCGTTCTTCACTCTACTCTTGCACACTCTTAAATTTCTTTCTTATATCATTGAAATTCTTTTCAGTATTTGTTTCCTATGATAATCTCATTTTAAAATCCACTGATTACTCTGTTTCTGTCTATTATTTACTTTATTATTCCTAAAATTTTTAGATTTGAGATTGCACAATGGTAATAATTGCCTATTGCATCTATTCCTTGAGAGTTCTAATTGCATATGATTTTCTATTTTCAGTTATTAAGTTTTCTAAATTGAAGTTCCAATCATTTAATTAATGTTAAATTTCTTAGATAATGGACTCTTATTTAGATATCTTATGATCATGAATACTATTTTAGATATCCCCATTTTCTCTAATTTCATCATCATTATCTTCAATTTCAGATCCTCTAGGCACTTAATTAATAACTACTATATCATCACTTTACTATTGACTAAATGATTATGAAGATTGATTTTATGGCGAATCTGATTATTTTTTTAATATTTTAGTAATGGCCTATTGGACATCCAACTATTTGTTTTGTGAATTCTCTTCTTCATCTTCATCCTAAAGCTCTGAATTATTTTAACTCTATGGTGGATTAGCAACCTTTGGGGAACTAGATTAATTCGATTCTTTTAAGAATGAAGAGTTTTAGTATTATCCATTTTCTTGTTGTAATTAATCTTCTTATTCGAGATATCTTAGATAACTATCGAGTATCAATTTTCTTTAATAAAACCCTCTCCAGACACTTTAAATCTTGGTTGCAGCAGCTTACATGTAATAAAATTCTAATAATTAGAAGTCATGTAATGCTAAATTTGCAGTAGACAACACCTCATTGTTTGATATAAGATTCTTTACTAATTCTTTTAAATAATTTGATGGGGGAAATTAATTCAATGCTTCTTCTACTTCGTTAGGCAATATTTAATCGTTAGGTTATATGTATGATAAGGAATGTTCTTCTTCATATTAAGGTAGATCTACTTATTTTTAAATTTTAGTTTATCTTTATTATTATTATTATTATTATTATTAATCTTATTTTAATTAGAATTGATTCTACTGCATCCTAGTATGCTATTCTTACCTTTTAATTATTTTATCTATTAGTTTACCAGGTTTTTCCTACTCAGGACTCAATATTTTATCGGCCTATTCTTTTTACTTAGTTTTTTTTGGTTTCTTTTTACCTTTTTTTGGAGATTTTATTCTTGCATCTATTGTTTTTTATTTTGATAAAATCTTCTTTCTCAATTACTCCAATTTAACTAGATTCTCAATTCTAATTAATTAGGTATTTTATACTTTTTCTTCTATTCTAGGAGCATTTAAATTTCTTAGTGTTTCTAATTAATTGTATCCTAAGCTCTTTTGCAATTAATATAAAGTTAAATGTCTTCCTTCTTGCTTGGCTACTTTTTTTCACCATTATTCTAGCTTTTTTTCTCTGGTAATTATTTAACATCTTTTTATAAATTTTATTTATTTATTTGTTATTTAATTAGCATCTCTCCAATATTATTAATTTAAGCATGCTTTTTGGGATTCATTTACTTTTGAGGACTAGTAGAATTACTTAAAAATAAAGTGTTTGATTTCTTTTTAGTTTGATGTTAAATTGATTTTTTCAATTTCTTCTCTTAAGATGGAAAAAATCCTTTTTTTGCAGTATTTATTTAAGACTTTGATTTCCCTTATTGTCCTTGGATCACCTTCTTCTTTTTTAGTGTTTATTAGATGTGTTGAGGTTTAAGTTCAATAAATTAGTCAAGAGTTTATTCAGGTGAACATAATCTTGGACTCTTTTTAGCTCTATTGCTAGTAATGGCAACGTTTGGTTCTTAGATTTTTCTCCCTTAAATTTAAGAATCAAAAGATCTCCTATAAATATTTGAAAATACTTTAATGAGCTATATGTATTCATACTTGAAATTATATTAATTAAAATGCAACTTTTGAATTATAAAATACATGGTATTTTTATATAATATGACATATCAATTCTTTGGATTTCTTAATCTTATATATAAGAAACTTGAACTTGAAGTCTACTAAAATCTATTAAAACCCCTAGAATGATGATGCAATATTAGATTAATTCTAATAACAAACAAATTGATAAAATATAATTAGTATAAAATATTGGAGTGAAATTTCGAAGTCTATCATAAGTTTAGTGGCTTGACCACTCAAAAACTAACCAAGTTTTGAATGTAAAATGGTGTGAATAATTCATTGATAATGTGTATAAGTGTTTTGTTGAATTGTTATAATTAGTATTATAATTATAAATGAGTAATATAAATCGCGAGCAGTGTGTGTCTAAACTTTAAGGTCACTTGAAAGGAGCCACAGCCACTATCCAAGGTAAAATAGGTTTAGAAATAAACTAGAGATTGAAGAACTCTTGATGAGTTAAGAGCATGTCATTTGGCAATAAGCAAAGGAAATTGATGAACTTAGAAGAAGATTAGAGGAATTGGAAAGTTTAGGCTTTCAAAAAGAATAAGTGCTTCATTTGCAGAACATTAATGTTTAACTGAAGACATAAATTGAGTTTTTGAGGGCTGAGATTTAAGAGAAAGATGCAATGATTGCATAATTTACCTCTAAGCCAGTATAAGCAGCATCACCAGAAATACTTGCTGCACAACAACAATTAATTTAATAGAATCTGTAGCTACAAAATATTATAGGGGATCTCCAAAATTAAATTTTGAATAAGGATACTGTAATCGGTTAACTAAAAACTTAGGAGAGTACCTTAGATTAATTGATAGGATAACTTTAAACTAATATTTAATCGAAGCGAAGTAAAGTAGGAGTAAGTCAACAAGGAAATGAAACATTGAGTGTACTGAATGAATTATAATAATATCCTGAAGCATTGCAAGATGTTATTGAAAGGATCATAAAGGAATATAGAAGAATGCAATTTCTAATAGAGGAGAAGGATATTGAAATTCAAAATCTGAAATCTCGACTTTAACTCTAACAGCAAAAAGCAAATGACTCCATTTCTGAAATTAAAAACAGAGATGTATCTCCTAAATAATCAGATCAAGCATTAGATTTGGCAAAGTAAACAGCTACAATGGATGATATGATTAATGATTTGGAGAGAAAGTTAATGTCATAGGATAATAGGAAAAAATAATTAGAAGCGAAATTATTGGATGTGGGAACCTAAAATGTAGAATTGGAGAAATA